CATCACTATCTTCAGTCTCACTACTCCTTTCACAAATGTGTCTCTCCATGGCTAGTGCATCTGTGGAATCAATGCCTGCAGTGCAGTCTGAAGCACTGCCATTGTTGCCATCTGTGATGGCGCGATCATCGGCAGGCAGGAGATCCAATAGATGGACCAGTGGTTGGGCCTCACCAGCACCACATTCTGTGCCATCAAGGCCAATGTCATTGTTATCCTCTGCTAGCAATCCATCTGGGCTTATGTCTACTTCTCACTCTGATATTTGAATACTGGAGAAGAAGCAGATAAAGTTGGATGAGAGTCTTAAGGGCTTCAAACAATCAATAGGTCTCCTCCAGAACAAGCAATGGCTTCAGGTCCTACATGCTGAGATGAAGAAGACAGAGTTAGACATACAGTGGGAGAGGCAAGAGTACCATTACAAGCTTAAGATGCAGAAGCTACAGAATGAGGAACACCATCACTGAACAGAGATGATGAGGGTCCAGATGCAGCTGCAGGCATAGCAGTTGTCATTGATGAATGGATTTCTGAGTGCCGCCAATATATCTGACCTTGCATTCAGCCTTGCTAACATTACTTCTGCATCTACAGCTGCTGCATTGATGCCTCCTCCTGCTTCCCAGCCCTTTTCGTATATCATGGGTAGAATTCAGCTGACTCTAATGCAACATCAACCCACTGCTATCCCTCTGGTGATGTCTTCTGATTCCTTCACTTTCATCTCATTGGGCACTGTCAGCTCACTTGACCATTTTGCATATGCCGCTTTCTCACAGGATGACGCACCTGATCAGAATGGTTGCAATGTCTGACGCATGATGTGGGGAGTTGCTAACATTCAGTGAATCACACTATGTCTTATGTATCATATAGTTATTACCATAAATATATCACACTACAGAAATCTGATGATGATATCATGCTAGTACATTCAGATGTAAGTATCTAAGGGAAATTCCTACATTGAAAATGGGTGTACATGAAGAATACACCTCATCAAGTGATGGCAGAATTGAGTTCCAGAGGTAGGATAGTCAGTATCCTCCACATCCTCCCTGGGACCATCCTCTGTTCCATTCTCCTCGCTTTCATCAGCAAATCACCCATGACCCTCATTGTCATCATCATCATCTATGTTGTGAAGTGTTCTCTGCCAGTCATTGTCATCACTGGTCTCCAAGCTGATGATCAAGTTATGAACAATCAAGCAGCATCGGATCTATAGAATTGCCCAAAAGTAATGCTTACAACTGGAAATCTGAATCTGAAGCTTCCGGAGTGACTGAAATTGACCCTTCAGTAGTCCTATAGCATGCTTCACATGAACTTAGATCCTGCTCAGATAGTAATTATATCTACCCTGGTTTCATGAGAGCTGCTGGCCAGAGAGTCGCTTGAATGGGGCTGCCAACCATATCTCAGAAACATAAGTGGAGTCTGCCCAAACCCATTCATCTGGTTCAAGAAATGCATGTGGATTCTTGTACAGTTGCATATCTTGAAATGCAGTGGAGTCATGGGCACTGCCACTATGTCCCACATTGTAATTGACAATCTGAAGGTTATGAGGGAGAATGGCAACCTACAGAGCAAATCAGCATGCAATCACTGTGCATGAATAGCGAGTTACCTATAATGCCATTGCATAGTTCTTGTCCTTGTTGAACCAGGTCTCACCATAGAACCCTGGTTTCTGAAACAAGTTAATAGATGTTCCATCAATGGCAATGATACCTCCTTGCCACTCTTCACACCCTGATTATTCATATGCATATGCCCTCACTGCCACTTTCTCCTCTTTGGTAGGCATTCTTATAGCCTCATCATGGAATCCCAATAATGCAATTGTTACTCACTTTGTGCAGTTATTCACCATTCCAACTGAGACACCTGCCCACTCAGCCGTATCTGCCAATGATGCCGCATTTCCATAGTGCCCGGCACAGTTAAGATATATGGCCAACTGATAGTTTACAGGTATTTGAGCATTGTTCGAGTCATTATGAAAGACCGCATGATCCTCGAGTTTCAGTACCAAGGCATTAAACACTGATGGGCTCACATGAACACAGTGTCAAAAATTCTTCTGATTGTAGACCGCATACCAATTGAGAAGTGGGAAGTGCAAAAGGTGAGGAGCATATTCTACGGGTGACACCAAGATACACTTGTGCTCAATTCTATCACGCAATGCCCTGTAGTAATGAAGAATTATTTGTAGTCCATTCGTAAGATCAACTGTGATGTCTGACAAAGTTGTACTTGAAGCCATAGTATTCTGCGACATGGCAGAGGCATCTGTCAATGCTGACAGCTCTAATGCAGCTGAGAGTGGTGAGGTGAGCATCATGTCATCAAGCTCATCACCATTGTCTATGAAAAACATGTAGACAATAAGTGGACATAACATCTCTAGATACGTTGTCAGTCAGAAAATGTGTTTCCTGCAAAGAAGTTTCCAGGTGAGACGTTACACCAGGTCTTCTCTGTTGTTCATTTAGGGTGAGGGAGGGTTTTCCTTGTAGTCTTACTAGAGAAGAAGACTTAACTAGTTATACCATAAGAGGGTGTGTGATAAACCAAGTATAGTGAACACTTAAGCTATGAAGCTTTTTGAATTCACTAAGCAAAGAGGGGGTAAGGATGTGATAGGATTGATAGATGTTACAAAAGTACACACAAGAGTACTATAAGCAACAATAAAAGGTAAGATAAAAGAGACACTTTCACTTTCACTTTTAAACTTTAGAATTTCAGATAGTAAGAAGCTTTTAGAATCTATAGGAGCACTTACTGAACAAGTGTTTTGAAATCATGTAATCAATCTTGATCATATATCACATGTTCTTCAATGTATTTTGAGCTTATCAGTATCTAGATCAGTTAGCAGGCTCATATGTGCTTGCACTATCTTGTTTGAGCCTTCTATCTTATCTAGATGCACAGTTAAGGAGATTGCCAATAGTTGAAGATTTGATCAACTGAGGTTCAAAAAGCAGGGTTGAGTGCCACACTCTTCTTTTCTTCAAAGACTGTATTCTTCTTCCTGAAGTACATACTCACCAGTATTGCCACAAGCCAGGTAAATCTGCTAGTCATTCTATTTAGACCTTTCAAACATATTTCTAAGTCCGTAGGATTCTTTAAAGATGAGTTTGGTGCTTGCACGATACTTTGTGCAGTCTTTATTCCTTCAGAAGTTGGATTACATTCTAAACCTTTTAACAATATGAGCTCGGTATGTGCTTTCAGATCATTCAGACTCTTCTCAATCCATTAAAAGGTGTTCCCCTTGTAGGTTGAAGAAATGGAGGCTTTGGAGCCTCCTCCTTCAAGTATGAAGGTTTTTCTTGAAATCTTTGGTATTATTTGTGGAGTCATGATCTTCTGTGGTGGAGAGTTCCTTATAATGAGATTCATTATTAAGTGTGAAGATTGCTCTAGGAGTTCAGGAGGAGGACCTTCATCTTTGTAGAGTGTACTTCATTCTTACTTGCTGATGTGAATATTCCAACATCATCGAATCTCAAATTATTTAGTCCTCATCTTGTCACTGTAAAGTGATGTCACTTGAAATGAGAATAAACAATGGTGTCTCGATTGTCCTGTCACTATTTTGGTCTTTCTAAGTGCGCATGGACTTTGTCAGTGTCAAAGGTCCAGTTAAATGCCTACCACTGACATGGCACTGTCAGATGATGATACTTATCTTTAGAAGCTATCTCTTTTCAACAGATTTGAGTTTCAGATTTACCCATCTTGAGATTAGGTAAGTCTTACTCCTTCTAGTCCAATTTGGTCATATTCACATTTGACTTTCAGATTCTGAGACTGCCTCATGGCTGCCACAATGTGTGTCACATTGCACACATATTCAGAATATTAGCCTGATGTCTTTTCTGACCTGATACTTCTTTAGAATCATTCTGGAGTCTTCTTCAGCTGCTTCCACTCCTTCAGCTTATCCAAAGGTCCCTAAGCGAGTGGTGATTGGCATCAGTCTCTTTGTCAGAGTCATGGTCTTGGCCATGGTTATTATGTGGTTGCAGTACACATTCTTTCCTCTTCAATGCAATTCCAGAGATGCATGCAACAATGCTCCGGCTCCTATAGCAATGGTTTCTTTATTGTCTGTCCACTTTAATACAGTCACAGTCCCTTCCACTCCTTCATCTTCATCATCCACTCCTTTGGATTCTTCGGCCAATATAGCTCAGACTTCATTATCATCAATACATTCCTCACATTCCTTACCTCCCATTCTTCATGCTTTCTGTTCATCTTTAGGAGACTTGAGGCATACATTATCAGTTTGAACTGAAGTTGGACTTGATGTTCAGGAGATCTTTATTGTACTTGTCATTGTTATTGGGATACCCTATTTCTTGTCATAACTGCAGTGTGTTCTTCTTCTTGGACTTTTATATTTAGTGTCAAATATCAATGTGATCTGTTCATGTGCCAAACACTTTTGGTGCAGGACAACGTATCGATAATTAACATATGACTACTGGTGCTGCCAGAACCAGCCACAGATGGAGAATTCTGAAGATGATCTATGGAATCAACTTGCCAATCAGTGCTCAGCACTTAGCTCCAAATACTAAATTTCATACCTATGCCATCATCATCGATTGAGAGAGCCTCAATGTATTGCTGCATGACTGAATAGAAACCATGATCGACACAGTTGAGCATGGTTTGCCTCAAGGTAACAGCATGGCGAGACTCACGGAGAGGTCTGTATGCAGCCATATTGACAATGGGAATACGGGAGGATGAACTGGAGGATGTTGGGTTTCCTGGCCCATGGTTTATATATGCCCTCATAATGCTTCACACACAATGTCAAAATGTCTTCGCTCAGAGAATTATCTATTTTGAGAATTGAAAAGTGAGTGACACAGGTCACAGATGAGCGCTGAGAGTCATCTTTTGCACAGCAGATGTGAACTTTGAAAGAGGCTAATATGAAGACATGCATACGAGGTACAGCGGAGAAGATGAATTTATCAGGCAATAATACATGGCAGGCTGTGTTTGTACTAAGATGCATTCTTCCAGATATGAGGTGCCCACATGTGCATACCAGTGACAATTGTTGCCATGACTACACGAATGCTCCTCCCGGGCGTGGTAAATCAGCTTCGGGCGCTGTAATGGTTGAGTATATTAGCTGCAGGTTCAGAGAAACAGAAACAGCACCCGGAGTAAATTGGCTGTCATCCGATATCTAAAATCTGTACGCCTCTCATCCCGTTCTTCATTCCACAGACATTTTGCCATGCTAAGTCAAATTACCGCTGCTAACGACTCGGAGTCCCAATCTCAGCCTGCTGATTCTTATCGGCCCACCACGGATGTGGCAGTAGGATCAATGGGTGATACGCCAAACATATCTCTCATGACCGACGGTGCTCGTTACATGATGTATGGCTACTGTGTTTCTCACACCTGGTTGCTCATGTATGCTCGGCATCACAATCTCGTGACGAACAACCAACGTCCAGATGATCTGAAGGCAATTTTCGATATCCGCAAGAGGATCAACTGGCACGATATCAGATCCACCACTGTGCCGACGAAGTGTGTATACAGGATTCTTCACAAGGACACAGGTGGCACTTTGAAGTCCATGAAGGGTCTAGATATTGTGGGCAATACTGGGTTTGACCATTGTTTTGTATTTGCTTCCGGTTCGAACAGGAATGCAACTGCGCTCGCCACCGCCTTGGACCCAGAGCAGATCCGCTTGGTCCAGGAAGTCTTGTGCATAACTTCATCCCCACAATGGTATCTGAGGACGGACAGAGAGCTCCCTCATCAACCATATGATGGATATGTGAGTCAAGGTTTCCGATTCGATGATATCGAATATATGTCTCACATTAACGTTCATACAGAAAGCTCATCCTGATGACGATGTTGCATCTCCCGCGCAGTACTTGGGGAAGAATGCGACTAGCAGGAAGTGACGATGGACAAATGTAGCAGTGATCATTTGGTCTTATTCCTTATGCGCCACCATTGTTCAAGCTCCCTCAATATAGGCCGGCTTGCATGAGCCACGCAGCATTGGTTGGATGGATCACCGAAACTTCTGTAATCTTTGTGTCACGCGTTATTTTCATGTTTCTAACACCGAATCAGCATACTTGACTCTTTAATCTTTTTTGGGAAGCGAAGGAGACATACAGTCACGCACTGAGTTTGAGTCAGTCGTTATATAAGCATACTGCCTTTCGAGGAATGGTTGCTCGGCGCACGCTGAAGTCTTGACTAAAGTGGCGGCGGCTTGCCGTGCTATAAGGCGTTGACTAAGGTCTGTACTGAGGAACGTCCCGAGAACCGTCGGACCAAACACCTTTCGGGCAGGTGAGAGAAGGAGGTCTTGTCCGACGTCATTCTGCAGAAGTGAGAAAAACCTTTTCGCTACGTCTCAGGAACTACTCACGGGGACAGGTGGCATCTGTGAGGGCACGTAATAAAATTATTGGGAAAGAATGGCTGAGGAAGCGAGGTCGGCGTTGCTACTTCAAATACAGACGCGTCCTTAAGTGGAAATTAGCGCTATCTTTCGACCACAACGTTCTCGACGGAAAGTCGGAAACTATCCAGAGATTTTCGTCCTTCCAGTTGTTCAAAAGCTCGACTCTATGTGAAATCGGTGAGTGGCCGCCCACCAGTACCTGAAAATAGCATTACATTATTTGCGGAATAAATCATAATGGAGTCTATTTCAGCGATGTCGCTCAGAGTGCTTCCGGCCGAACTCATATGTTCTATTCTCGACGAGCTGCCTGTACGAGAACTCGTTGGAGTGATGCAAGTGAGTTATACCTGCTTCTATCCGAACGCTTGATTATAATGTCAGCGCTGTACACCATTTAGGTATGCCGGCTTTTCCGTGACACGATCAAATCGTCTACCGGCTTGATGTACAAGATCGAACTCATGTTGGCTACCATGGAGGATGTATCACTAAACATCACGAATAAGGCTGCGAAGCGTGAGCTCCTTCAGCGCTATCGGAAAGCGTGGAGTGCGTCTCCATGGAAAGCATCTTCAAGGAAGGTAGTGCGTTTAATGGATGGCCCATTATGGGAACTCTGTGGTGGCATATTCGTGCAGAGTACCGGTCGAAGAGAACTGACCTTCACCCAACTTCCTTCCCAAATCCGTGGTATGACGGAACGGGAATGGAAAGTGAAAGTACCATTCGATATCGCCGACTTCTGTATTGATCCTTCCCTCAACCTTATCGCCGCCATCGAAGACAAAAAGCAAGTCTTTTCACATATCTTAGATGCTCCATACTGACAACGCCACGTAGTGGTCACGGGCGACTTCATTTGTTAACCATGTTTTCCGGCGAGAAACATATCTGTGCTGAGAAAAGCGTTGTAAAGCTTCCTCTTCCCCCCGTTGGAAACACTTCATACAACATCCGTATATCCGGCGAGCTTGTCGCTATCTTAACACGAACGTGGTCTTTTGGCTCTACTCAGTGGGTCACCAAGTTTGTCGTATTCCACTGGACGCTCGCGAAACAGAAATTGGCTAGTCACAAATTCTTCATTTTTGAGCAAGGTCACTAATATCTCTTTCAGTCTAAGACGGAATTGGGGGACGATCTTAATCTGTTCTCGTTCGCTTTCCTTGATGGACGTCACATCGCGGTGGCCCACGGCGATAGAACTATCCCTCAGGGCGAACTAGTGGCTGCTCTTACTATAATCGACATCTCTAGCCGCATCAGAGAAGATCAACGGGTCGCCCGTAAGGTGACTTTATACTTCCCCTCTTTCAAATCTGGATGGTCTTTGGAGAATATAGAGGTTGCTTGTGATCCCGCGCCATGCTACAGTGCATCTCCCATGTTCAATCCACCTTTCCAAGTAGCCAGGCTTGAAAGGATTGTTTCTGTGAAATTATTCTCAGTCGATCCTCAGTGGGAAAGCGAAGATGCTCAGCAAGTATTGGTCCCAGCACATACATTGATTTCCCTCGTCAGAAGTGGGGAGTCTACGAGCAATGGCGGAGTACCTTGGCACGAATGGGGCCCAAGGAAAACACGCATGCTTCGGGCTGCAGCTCTCCCAAACCTCGCCTGGTGCTATCCGGTTTATGGTACTAAGTGCGTGGGACGAGAGCAGGGCAAAGTGGTGATCTATGATTTCAATCAGCTTGCAGTCAGATTTGCTGCAGGTTCTCCCCCCGATTCCCAGTCCGGAGAGATAATTCTTCATAGTGATACGGAGGAGCCTGAAATGTTCGCTGGTACTATCACTACATCGTTGCCTTATCGCAAATTCACATCCGAAGTACCAATCAAACGAGACGATTCTGTTATGATAAACGAGGACTCTATCGTGGTCGTCAAGGTATGTGACCTCCGATGCCTGTCGACGACTTCAATTGAATCGTCTATGAATGCGCTTTAGGAAACCAATGATACTTTCATCGTTTACTCGTTGTAAACCTATTGTACAACTGCTTTTTGTGCAGAATATAAATCTATGGAAATTTGTCGACAAGTGACGATGATGTGAAGGCACAAGACATATACAGAAAACATGAGGTTTCTCTAGAGGGCAGATGTATACGCGGCAAGAGTCACGGAGAACAATGGAGGTAGTCGATAAGGAGCAGATCTTCTCGTTTGGCGGCTCGTGTGCGACACCTCTTGTCGAACTCCAAGATACGCCCATGGCCAGCCACAGGGGACTTAGCGAACTGTCTAAGTATGAACTTCCCGTAGTTCTGAATCTCTCGCCTACGTGGAGGGTTTGCCAAGACTACAATTTTAGAGTAGGGGTCCCAAGCCGCGATCCAGTCCTCCATAGAGGTGACATCCTTTGGCCCGCTGACATTATTGCATACCAGATTAAGGTCCACATAATCATTCAACAGGATCGAGCGTAACAGGTCGTCCGAGAACTTGGGGAGGTCTTCACGCGTTGCCAATGCGCGTTTCAATGCTCGAAGATCCATTGGGTAGTCATCCTTGTGCCGAAGAGACATTACAACGTGAGTACCTATGGGGCAAGATGAGAGCTCCCCCTGTAATTGAACGTTTTGGATATTCTTCACGCGATCTGCCGATGTTTCGGGGAGTGTTGAATGAGAGGCCACTGCAGTATCGCCAGTTGTTACGGAACCCGCGGTTGATTGCTCCGAGGGCATATCGGCAGCCTGGACTTCTACGTCCTGCCGCACTGGAAGACCCGAAACGGTATTCTCCAATGACATTTGACTGAAAAAAGGTGTGACGTCTTGACTTTTGGTAGAAATTGTTTTGGAGGCGCTGCGTTTGTTATCGTGCTCGTCGAGCATACCAAGATAGGGACGAATAGCCTCTTCGGCCTGCAAAAGAGACAAAATTTGGCCGATGGCCTGTCCCTTTTCAATTTGCAATGCTCGGTATTGTTCGACGACCAAAGCGCAGCACCGTTGAGCTACTATGGGGGCCAACTTTGTTAGCTTCCGGGTGGGGAGAGGGGGAGTGACGGAATTCATGCTGGAGTGGAGAAAGGCGGAGGGACACAGGGATTACTATGCAGGAGTCCAGGACTGATGATGGAAGTATAAGATGAGATAAGCATTCCAGGGAAAGAGACATTCATGCACTCACTTTTCGCTATAGCAATGGGAGTGGAGAATAGGAGACAAACCTGTGCTACCACAAAGCTCCGGATCTTTTTATGGCCACTGGACAATTGAGGTCAAAGAGATCGGCAGAACACTCTTTGAGGCCAAAGAATCCGTATTGTTCCAAGTCCACGCTGTGGCCCTTTGACGCTGGAAATCATATGCCTCTCCAACGTGTTCGTCATGCTCAGATTCCTTTTGTCATATTCTTACGTTTCAACATGGCCCGGGTCTGCTCCTGCCCAGTGTACTCATGTCCTTCTCCAGATTAGCTGTGATGATAATACAATGACGATGAACATACATTACTATACAGATTGTATTAGCTTCGTACACTATCTATTTCGCCAGGTCGGTTGAAATGGCCCAGGTTGTGGTACAGGTGCGAAGAATCGGGGATACATTTGCATAGCAGTGAAGTCAGGGGATGGCGCATAAGGTAATGTCTGAGCCATCCCGAACGTTGCAATTCCTGGCCCGCTTGTCGGCCGAATGGGTGGGGATCCTTGCATTTGAGGCGGTTTGAAGTTCTATTGAACACATTTCTGAGTATGTATGGTAACAGAGAACGGAAACAACTTACGTATTGTCGTCCTTCCTTGTACAATTCTTCAAGTTTTTTATCGAATATACCCTCAGACTCGAACTGTAGATGAGCCTTGTACAATCTCAGAGCTGTAAGAGCATCCTCTATCGAGTCATGGGTATCGGTCTGTATGTTTTCCTTAAGAATGAACCATGCTAGGAATCGCAAGGACAACCTCCGCTGGCGATTATGGAGGTAGTAAAGATCCACGGTGTCGATGACTTGCTCGGGAGGTACGAAGATGTCTAAAGCATCACGTCAGGCTGGGAGCATGGCATAATCACCATGACTGAAGGCTTACTGATTATCCGGAAGTCTTTTGATAGACCATGACCGATAAAGATACATCCACGATCCACTAGCAATCTCAGCTTCTTGTACACGACCTTCAATGGAGTCAACGTATACCGAGATGTTTGAGGATCGAGATCTCCGACTACAAACCGGATTGATAAGTAAACAGGAAGAGCATTAAGAGATCGAATACTGACATTGGATTCCGGAGAACTCAGTCAAATAATCCACAATCATCTCACTAGTGTGAATATGGTCATCAATGAAAGGGAGACCCTCCTTGGGACCATTTCCACGGAGGACTGAGACCCGAGCCAAGCTAAGACGAGCTGGTCGAATCACTGTCTTCGTGCCGTCAGAACGATATTCTGTCTCCTCCTATAGAAAGTAAAGTGAATAGAGTAAACGGCGTTTAGGACAGGACGGAGACGTACCTGCTGCATGAGGACAAACTCAGCATCAATAGCTATTAACGTTCCAGGCTTAGGTAGTTCGTCTTCGCTCAAGCACTCGTGTTTAATGAAGTTGGGATCTCGGTTCCTGCATAATTGCATCAGTATGCATATTCCTGAGACGAAGTCGGACAACATACATCGAAATGTTTGTGTCCTGGCTGAGGATGGAGGCATCTATCTCCTTCTGCAGACTGCTGAAGTCTAGTTGTGACCGCCTGTCTACTCGCTCGAAGTACAAAACCGTGGGTACCTGCGGAACTTTCAGTGGATCAGACTTGAACGTGAGTTACTAAGCATACCTTCCAACTGGCAGGGAAACTCAGTGCCTCGTCTTCTGCGATGTTCTGGACACTGAAGTCGTTGAAGATATACCATGGGCTGTCATCCTGGCCTTGTCGAGTAGCTTCCGCCTCAGGAACTGCAGAACATTAGACCAATACGAACGTGTACCGAGCAGTGACTGCTTACCCTTAATTAACGCAACTAGATGCGTAGGGCCCTGTTTATGCTTCGCATCGACCTGCACGACGAAGCCCTAAAACAAAAATGAATACCAAGTACACCGCTGGAGGTGAAAAACATCTACCCGCAATTCGTACAACACAGTTGAAGCTTCGTCTTGCCCATGTACCTGTCCTCGTAATTCTAGGGTAGGTTTGAGGAACGTCTGTCGACGTGCGTCTCTCCAGAAATTGTGATTCTCTTCACTATATACAGAGGCATTGAGAGCCAGAATGGGTGGCAAAGCATAGTTTGGGATGGAGCGTTGAGACTCGAAAGAGACATGTTGCCTATTGCACGCCGGACAGGAAGCCTTATGGGAAGTATGTCGCAGAAGAGAGTTCCGAACGATAGAGGGGAAGTCAGTCCCATCCTCTGGATTATTGGTTGCAGCCTGTCAGGTAGCATCTAGTCAATAGCAGACTAATGTTGAGAAGGCATCTGCCCACCTTTCGGGGATAGACTAGGTCAATGACATGCATCATTTGGTCCTTTTCTCGTGTTGTGTGGCAACTAGTACATGTCACAGTATTCCTCGCAGTGATTCCGACTAGTTGAGCGATCGGCGAAGGCGCTGGCTGTTGCGAGTCCCCATATTGCTGAAGTAGCGGGGGATTATGAGGGTACGCATTACCTTCCAAACTCAGATGGTCGACCAAGAAACGATGACAGGACTGTATCATATGCGCATGGTTCAGATCAGCAGACTCGCGGCCGTAGTCGATGAGCTCTATCAAGTTCGAAGCTACCCGCGTTCACAGTTCAGCTGGGAGAATTTACGTATCGAAGCTCGCTACTTACCTTGGGCTAAGAACCCGAGAGTCTTGCAGAAATTACTTGACTGACAGTTTGTACCCCTCGCATCTTCGAGCATACGCACGACAAAGCCCAATTCACAGAACAAGCAGTTTTCCCGACGACAATCAGTCGTGATGTGGGATTTAGCCAAGTTCCGAATAGGATACGTGTAGTGCAAGAGTTGCAGGAGAGGGTTGGTGTATGAGTTAAGGATATGGGTCTCCAAACCACTTAACTCTGTGTGGTTGTACCACCTGTATATATAACAAGTCTCAGCGATGCATAGGCGAAAGATGCAAGGAAAACTTGCCCGAAGTCAAAATCCTCAACGCCGAACTTGGAGTACTCTATCTCGACCTTGCGGTACATACGTGGAATATCTTCAGGATCGTACTCGTAGGTTGGCGTTTCGGGTTCGGACTAGCATGTAGGCGTAAATATCCACATTAGTCTCCTCTGTAGAAACAGATCGACTCACACCACGTCTTATCAATTGATGCCTGAAGCGACTTCTCCTTTGCTTAGGCTCAGACGGAACCACATTTCGCCTTCCTCGTAGTTCCTTAGGAAGGCTCGCATACGCCACGTTGTCGTTAATTTTCATCGTGGTCAGAATTTGTTGAGGAATCTTTGGGGGCGGCGGACAAAATATGTCTCTGGAGAGGAACTTGGGTGTCCAGGAGGAGAGCAGTGTTGTCGTATAGTAAGGCATCCCAATGGCGTTGAGGGGGCTAAGGCAGATATGAGCTCTCGGCGCAAAGATAATGTCTGACGGTGACTTACGTGGTATCTATCCACTCAATCGTCGGGAGTTCCTCCGGTGGATCTGCCCATTCAACAGGCTGACCGTCAAAACCGTTCAAAGGCAGATCAGAACCCTCCTCGGCGGCTGTCAACAGATGAATAATTCCGTCGGCATCACCGAAAGCCATGTATGAACCGGTTGGAGAAACAGCAGCAGTGGTCACGTAGGATGCGGAAGCCAGCTAGATCCAGAATTCAATGAATCGTCAAAGTGAGGAGTAAAGGGGCTTACTTGATGAAACTCGCTATCCGTCGGGTTTGTTACATCCACAACGTTGATCAAACCCTCGTTCGAGGTAACGACGATGGTGGATGATCTTGTGGGTATGCGATTGATAAAAGCAGGTCCATTAGAGAATGGCACGGGTGGTAGGGCCCGCATGGTACGAATATCATACACCTTTACCAGTGGATCAGGAAAAGGGCGTCCCTGTCTGACCGATTGGTAAACGTTACATCGCCAAGAAGCGTTATGTCAATAAAACTACCTCGTGCCCATCCCGATCGTACACAGGAAGTTACTTCCGGCCTCCAGACCTTGGACGCCGTTCAGGTGAGCTTGAATAGTGTGGACAACGTCAAGCGACCTTCGAGAGTCGTGAATGCGGACGTATCCATCAGACGATCCGCACGCGAGCCCGAAGTGTGTATCAACCAATTGATTGTATATGGATGTCACTGGAGTACTGCGTAGAACGTCGCCAGTATGTGCATTGATAGAAAGCAATTCCTGCCCGGAGGTGGCGGCATAGAATAGAGAACCGCTGTTATTGGAGAATGCGGTGATCGAGCTGTTGGACCTTGACGCATGCAATGAAAATTCAGCGTTGATTCGATGACTTGAAGTTGCCAGACACACCTATAATACCACTTATTCACCCCTCCTCTAGTCCATGCCCCGATACCATTACCAGACACTCCAAAGGCTCGAACGTTTGAGTCTGTCGCGATGATATCCTTGACAGCGAGGTCACCACCCACTGGGAAAGCGACACCACGTACTCCTTCGATACTATGATGCGCGACTATACGACCCGTGTTGGACCCTGACCATAAAGTGTCAGATACCGGATCGAAGGCGAGGGCCGTTATAGGGACAGGATAGATATCCACGCTGGGAGCTATCGGGGGAATTGCATGGTATTTTGCAGACATCGTAAAGTCATTAGTATCTAAACGGATAGTCTAAAGCATGCAGAGATAGTGTGCCTCTGCGTGTTCCGAGTTGAAGCCAGTACAAGCACCTCGAGGTCGTGGTCAAAATGAGAAATGTACAGTATATGGGCGGCTAGAAGCGCACGGCCTTGTTTGGCAGGTATCAAGGTTCAAAATATTCGAAGACTGTCGTCTCACTCGTATTAGCTAGCGTGAAGTCTTGAAATGCGCAAGATTCCTTACAGTACGCAGTAAATATACACAAGGATGTACAACGTATAGTCCAAATGTAACAAACTACAATATGCCAATAGTCCGCCCGAGTTTCTCAGCGAGATATGCGCACGCGTTCAGCGTGAAATAGAACAGCATTGGGATGACACCCATAAGCAAGTTACCGAGAATTCCTCTACGTGTGATGGTATCCCATAACTCAGTCTTGATAATGGCCGGCGCACTGTCAGAGCGGAATGGGCCAACCAAGCGATAGAAAGTGACGAATGCGGCACCAAAGCTGGCAAATGATGTTGTGAGCGAGTTTCGCAGTGACACAAGGCAAGGCGTCCTTACCAATAGCAGATGAGAGCATGCATCCCATATTCTCGCCATACTTCCCACAGACCCGGAGCCGCACCAATGTCCTTCGCAAGCGTGCTGACGTATGTCGAGTGGTCCACCCCGTACTTAATCCTCGCATTCTCTTTCACAAGAAGATGGTAGTGTGGCGGTGGAAGTGGCTTCTTGACTTGGCCCTTCAGCAAGGATATCCAGAAGAAAACCTGCATCTCCGCTATGGGAGGAATTGCACCTACAACGAAAGATCTCTAGCATCAAGAATAAAAGAGCTGCAATTCACTTACCAACTCCGGGACGCACGAACCCAATGAAACCCACAGTTTCGTCCCCAGTTTTAGTGATATTCCTGACATCTGCCTCAGCAGGAGTCGCATAACCACTTTCAGAATCAAGGAAGCTGAAGTCCTGTTTATATCCCGTAGCATAGATGACAGTATCCGGTCGTACATCCTTTCTCGCTATCCGAATAGCGTCTTTACGCTTGGACATCGGGAATACCGCTCGACCGTTTGGCAGGAAATGCGAGGGAAAAGGAGCGAGATCAACAATGAAATCGGTATGTGGAGGCATGTCTTCTGGAGGGTCGAGATATCGAGAGAGGTACTCCATGAGCTTGGGACGATCGCGGTATGGGCGATTGATGTACGGCATGGCTTTATGTGACTATTTAGCGTGTCAAACATATTCTGTTTGAAGTGAAAACGTAGCTCTCGCCTTATTGAGGAATACATATGCTCGACCAAGCCGCTCAGGCTCCAGCTCACCAACCTGTCAGACCGTCAGATGGCGGTTCTAGACTAGTATGATAGACACCCACCCATTGGTTACAACCAGCCTGGGTACCTAGAAACAGCTCTCAGCGGAACAGAACGAGAAAGGACGAAGCAACATGCATACCAGTCAGGACCCACAATACCCTCTTGATAACAAAATCAGAGATGCTAAAACATAACCTCAGCATATGACATCGCAAATGAGAATTCATGCTACTGACAACCATCGAATATGCGAAGCTGCGACCCAAGGATGCTGAACAATCACGTTAGCCGAATAGAAGAATAATAGCTTGAAGGCACGTACGACATATGCTGTCTCCGCAAAGTTTGTAATCAAACTATCGATAGGAACAGGGTTCTTCGACTCGAATTTAAAACCAAGGATCTCAAAGTCATTCTATAATACCATCAGTTTCCACATCGCACACGAATTGATTCTCTTCATACCAAAGCCTTCGGAAAAGATAAGAACCTGTAGCAGAAGTGAACAAAACATCTTCGACACAACATCAACTCTGAGGCATACCCTGCACGGGAACACAGAATAACTTCCTTCGCCTGTGCCTTGGCCGCTTCGTAAGCGAGGTCCATACCAGTTTCGCCTGTCCCAAGAATCATAAGCCTTCGCCCATTTATTTGAGACCTTGAATTGTAGTCCGCTGAGTGGAACACAGCTGGCTTGATTCCAGCCTTCTCGCCTTCTGGAGATGTATTCTTGAGAACATGTTCGATCCCTGGGATATCTGCAATAGCGGGAATGACGTGCAAGCCAGTGCAGACCGCGACGTAGGTCGCATGAATTACGGCAGGAGCTGTACACCTTGATTATTAGAACGTGTCGAGCAACAAGGGTCTGGATGTAAAGACACAGACAAGTTTCCCATTCGCCAGGTTCATCTACACGTCTTCTAACGTAGGAGACGAGATGTCCTCCTTCAGGAGCACGCTTGATATTGACGACTTTGGTGTTCAGCTGTATTCGTTGTTCGACGTCGAAATGTTTCGAGTATGCTCGTAAGTAGTCAACGTATTCCTAGCGAACGGTCATTCGATAGAACATTCGGCGAGCATGTTGCATACCTCGAGTGTCAAATGATCAGGGTGGGATAAAGGCAACCGAAAATCTGAGAATGAGGTGAGTTGCTTCGAGGATACCAAGCTGGAATTCTACCACAAGTAGATATCTCAGTCAGAGTACAGTCAGAGTACAAGTGTGAGCCCTAGTATATAATGCACACCTCGTATGAGCGATATCTGAACGTCCCTCCGATGTCGTCTTCCTGTTCTAGTACAATAGGCTCGAATGGGAATTCCGTAGTAGTCGCTTGCATGAACGTCTTGCAAGTCACCAAGCCAGCAGGGCCGGCGCCGACTATCACAACTTTCATGGTTGAAACCAAGTCGAAACTTCAGGGGGTCATAACAAGAAAGCTGAGTATTCCTGCTACCGTAGGTAGTAAGTCTTGCACAGTAAGTGACCGACCATGAATGGTCTTGACGTTAAGACTGCCCGAGCCGTGCCCGAGCCTATCAGCTCAGTTTCTGACCCGTTTAGGCAGGCTCTGTAGTTGAGAAATATATGTTGATCTGCAGTCGTTCACATTTAAGGCCGCCACAAGGTTTAGTATTGTGCTACAAGTACTTCGAATGTGGTGTAAGAGGTAATGATTTATGCTACGATCATATATTATCAATCAGGCGACGAGCGGAGTCTTCGCCATCAGAGCGAGCATGTCCCAAGCAATGTTGGCAGCTGCAATTTGCGTGATCTCATCTTGCGTATCGTAAGCTAGAAGGGATGCTTCAACAAGTTGTTCCGCCTTTGACCCCTGTGATGCTTACCCGGTGCAACCTCCACGACGTCAGCGCCAACGATCTTGAGACCTGACAAGCCTTGAAAGATCTTCTTGATCTCCTGTATATGCGTTGAATCGTTAGGTTCCCAAGCATTGGAAACATGAGGTGAAAGAAATCCATACTCTTGTGGTGATCCCTCCAATCTCAGGGCTAATATCATCAGTATATAAGCTCTTCAATCACACCTGAGCATAACTCACGTTCCAGTGCTGTCCAATTCGAGATCAGGCTGAGCTCAACACGGTTTACTATGAAAGCAAGATGACTTACGCAGGAGCCAATCCAGGGTCAATCACGTCGATGTCGAGAGAGACTAAATAACATCTCAATGTACGACTGAAGCAGCGAGAGGTATTAACGCACTGTAAACTGGATTATCCCCCACAGTCTCTCTTATCATCTTGACGACGCCTTTCCAGCCAATATCTTCCAAATCATCTGCATGAGAGATCACGAAGCCAACCTCATAGTCATCATCATAATCTTCCCAGCGGTTGAGGGCGCCACGAATTCCGACGTGCTAACCAAGGCTATGTTCAATGAAGTGAAAACGAAGAAACCTTAAGAAACCATACAATGTTTGTGTTGTTCGGACCGAGCAGACCTTCCTTGTGGGCGTAGTAGAAGTAGTTTCCGTGTGTGATAGGTATTTCCTGATCGTCTTGCAGTAAATATCGAAGGCCTCAATCAATGTCTTTCAGCTTACCTCGCCTGGTAACCATGGGCTATCTTCCTGCGAATGAGGAGTTATAAGCAATAGGTGGGGATAACAAGATTTGGAGTATGTTGGAAGAAGCTCACCATCGGACGCGGTTTCCAAGTATCTGTGAATATCGGATTAGATTACTGGAATACTAAGTGAAGTCACAATAAATTCACCAAGATGACTGTCAAAATGGATCACGCTGCAGCAACAAAGTCAGAGAGCAGCACGATCTTGCCATAGAACTGCGCACCTAACAGGACCGTAGATTCCAGCAACTCCTCGCAGCAAAGGCAAAGTGATTGTATGGTCTCCACCCTGTAATACATCTCGTTGAATCAAGGTTTCGTCGCAGAGAGAAAACTGCACTTACGAGGGTCAAAATGCGAGGATGAAACTTGCCGTCCTTAGCAAGACTTTTACCCTCAGGGGCGTGAGAACTGGGACGAGCCAAGAGTGCAGCATTGGCGAGTTCGAGCTGACGCAAAGCAACCTTGTTGTCAACGAGAATCATTGCTTTTGTCCGACACATTAAGTTGATCATCTACTAGAATGATGACTCCGAATGAATTCGACTTACGGACATCCCCACAATCTACGATATCGATATGCTCCGTTGCTCGAATCTTCATGGGTACATTGACTCTATCAATACCAAGACGTCTTGAACCTTGACGAATACCGTTAGGTCCGAAGCGAGCACTGTAGAAAATAAGAAACTGCGCAGAATAGTGAGACGTAGAAAAGCATTACCCCGGACGATAACTAGTGGCGATATCGAATGGTGCGCCTGAATTTAACGCGTTCAACCATATGCGCTGAACAAAATAAAACCACAAACTCACCGAGGACGGCAACGTCGTATAAGACACCCGCGTCGCTGCCGAAACAGCGCAATGGAGGCGCTTTTGCGAAAGTCGTCAAACCATTCCATGAGTCCTTGGACCAGGTATCTGTGAATATCATTTCATTCGAGAACAAGCGTGTATAGTTGATTCCCGATGGCTCTATTGTAGGAACCGTGAGAGGGTTTTGCTCCGAGAATGTCTGTATGACGAGCAAACCAAGGATCGCGGATAGGGTACGGAATGACATCGTTCGCCTCTGGAGCACTTGTCAACCTGAGAAAAGGTCAAGTCTGGGGGAGACACCCTGCTGCGTATCTTAAGAGTAGCATGTCGAGCCCAGTCATAATTATACTTGATATGACACGTCCGATAAGCAATATTGTTGAAGATAGAGACGTCCTGAGATAGCGCAGCGTGAAGTCATAGCGGCCCGATTGGTATGTGTGTAAAACAGCGTAGCTGCAGTGATAAGCATTCTAATCACGGCTTCGGGCTGCCGTTCGACCGCCACATCTGAAGTTTGGAAGTTCATGCTATCAGCCATAAGTATTGTTATTTGGTTCAGTCACCTGGCCGGACTGGTGGCGTCGAAAGCCAAAACTACGAGCAATCGCCTGAAACTTAGAGCAGCCCATGGTGAGAAGGGGGCTCTACAGAGAGCTAGATTGTTACATGCATCTGGTTGGTGCACGTCAAATCCCAGTGAAAGGCAGTTCACAAAGCCACCGTTGGCCTGCAGCTTCGTGACTTACTTGATTAAAATGCGTGACCGTGACAAGGACATCTGTTCTGCAGCGCGCTGCGGTCAACTTCCAAATGCCGCTTGCCTGGTGGTCGTGAATTGAATATTGAAGGTTCGAGGAGTTATTTACGTTGACTGAAGGCACTGACTTGCGCACAATAGGGCCTGCCGTCGGTCATGTTAACAAACGACGCTTGATGGTCATAGTATCTCGATGATTACTGGCACGACGTGATAAGTACCTTGCTATTCATCGAAGGTTTTGTACCGCGACCGTCTCCTGCCTGTCAGTGCTCACTACGAGGGGTCTTCTGCCTTCGTATTTGAAGACCTTTCAGATGTGACACTTCATAGAAGATGGCGGCACCGCTATGCTAGTTTATAGGCCATTATCAATGCCAGCTTAATGACGCCTCAGGATGTTCACAAGTCCAATGGTCGTGGCGTCAAGCCCTATCGGCACCGTACTCATTGACCTATTTGTGCCCACGTGAGCATAGGTTCAGGCATTTAGCTATTTCTTGAAATGTCTGCATATCCAGTTCGGGTGATGATCTATTAGTAAGTTGTCCTCTACTTCTCTTGGTTTTACAAAACAAGTGTAAGGCATAGTAGACATGCCACTGAAACTGTATCGATACGCGACTTCGGAAAGTGTGCTCTCATAGTCTGTCCATCTCTTTCTCTGAGTCTTCCGGCTGATCGTTTACTATGTTCAGGTGATGATGAAGTAGGGCCCACTGTACCAGTGCCACTGTATGAGGACGAAGCATTCCCTTTTCTAACTCTTATGCGCCCTGGGGAGCCTGACAATTCTCTGGCTTCCCCCTTGGATCCACATAGGTTGCGAAGGATCGAAGCTATAGTTAGGTCACTGCAGGTCGCGCTGCCTTGAGTTGCTTCGTGATGTCCGAGTTCCGCAACGTCGTTTGTTGATCCTGTGGGTTCTTGGAGCTAGCTGAAACTGATGCAAGCTCATGATCCATCCTCTACGGGCTTTAGGCTGCAAGGGCGGTGCCGATATTACAGCCATATTTCGTCTAGCAAACTTAGGTCTCGTTCAGATTCAGGTTGGTGCAGTGTATTCGTGGCAGAAACCACAGTACTCACAGCTCCAGGTACCTTATCGGTCATAATAGCTCCCATGCTCAGGGTCTAATTCAGCCAAGTATTCTCCTTGAATCAAGGGATGCTGTGGTTTTCAGGACATGAGCCAGCCAACTCTCGACTGCGGCGAGGCTTGTGTGTGGAGCTTGAAGACATTCCCATGCGGCTGTGATGATATCCAAGATCGTCAAAGTAGCGATTGCCATCTATACATTTACATCGTGACCTACACGAGGCATGTTGAGGATGTGTCTTCCATTCCGCCGGTGTTCTTATGTGAACTCCGTATGCTCAGCTGGTACAGCATGTAACTATTGAGATTGCAGGGTCTTGCCATCTTCGTCGATTTTCACTGAAGGCGTACTCTCTATCAGATGCCGTTGATAATTCTGCTCGGGCACTGTCGACTTCGTCACAAAATCGACATTTGCATATAAGCAGAGCCGGACATCGTTGTCGCAATGTGGACCACTAGCGATACCACAGGATGGCCGAAAACTCAGCGCTTGAAGTACTTCCTGATTCGTTTGGAAGCGTTCTTATCGAATTTCTTATGGTGCCGATGTATGTATCACTCCCGTACTCCTCGTCAAGATCTACAACCTTTTACATTCTCTATCGCAGCCTGTATGGTGTCACAATCGTTCAAACTTATATCTACATATATAAGGGTAAACATGATCACATATGGATGAAGAGTATGGTGGGTGCAATATGGTGCGCTTCAATCTACTACACATTGGATTCCAACATCAAACATTATTGATGTCCATCCTCTTTCAGGGTGATAGAAACTGTGCACACCGCTGCCGTTTGTCGCCTCATCTATTTGTTCACCATCAGCGCTGTCACTGATCCAACCATCTTCTTCTTCATCGATTGGTGCGTGTCAACGATTCCTGTGAAAAAGACGACATTAAGTTCCTACAGGAGCGCTGCTGTAAGAATTCGTTGTCGAAATCGCAATCTCGATGTGACTGCTAAATCTAACTCATGTGAAGATGGTGATGTTTGCCGAAGTACGTGTATAAATGCATGTCACAATGAAGACTGCTGAAATCATCTCGTTCCTAGCTATTGATAACTGTGGCCGTTCAAGGGTATACGAAGTGTTTTCCTGGTACGGGCGAATCGCTGAAACCACCCCATTTATTCAGTTTCTATATATGGCGCATTTGGATCTGTGAGTGATTATGATACATCCTACGGCACTGTGGTCCTTATGTGCGAGAGAAGTGAGTAACCATAAGAAAATCCTGGTTTCAATCGTGGTGAGTTCAAAAATGACATTGCTGTCCCCACAAAGATGACTTATAAGCGTTGATGCTTTGACAGGCACTTGCGTTTTTCATTCGTATCGGTACGTAGTTTGCTAGCTTTCTACATCTACCAAATGAGATTGAAGCGATGGTATAGTTTTCGTTATGTGTACGTGCTTCGAGTGGCTGGTGGCCTTTCTGGATATTTGTTTAACATGCTATCTTTGATCAGCGACAACTGTATATCTGTAAGTGCACTGCGTACGCGAGCATTGATCAGCCAAAGTCATGTAGATTGCCCCAGAATTATTTGCCCAACTTGGACGGACTATATTCTGGAGAATCGCGTGTCCATTGTGAGTCGCTATCGCCAGAGTTGATGTCGACGAATTCATGCAGTGACTTTAGCTTGTGATCAAAGCCGCAATTTACTCATCTGTCGTGGACAACTTCGCCATCGCCGGAACCACAATTTATTATCTTTATCATAGAAAGACCCGATTCCCAAGGTACGTCCCTCATCTTGTCCATATTAACCCTATCTGAATGTTGCAGTGATCGCAGTCAAAGCGTCATACGATGGTTAATGGCTTATTCGATACACAGTGGGGCCATTATGATGTACGGCTAGGCTCTCCTTGCATTGCAGGATGTATACTCAATTGGGTTCGCTCCGCAGAGTTCTCGCCATCGCGACACTTATTACTGTACGTAGAACGAGCAGATAATTCCCAGTTGTCTGAACATACCTGACGCTATACTCTCCAGCTTGCTTGTTTGAATGGCAGTCTTGTGTATGCAGGTCTCATAGCGATCGATGCAAAACGTGAGTGATTCAGTACTTCTCTTCGATACTCGACTTATCATTCACGTCAGTATTGGCAAATTCCTTACTCGGCTCGTAAGTCATCTAGAACCATCGTCCGTCACCCTTCACGTTCATAACGCTCATCTCTAGTCTGAATGCTCGAGCGACGTTGCGCTCTAAGATGGTCAACGGTGCGGTAAACGCGGACTCAACGAACTTCGAACTGTTTAGCGTTTCAAGTTCGTCCCGTGGGCGGGTCCTAGAGGTCTGTGTTACTATTTTCTTTTCTCACAACGCGTCTTCTTGAGCCTAATCTTACCGCCTAGGTACAAGGAGATACACTGCCAGCAACAGTCATGGACATCCGACATAAGAATGATGGTGAAAAGTAAGCATCCTCAACTGTTTTAACAAGATGAAATTCTGACCTCCATTAATACTTCAGTGATTGGTCAGTTGATAGTGAAATCCATGAACGTAGCGCCCCACGCGATATATAACCTTTTTATGGACAAACACTCATCACAATCGACCTCCCACGCTGCCATTTGAATGTATTATATGACTATTCATGGTATCATGATTCCTAACGGGACGCTTCCTCCTCCCGCAGCTATAACAAGCTCAAGACTGGCTTCTCCGGTGGTTTAAACTCGGGAGTGTAAGAGCTTCCAAGAACATCTGTCATATGAAGATCAATTTTCCGTGGTGCAGGGTCCCTCAGTGGCGTCTTCGACATCAGCTTCTGGCCCACTCGTCGTCTGATATATCTGCCAATCGCAGAGCGTAAGGGTGCATGTCAAAATAAGCGATCGGATGCCCGAAAAGCTAAATGAATCGCTGCTGAGAATTCTCTCCTCGGTGCTCAGGTGTTCCCCCACTAAAACTTAATCCTGACTCCCGCCTGAGTTTCCCCGCCAGCGGTTTGACATTAATCCTGCTCGCCCGCTACGAGCTTTATTAATTGTTCAGTACGCGCAGTACTAGTATTATGGACGCGACGAATAGTCCCGGTACGCCTTCGGAGTTATTCGGAGGTCTACTCATTGCACTTTGCATCGCGATAGCGTACGCCTTATCTTCATCTGGAGTGGGCAAAGATGATATGACTTTTGTCTTTTAGCTTATACGGCGTTACACTCGTGCAGACGTATATCTACTCGCTAAAGAGCGGCAAGGACCCGATATGGATGAAGAGCCTTGTTGGCGCAGTATGGTAAGGAACCCTTCATGCTGACAACCTGGGGGCCCCGCTGATGGTCATCATTGGTTAGCCTTCTGGAAACAGCTCACTTCATCTCTGTGATGAGACTGCTATACTTCACTACGATCATCATCCCCGATCCAAAGAATCTTGCATTACGGGAATCAATCGACTGGTATGTGTGTACACAATCTCACGAGCCGTGTCTCATGCAATTAAACATGTCCCCACAAAGGAGCATCCCGGTAAGTTCTTGTCTCGCCCTCAGTACTAGCATTACTGACTCGTTCCTCTCCCCAGCTTGGTCTTATTTGCCAGGTGTGTCTGGGTGTGATCTATACCAGCGGCTTCATTCTGATTGGAGGAATTGAAGGCGCTCATCATAGGCCTCGTCCAAGGGTATGTACACGCTGAGCGTGAGCCGTGACATCGAAGTCTGATTTTTATGCAGGTTTTACGTTCTTCGGCTTTGGCTACGTGAGTCAGAGGAGATCATTCGCGGTGTGAAGGGTCACTGATACGTCGTGCACCTAGTAAGTAAACGATTCAAAATACTCGTCTTTGGCACAGTGAGTATCGGGGTTGTAACTTCTTCTTTACATCAATATTGAGCCAGGACTAATAGCCCGCAGTGGTCCTTTTTCGAGTCGGTACGTCTTGCACTGTTCAAGAACGATGACTTTCTTACTCAGCATTCTCCAGTATCTCTCATCGGTGTGTGTTGGGATCCGATAGTACGATGTTCTGATTGTTCAACGCCGTCAATGTAGTCGTGGCAGGAGAATCGTAAGTCTTGACATTATTAAGCTTCCCTCTCTTTTTTTGATTCTGCTTCGCCGCGCAGAATTCGTACTCCGGCTTGGATGGCGTTCATAAGACAGCATGAGGTTCGCTAACGCAGCTAAATTCAATCGTCCTCATGAGCTTGTAATCTGAACTTCCATCGTAGCCTAGCATCAAGATTACTATGGCAGCTGCAATCGTCGCTAACTCAGTGATTGCCATCTCTTTTGCTTACTACACTAGGCAGGGCGTACCAATAGCTACCACCAGGTATTCAGGGTATTCATGCAGAGGGTACCGTGATTAATGTCAGGCGAGACTAGGCAAAGACATACGGACAATTCTCAAACACCAATGACATATCTGCTGCATAGCGGCGCACTTGCAGCTCTGATATCGATCATTGCTATCTGCACAGTAAGTTGCTTGAATCGAGTTTTGCCAAGATTATTATTGTTGCTTTACAGTTCCTGCGTATGGAAAATACTCTGGTATTTGTTGGTCTCATTGCGATAGAGAACCATTGTAAGCGACTCAGTACTCTGCCCAATCTTCCGCGTCTTGACTTTCCGCTCGACAGTGTATGCAAATTCGTTGCTCGGGTTGTATGTACATCCCAACACCTGCATCATAATTTTCTTCACAACGCCTATAACGATTCTTAAATTTTAGGCTTGACTCTCGACCTTCAGCACAACCACGAAGACATTTGGACGGGACAACTATTGAATTCAGTTCCGCCTTCTTCACGTTGTCAGATTTATCGACAACAAGCTCCGGGATTCAGTCGGTAGGTGGATTTGCCATGTTCTGAGCTGCATCGAAGATATATATGATTTCTGTGTACAGATCGGGTCCATGCCGAAGCATAACTCAACATTACGCGCTAAGGGTGTGAGTCCCCCTCTCTGAGTATGTAGGTTCTATTCTAACATGATGCATAGACCGATTGAGCTTCACTGCTAGATAAATGTAAGAATTCCTCAAGTGACAAGTAAATTCTCTATGTACTGAATGTCAGTCCAAGAGACACACTCGCATACCAGGTTTTATATGTATTGCTCAACATGTATCCATAGCGCACGAGGAAAGAGACTACCAGCAGTCGATCTCCGATTTTCCCTTGGTTAAGTCTGATTGCCTAATTCGGACGGAAACGTCCGAAAATGGAATGTCAACGACCGGTCTTTTTATTTGACGTTTGTCCTCCGCAAGAGCAAACAACTTGCATCCAGTATCACCGAGATTATTGTCAGGGTACCAGGCCGCGGATTAATACAGGAGTTATGGTGTGATATTCCAAATAGGAAGGGCCGACTTGGGGGATTAAGCTTTAGGTATGGTTGGGAATCACAATCATGCGGACCATCATGCCGTTTCGCTGAAAAGCAGGAAGGCCATCAGGAGGCCCACCCAAATTCATCGCCCTCCCCCAACTAGCTGTTCCTGCACAAAGCTTGTGATGACTTCTCGAGGACAGTCAACGAGCAAAGACTGAATCATGCCCGGTGTCTGTCACAACATAGGCATCGTTGCAACATCTCAAACTCCATGAGTCTTCGTTTAGCCCACGGCCGCACTCATAGAAACATCGTAAAGGTCGCCCTTGGCGGCGACCCAGTCCTCGGACGAGAGCATAGTCGAAGACGGCAAGTTTCATGACGGCTTCGCATGGCCCCCAATCTTCGTCTCCGCTGCTTGCGCAAGGAGTTCTGACGTGAAATGCACCAGATCTGTTCCAAATGAAATTGTCCATCTCTTGATACAGAGGACACGCTGCGGCGGGTGATATACGAGAGTCGACATGCCTAATTGCTGGCTGGCAAAGCGCACGTACTGATTGTTTCAAGAGTTCAAGTATACACTCATTAGCAAGACCACTCAATCTTAGATTTAGAACGTAGCGCTTGTCAGGAAGAATGGTCTGACACTTAAGGATGAAGCGATTTACACGGAGGGGGGAAGCATGGAAGGCGAATTGTCATTCGCCTGGTTTATTTGTGAAAGCTTGTGACGTTGGAACCATATGCATGGCGATTGGAATGGACTTTGATGTTAGAGTGATGATGCAAATCTCGGGACTACCCACGAAGTCGTCCGACATCTCGGCTTGCCGATGCTAGCGGTTTCACGTATTGGCCTCAGATAGTTGGAAAATAATGGGTTACAGGCTCAAGCAAGAAGTCGTTGCCCAGGTCAAAAAGGGATACATCATGGTTGAAGGAGGGGATAACGGACAGTTCAGGCTGTTTATCCGGGGGATCGATCCGCCGACTCTCATCCGGAGATAGACGCGCTATTTATAGCACAACACCCTTGAACATGCAGGCTTAACTTAATGCAGCATGCGCAATAGCAACTCGCCGGATACACCTGATGTTCTCCTTCAAGCTAGCCTCCTGCTTTTGTGCTGGGTATCCCGAGGTTCATATGCTGAACCATATGCTTAGCTCTCATTTTCCTCGCAACGTATATGTCGTGTGCGAATAGCTTCGATCCTTCTAGCACGGTGAGTATTGGAAGCGAAAAAGCCCCATAAATTACCTTTCAAAGATTACGATAGCTCTGAGGACGTTTAAAGATGTCATACGGTACCCTTGGCAACCTGCACATGGAGGCTTGGCATTGCATGCGGCACACCTGCTTTCACCAATGTATTTAAGCCCGTTAGAATCCATCGAAATCCCCAACAGGTGCTTCTGCTCTCCCCAGCCCTGGATTCATTCACTTGACTCCAAACGATTCTTACCGTGTCGATATGTTCTGCAAGACATATCTCTTTACTGTGGTGCTCGCTCTCTTTGCTTCTGCGAGTCCCCTTGCTGAACAGCGCGGCGAACCCATTCGCATTCCCCTCAAGAAGCGCAGCTCCTTGACAAACGAAGATGGTACTTTCAACGCGGACAAGGCTATCTTGCACAATGTCAAGACCCAGAAGTAAGTTACCGCGTTGAGGTCGTTCGCACGAAATTCACAGCCGCATTACAGCAAGTTTCGCCAGAACCTGATCAATCTTGAGCGCAACAAGGGACGAGAAGCTTTCAACGAGGGTGCTGAGATCAGACCGCTCGCTCTTATCCCCGACCGTATCCGAAAGCGCCAGAAGGAGGCTCTCACCGATCAGCAGGACGACCTTGAGTGGACCGGCCGAATCACCATTGGTTCCAACAACCAGGCGTTCGTCATCGACTTTGACACTGGCTCTTCCGACCTTTGGGTTCCCAACGCATCTCATTGCACCGGATGCGCTCAGAAGCACACTTACAGCTCTACTTCGTCCTCAACGTCTCAAGCCCAGAATGGTACTTTCTCTATTCAGTACGGCGATGGGTCCACAGTATCTGGCCCTATCTTCAAGGACACGGGCACGTATCGCTAACGATAGTATGATAAATTAATCTTCAATGCTAACTCCTCGTAATTTAGTTACTGTCGCCGGTGTGAAGTCTACCGGACAGACCTTCGCTGCTGTCACAAAGATGTCTAGCCTCTTTAATGATGACGCCCTCGACGGTATCCTTGGGTTAGCCTTCCAAGACATTTCCAACCTCAACGCAGTACGTTTCATCTTCTCACTCTAATACATCATGTATCTACTGACTTAACACGTCCAGCCACCATTCTATCAAAACACCTTTGCAGAAAGCGCTGTTCCCGAAAATGTCTTCGCTTTCAAACTCGCCGAGTCCGGTTCCGAACTCTTCCTTGGCGGAACTAACAGTGACCTGTACTCTGGCGACATCGAATATCACAGTGTCACTAGCGGTGGATTCTGGCAGGCAACCGGCGGTAAGGCTATTGTCGAAGGCAAGACAGCCGTATCCGGGTTCCAAACCATTATCGATTCCGGTACTACCATTATGTATGGTCCCTCTTCTGCTGTCGAGACGTTCTATGCTTCGGTACCAGGTTCCAAGTTGTTTGATTCCGACAATGGTTTTTATTCGTACCCTTGTGCCTCCCCTCCTGCAGTTGGTTTCAGTTGGGGCGGTAAGACTTGGACTATCTCTGCTGATAAGTGAGTCTCGGTATACTCGTCTTTGCGGTAACATAGACTGATATCTTTCTACGAATAGCTTCAACCTCGGTCAAACTGAGTCTGGTTCCATGGCCAGCCAGTGTGTTGGTGCTCTCGCTGGCCAAGACATCGGTCTTGGAGACAACGTCTGGCTCCTCGGTGACAGGTTAGACCTACTCCTTCATCTGTCCGATGTTCTTCTCACTCATTTATCTTCGCTCCAGCTTTATGAAGAATGTCTACACCGCTTTCAACTTTGATACCAAATCCGTCGGATTTGCCACCCTTGCATGAACATAGCCGTCCTGCATCAACTGCTACTTGTATCGAAACATACCCCGTTCAGTCTTCAGTTATTGGCAAACATTGACTTTCTACCCACTGCAGTCTTGCATGATACTTTCCTGGACCTTTCAATTGCATTCGGACTGTTATCTTGCTGTATTACATCTACGCGTGATAATATTATTAATTCTTAACCTTGCTTCAGGCCGCTTCGAAACTCGTAAACGCCATGCAATGAGGTCGAACGACCTCGAGTCTGAGGGATCACCTTCCTATTCAGGTGTGTTGTTATTTCGATGAGAGGTCAAAGTTGAGAACCATTGATGACTTATTTGACCCCGCATTCAGACTCACCCGCACATTTATTGCACATCCCAAGAAAGATACGTAAGTATAAGATAAGTCGCACCTGTTGCCCGAAGTCAAAAAAGGAGCCGCGATGCTTGCGCAACCAAGGGACAAGTAGCAGATCATAAGCTATCCTCGCTTCTCGCCTTCGCTGTTATCTCCATAATTTTCGAGTCGGACTCCTCGAGGATGCCGCGTGTCTAATCCAAAATCATGTGAGGACAGAAGACAACATAATATGGCGCTAAGGACCTACAGGCTCCGGCTTGCTCATATATCTCCCTGGTTGGGCGCTGAAAGTAATGTGCCGCTAAACCCCAGGATTAGCACCTGAAAAGATACATCCAACAGGATAGAGTACGCACTGCTTCCACATTTTGAGTACCATGGGTAGAGGACGTCTGAAAGTTTGGAAGCTCGAGTTGGTTTGTGTCAAGCCCTCCACTTTTCGCGTGCTTCCCGCGCAGGCTCTCTCTCGCGTTCAGGCTGCACGACATACGATAAGTCATAAAGCTTAGACGACGAATGTTGGAAGGTGCCTACAGTGCCAGGAAGGAATTGGCATAGACTAGCATCATCATAAATGAGTTGGAAAACTTGCGAATAGATGAATAGGCCCAGGAGTGGACATACGTTTGCCAGAGATGGTGGTCAAGCCGCTGGCCAGCAGAGACTCTCGATCGCGAGAATACTGTTTCAAACATCAACAGTCGCTTGGTACAGCGAGAGAGAGACACCACTGACCGTAATGGCTATTGAGATCGAAACGATCCTATTTCAAGGGGGTTCTCATGAGTGAGGTTGGAGGAACTTCCAGACAAATATCTCACATCGTAATGAGCCCAGTGTTCACTGAGTATGCCATCAACCATCGAAGGATATTGTCGGTGCTGTAGTATTGATTTCATTAGTGTTAGCTACCGAGTGCATTTTGAGAAGTCGGACTACACCTCTTGAACCCGGTTTTACCGCGATAAAAGAGAACTATCATGGATCCTGCGATAAGACCATCCAGTGCAGCTGAGAGAGCATTGGCGACTTCAACACATAACTGAAACTGTGAGTCAGATACATTATGACCTATACCGACATATTAGATCGCACCGTCGCACCGAAGAGGCCTTGGAAGTCCAGCCAAGTGTGTGCAATAAACCTAGAGAGGAGAGTCAGTAAGATGTTAGTCTTTATACGTAACTGTACTCTACATACGTATATACCGCCGCAGCTGATGAGTTACACCGAAGGTCAATCAATCGTTTCATACAGTAAAACGGATAGAGCATACTCATATGGAACGCCACGCAAGTGACGAGCAGCAATGACTAGACAGAATTCAAATGTAGGATTCACGCTCAGACATGCTCAATACAGCTAAGACCGTGGACACTCACCAGTCCAATCGTTACTAGCAATCTTTTACCGCTAACTGGAGTCCAACTATAAGACAGCTCGTAATGACTATAAGCGTACTCACGGAGCCAAATTCTGCGAACGTAGAACCTAATGAAAACTTTCAGGACTCGTTTGTTGATACCCAGGTACCCAGACTTACCCTTGTACAAGGGCGATGATTCCGTTCTGCGAAGCAAGCGGTGAGCGAAGTCAAGCCAATCGCAGAATCTTTCAGACTTACCTCCGCGACTAAGAAAACCTATAGCAGGATCAGTTAAGGGGATCATCCCAGTGAAACGACACATACACCAATGCTCCTACAGACAGTCGTTAGGGTGAAGGTAACCAAATAATCCCCATTTATGACAGAGACTCACCAATCTACCGTTGTGATAGCATCTATGTCGCCAAATCCAATGATCGTCAAGTAATGAATTTGGCGAAGCATGAAGACGCTATGGACGGTCTCCAGCAGCCTGAAGAAATTCAAGCCGCGAATCTAGATGTTAGTGGTTATAAAAAAACTTACCAAACCGTACCAACGACTCCTTTGAGGAATGTGGAGTCTTTTTGACAATTGAGAGTGAAGATATAAACCTGTGCGAGGGTGACGCCATACAAACTATGCAAGAAAAATACGGATCAACAAAGTCAGCGCAGCTATACCGACCGGATAACACCTACATGAGCGCAATATAGAGCGTCATAACGTACCCTCCCATAAAGCCGGCCACGTCGAAAGGAGGAGAAGAATCAGACATGATACCTGTAGACGGTAAAAACGACGGGACAATTCACTGTTTTCTTCCAGCCATGAAGGGGCTTCATATGAGGGCATAAAGACCAAAGTGTTACCTACTGACTGAATACATTGAAGGGCGCCATGGAGACATTCATGGGAATCTCTGTAACAGGACTTCGTAATGATTCTGGATGCATCACCTGCTGCTGCTTCGACGGTGTCCGGTGACTTGACAGTGGGAGACAGAAGATTTCAGAATCAGCATACGTTCACTATCACTCTCTGCGCATGGCGTACAATAGCTACCGATCTTCACTTTCATTAGCGCACTAGCAGCAGCCAAAGCCAAGTGAAAGATATTATGTCTGAGATGTGGTGCTGGCTTGCAACCTCACAAGCTGCTCGTATCTGCGCCAGAGGTACGCCGCAGTGCCAGCTGGCAACAGCCAATGGAGTCTCCAACCCCTAGCTATAACGTTGCATCAGAAATTTATGGCATCATGTAAGGCGCATGTGTGGCAGGTGAGGGAAAGAACACAAAATAGTAAGTTTTCGCCCAATCAAAGCGCTTACGCACTAAGTACTACAGACACGTTCTCCGAAGTCTTCTAAGGAAATTTATTGTTTGTCTGCGATGACCTCTCTAATGAATTTTCTTACAGAATTTATTGGCCTGGCCCTCATGCATATAAATACGCAGCTCTTCACGATAATCCATGAAAGTGGCAACTACTTTTACTTCTCACATATCGTCGATCGAGCTTCGATCAAGTTATGCTAGTGCTCGACGACGGGATCATTGTGATAGAACTCAAATCAAACTAGAAATGAGCAGATGAAAACCATTCGAAACTTGGAGTTAATCTGAAGTTCGTCTGGCGTATATATACAACTATTATCTAAATACATGCAGTATCAATGTGTTTGTATATACTTATGGTATCGGTCAGGTTCGAGCATGGATCAATGAGTGTGTTTCGGTAGGTTTTGATAAGTGGTTACAAATGAATAATGTGAGGGAAAGGTGTGTCCGTAGATCTGAAATGAATGTGATCGTAACATTACCCCCTCCTCTAGAATTGTGTCCTCACAATTAATTATGATAGAGTATGAAACTGTTCAATCATACCATGATGATCCATTCTTCCGAGTTTTCTCTTATCACTCCAACAGTGCATAGGATTATGCCGCCAAAGATGCTAAGGATGATGATTCCGTCTTTGTCCATTTCTACCAAAGAGCTTTCATTGGTTGAGTGAATGATTGTTCTAAAATAGGGGAGTCCATACTTGGGATTGATGTTGGTTCGACGAGTTGGTAGAAGGAAAGAATGGGGTATTGCCATTCAAGTTTGACTTTCGTAGGCATGGATGTGATTGCCACATGTGTCAGTTTGAGTGTCTGCTCATTAATGATCCATAACTCGCTGGCATTCGGGTAGTGTTGATTAGATATGATCTGTGCTTTTCTTCAATTTTTGAATAATTTAATCGAATCTGGATCCACAGATATCATTGCTTTTTCTTTTTTACGATGTTCAGCCCATCGCTGTACTTTCTGATCCCAATAATCCCATTCTTCTTGTGATGCTTCTTTAGGAAATGACTGTTCCATAATTTGTGCTTTTAGCAATATTCTCGTGGGTGCATTTGGCGCATCGGGATGATCTTTATGGAATTTGTCAATTATCTTTTTGTCTATGTTTTTAATGATTTTATGGCATGGTTCCCATGTATTTTCAGAACGTGGTTTTCCAGCCCACTTGATTAGATATTGAAGGCCTCCACATGCCATCTTAGAGTCTAGTACAGATTCAGCTTTATCTTCTAAGATATCAATAATTATTGGAATATTTTTGTATGTTTTCTGATTAGGGAGTTCTGGTGCATGATATGGCAATAATAAGGTTTCATTGAATACAGGATGTACGCCTTTCCATGATTTTGGTAATTTGAGCTTGTATGCGCTAGCTCCAATTTTCTTGATAATCGGGAATGGTCCGTATCTTTTATCGTCTAGTTTTCGATTCAATCTGTCTGTTCGTATGTGCGTAGCTTCAAGCCACACTAAATCTCCATCTTTATAATTTATGGCTTCGCCTTTATGTTTGTCATATTGTCTTTTCATGACATCCTGTGCCAACGTTAACAATGCTGATGCCTCTTCTTGGATTTTCTTCATTCGTGCTACAAACTGCTCAGCAGTTTCATTACAAATTTCTTTCTTGGTTTCTACACCAGTGTAGGCTTCTCATTCATGATTCATGTAAAATGGTGAAAATCCAGTCGCAGAGTGGACTCTATTTCGATATGCAAATGTTGCTAGTGGCAATCATTCTGGCCAATCAGTCTGTCAATGATTGATAAAGATTCATAGATAGTTTTCAATTTCCTGATTGATTCGTTCTGTTTGTCCATCTGTCTGTGGATGATATGCCATACTAGGATTTCCCTGAATTCCTAGTTTCTTATATAAATCTTTTATGAAGCTGGATACAAATTGCAGTCCACAATCTGATGTCATCTTTTTTGGTAATCCGTGCAATGAATATACATTTTTGATATAGAGATTAGCCCATCCTTCTGATGTCAATTGCTTCGTAGTTGGCATTTCAATATAGTCTTTTGATTTCATGTCCACAACTACTATGATCGCATCATGCCCTTGCGACTCTGGTAAGTGTGTAATCATATCTACTGATTGATATTCCCAATTGTGTTCCGGGATTGCATTTGGGTGCAATGGAGCATTCTTTGGTTGATGGTTAATCTTGGTTTTTTAACAAGTCTCGCAGCCTTTTACATATGTTTTTACATCTTTTTTGATCGAAGGCCACCAGTACAATTGATAGATTAGTTCTTGGGTTTTTGCTTGTCCAGGGTGACCGGCACTAATCGAGTTGTGATGCGAATGAATAATTTCTCCTATGAGTTCCTTGTCAAAAGGGATAACAATCTTCCCCCTTCTCCAGATAAGACCGTCCTCGGTCTCATTGAAATCAGCATCTTTTGTCAATAGTTTTAATCGTACATTGTTCTCATATTTTTCAATGTTTTTTATGATTTTTTTCCATAAAGCTGATGATCCGAGGATTTCATTGGCTCGGAACCATTCTGGTTTTAACAACGTAATGTTTTCATTATGACTATCTCCAATATCATGATGGGTCTATCGCGATAAAGGGTCTCCCTTCATTATTGTGTTTCCGGGTTTGTGAGTCAAATTGAAATCATATTGTTGTAATTCTTGGATTCATCGCGCCTGGTGATGATTCAACTTCTGGGGTTTTTTGAAATAACTAAGGTTCTTGTGATCGGAATGAATTTTGAATTTCTGTGCGGCTCCCATCAAGAAGTGACGCCATTCTTCTAATGAGATCATGATGGCTAGCATCTCTCAATCGTAGATCTCATAGTTTCTTTCAGCCGGTGAAAGGCTTTTCGATAAAAAGGCGATTGTTCGCCATTGTCCATCTTGCTTCTGTGCAAGTTCAGCTCCAATAGCATATTTCGATGTGTCGCATTCGACTTTGAACTGATCTTCATTGTTTGGAATGCCCAATACCGATGCTGTGGTAATGGTTGTTTTTAGAAGTTTGAAAGCTTCCTGTTGTTCTGGACCCCAGGTCCATTCTACTTGTCCAGTTAATTTATTCAAGGGAGTGGCAATTTTGGAAAAGTCTTTGATGAATCGTCGATAGAAATTAGCAAATCCAAGGAATGATTGTAATTCCTTTTTGGCTTTTGGTACTGGCCATTGCATAACTCCATCAACTTTGGCAGGATCCATCTTTACAGTTTCTTGCGAAATAATATGTCCGAGATATTCTATTTCTTGAGTTTCAAACTCGCATTTTTCTAGTTTGCAGGTTAATTTATTTTCTCACAATATTTTAAGGACTTCTTTCACAATGTGGCGATGTTCCTCCAGGGATTTGGAAAATATGAGTATATCGTCAAGATATATGATTACTTTTCCTTTGAGAATGAGATTACGGAAGATGTCATTCATCATCATCTGGAATGTGGCAGGACTATTTGTCAATCTGAAGAACATGACGGTTGATTCATATAGTCCTCTATTTGTGATGAATGCGGCTTTTTCTTCATCTCCTTCTTTCATGCGAATATTATTATATCTCCAGCGAATGTCCAGTTTCGTAAAATATTTAGCACCTTTGAGTTTATCAATAAGCTCTGAGATCAATGGTAATGGATATTTATTTTTCTTGGTCATGTCATTGAGTTTTCGGTAATCTTGTACCGGTCTCAGTTTGCCATCTTTCTTTTTGACAAAGAAGAAGGGTGCTCCCCAGGGAGACTTCGATGGTCAGATTCTACCCGTCTTTAGGTTTTCTTCAAGAAAACCGTCTAGAATTTTTTGTTCTTCAACGGTCATGGAATACACTTTGCCTGCATATGGTGATGAATCTGGTAACAGTTCTATTGCATGGTCCCATGGTTTCCTTTCTGGAAGGACATCAAAAGTATCTTCAGTAAATACGTCTGTGAATTCACGATACTGTTCGGGAACCATTTCTTCGAAGGTCTTTTTCTTTTTCTGTTTGCTTTGTTCGATTGCTATGTCCATGGCTGTTATGCGCATTCTTTGAATATATTCTTCCCATTCTTTATACCAAGCATTGGTATTGAGTAAATATACTGTGTCTCCTTCTTCGATTTCTTGTTGTCTTATAGTGATGCACGTGTGTGGGCATCAGTTAAAGTCAACAAGTTGTAGTTTAAAGTCTATTGATGGATTATGGTATTCAATCCATTCATATCTGAGGAATATGTCTGACTTCCCCAGATCGGTAACTAGAAGCATGATCTTCTCTTGGTGATCGCCAATTCGAAGTGTGAGTCAGACGTATTCTGTGATCAGTCCCTGAGAATTCTCGCTGTTATCCATGTTATAGACTTGGATCGGTTGATCAAATTTAGAGGTTTCAATTCCATGCCTTTTGATGAAATTATAATTTATGCATGATCCGGTGCTACTGGTGTCGACTAATGCTACTGTATCATAGATTCTTTCTGTTTCTGGTATTATCATGGTGACCGGTAGGTCCATTTGTTTCCCTCTTCCGAGTCCTTTGACAACTCAGAGTAATGGTGGTCCGATATCTGTGATGCTTTTATCCGATGCACTTGGTTTATTTTCAAATTTTTTTGTGTTTTGTTTAGAGGAATCAAGCACAGGTTCTGCCCTGCCGCACTTCTTGGTAGAAGATGCCTCTGCATTAGATGAAATATTTACAAAAGGGGACTGTCCAATCAATGTATTACAGGCATGTATCGAAGATGGTTTCATAAAACCCTCCAGGGGTTTATCCGAGTCATTGTTCATATTCAGCAAGTTACTTTGTGCATTTAAGCCTTGCCCAAGCCAAAATTCAACTTCTTCACTTTCTCCGGGTTCTTCTCCATCCATCGCCGAACCATGGCGATCATCTTGTCATCGTCATCATCATCTGAGTCAGGGATCTCCTCGATCTTTGACTCTGTCTTTGTTTCATTCTTTCGAACACGTTGAGTGTTCGTGGAAGGTCCCGATTGATTGGGGACATGCCATGCACTTCCACAAGTGCCCTTCTCTGATTGCTTAGCCTTACACTTAAGGCAATTCGTATCCAAGTCCATGGGCTGTCCACGTCCTGTGAACGTTGTCCCAGTTCCATTTTTCTTTTCTCCGTAGTCCTTCTTCGGACTCTGATTCTGAGTTTGACCCGATCTTTGGGTCTGCTGCTGATAGGCAGGGTACTTCTGCCCATAGTTCTGGTTCAATCAGTATGGTCGATATCCGATCTTCTTCAGACGCTTCTCTTCTTCCCGCTGCCTTCGCGAGGAATCAATATCAATGATCGCTTTCTTCCACTGTGCATAAGTGGCTGGTCGCGTATCTCTGTCAAGAGCCCTATCTACGATGGACTCATTGCAGTTGAGTCAGACAAGGTCAATAGTGTGTTTATCTTCCTTCTTTCTGCCCGCCTGCATGATGTACATTTCTAGTTTCTGGAAATATTCCTGTGCCGTCCCATTGCCTTGGGTCAAGTTATCCATTTGGATAACTGCTTGTTCTACTCAATTCGAATCGAGGAACTGTTCATCGAGATCGAGAACCAACTGATAGAAGTTGACTTTCCATCTGTCGGTGCCGATCTCAAATTCATTTTCGAAATAATTGTTGACCCAATCATCAACCTTTGGACCCTTCATGTATGAAAGAGTCATGTCGATCTTTTGTTCATCAGTAAGACCGGTGTTCTTTGGTGTTCGGAACCATAAATATAATTGTCTTTTGAAAGATGGATATTTGTCTTTGGTTCCATCGAAGTCTGAAGGTTTCCCTCCAGATGCCTTTGTGTTGGGCTGTGGTGGGACTGGTGGTGGTTGTCTAGGAGGTGGAGTTGGGTTTCTTGGTGGTGGCGGTGGTGGATTTGGTGGATTTGCTCTGAGACTACCAGTTCCAGATCCGGTAGAACCCATTGGTGATAATGGTGAAGGTGGCATGAGGTTTGTAGGGGATGAGTGTGGTGATGGTACGAGTGGAGGCGGAGATCGACGTGTGTAGTATTGATAGAGTGGTGCAGTGAATTCAAATGAAGATGTGATGTGTGAACAATAGTGTCTTGTACCGGGCACATGACCCTGTTCTGGTACTTAGACAAGTATAGATCTGAGGTAAAGGTACTCCTTCAAAGTGTTCTGGCCAATTGCCGATCCAGACACACGAGGTAGGTAGATATAGTAGCTACATAAAATGGTTTGGCCTTAGAAGGTGCAAAAAGAGAAGTTGATCTCTGCGGTAGTTGTCTTTTGACGTGCGAGAGGATCAAGGAATACCAGCGAGGTTTGAAACCTCCTGCCATACACTCAGTTGTTTAGGTCTGAGCAGGGTAAATTCTGGTAGGTTTTTTCAATGGCCCCTCTGTCAAGAAGGTTGCAGCACTGCCTACTTCCTGGTTGCTTCAAGAGCAGACTACCAGGTGAGAGTAATGATTTATGTACTAAGGGAATACAAGGGTCGCAATCTACAGGTGTAGTCACGTGATTACCCAGGTGGAGGAATGGAGTGCGATAGAAAAGTAACTAGGAGTGTGGAATTCGGATCCCTCCGAATGAGGTCTTGAGTGAGTAAGAATAAAGCAGAGTAGAGTGAGGAACGAGGTGGTTGCCGTCGAGTACAACAGACTTTGAGTGAGGTGAAGTGTGGGTGGAGGACGAGGCAATGCCTGTCGAGAGAGTGCGGAGGGGCAAGTTTCGAATTATGATAGAACTCAAATCAAACTAGAAATGAGCAGATGAAAACCATTCAAAACTTGGAGTTAATCCGAAGTTCATCTGGCATATATATACAACTATTATCTAAATACATGCAGTATCAATGTGTTTGTATATACTTATGGTATCGGTCAGGTTCGAGCATGGATCAATGAGTGTGTTTCGGTAGGTTTTGATAAGTGGTTACAAATGAATAATGTGAGGGAAAGGTGTGTCCGTAGATCCGAAATGAATGTGATCGTAACACATTGATTGAACCTTAGCAGCGGATTCTGCTGATCACTTCGACACGTTCTTCGACCTGACACATACCACAAGGATATGATTGTGACCTGCTGGTTCCTGAACAATACTCCCTTTACCTAAAATCTACCCATTCTATCGTTAGAAGATGACTACCCAAAGATCCTTCAACTACTACTAAGAAACTTGAGTTCAGTACCGTGAGGGATTAATGTTTGACCGGTGACCACGTGGCAGACATAATTACTCTTCGTCCGTATACCATCATCCTACTACAGTACATCTATCACTCGTGAAACAACCTTAGAAACCAGTCCCGTGCCTATGTTGACAATACTCTTTGTCATTTGGTAATGCAACAAGTTTATGGCTCAAGTGCATCTTCATGCTCTCGTATGTTATCATGCATTCTCTGGGTATCAAACTGGATGCTCCTTCCTGTATATGACCGGAATCAACCTTGATAAACAGACATTGCTTGTCTGTTGAATAAAGCATGGGTGTTCCTGGCCGTAGTGACCGACACCGCCCGGCACGCGGCATTCCGTCTCACTGTAAGTCTGTAAGTACATGATGTTCTTTCTGGTGTTAATTCTTCCACGGTAACAGCGCTGATAAAAGCCGCGCGACGATTTATAAGAACTGTCGCTCTCTTGAGTACGCTGAGCGAGTTGTGTCCCAAGGTTGATAACTGACCCGCTGTGCAAGTGAGTCAGGCTGAATCTCGCGTGCACCGTCCCAGCAAAACACTCCTGCTCGGACCATTCTCCCAAAGTAAGTGATGACCCTCTCATCTAAGATTGACCTTAACGAACTTTGACATTTATTTGAGCTGGCTCGAAGTCGTCTCCGCTGGTCGATATGACTCTGAACTACGACGTCCTCTGCATAGTTCTTTTCCAGCTTAGCTTCCAATCTCGCCGAGGTTTGCTCTGCATGATGCGGACCTGCAAGGACCTGCATGAATACGGCTTACCGGTACTCCTGGGCTCTCCGATTCGAGTTCAAGGCACTAATGTGGAGGACTTCTGTCGCTTTATTCTGAGCGACAAGGTTAGGTTTGGCAGTCTCCTCAGGGACATTACCCTTGCAGATTGTGGTTCTCATGGGGATCCAGAAAGGCAGATCGTCCATTACATTGGTGATCTCTTGGAAATATTCAAACATACGAGCATCCTGCACAGGCTGACTTTCACACATACGGAGAACATGTGGCGTCATGCTAAACCTTTGCTCAATCTAGCCTTGAACCACCCGAATATCAACCACCTCCTGCTAGAGAATCTCGGCCTTCAGTCTGAACCTGATGTGGAAGCCAAGAATATTCCTGCGCAGAAGATATCTTTATCGTTCGGGTGGAAGCATCTCCATCATGAAGTCGATATCGAGGATCTCGCCCCTTTCCAGTCTTCCCTCATGGAGTTGCGCACAGATCTCCTTTCATTCGAGCATGCCAATATTCAGTTCCACTCCATGCAGTCGCTCACTTTCGACTGGTTACCCGCTACTCATTTCACCTCCAAGACGTTATCATACGTTTTCCCGAACCTGCGGTCACTCACTATTCATCGATCAACATCATCTAATGACTCTTTCACCAAAGCACAGTTAGTCTACGCGCGGACCCAGAACAGGGGCAATGTTGGTAGTGAGACGTGGTCACAGCTAGACCATGTGGCCGGCTACGTAGAAGCCATTTATATCCTTGGCTTGACCTGCAAAATCCGTCACATTGAGGCAGAATGGGATGATATCCAATTCGGCAAGTTGCTGAACGAGATTGTCAACGACTGCAGCCCACGTTCCATCGCGTTCAAAACCGTACTAACAACTCGAGAGGCCATTCAGGGTCTTAGAGATGCATTTCGGATGTGTTTACACCCATCCTCAATACTACTCCATTTCTGCCTATTTGATGATGCTATTAGCGTCATTGATCCTTTGGTTATGGTGCGTGTCATTTATCTGACCTTCTGGACGTCTGGTTGAGAATATCAACAGCAAGACTTCTTCGACTTCCTGCGCAACCTGTCTATCTCTTATATCGAGATTCATCTTCATCCTCAATCCAAGTCGTTGAAAACCGTTGGCTTTGGGTGGCCGCAAGGCGAGGATCATTTGACCTCATTTGCTGAGTGTATCATGCGAAGCAGCAAAACTATTCAGCATATCCTAGTCGAAATACCTGACATTGGAGTTTACTTTTGGGAGGTCCACGACGACGATACGATTGGGAGCGGGAAATGTCTCCGCAGGGTGTCTGGCATGGCAGGACGTTGTCAGGACTTTGTTCCAAGAGCTCAATGAAGTGATGCTGACTATCGTGTCTGAGAGGAAAGTCAGGCAAAGGGAAGGTTTGAGGATATTTGATACTACTGTACGATGCACGGTCGACGTTCCAACCCCCGTCGTTACCTTTAACAATTTAGAAGCAGAACTGAAGGCAGATAGATGGAATCAAGGCCTTGGTCCATCAGGAGAACTGTTGAAACAAGTAAAGCACGAGACACTACCACAGCACTATTTGATTTTTGCTTCCGATTGAAAGTACAGCAAACTATAATGCACCAATAGTCCGTCCGAGTCTCTCGGCCAGGTACGCAGTTGCGTTGAGTGTGCCGTATAAAAGCACAGGGATGCTCATCAGCAAGTTACCAAGAATACCTCGACGTGTGATAGTTTCCCATAGCTCAGTCTTGATAATTTCCGGCGCATGTTCCGAGCGGAATGGGCCAACTAGGCGGAAGAACGGAGTGAAAGCAGCACCAAAGCTGGACGATGAGATATTTGTAAGCAGGTTTGCAGGAAAATCGTGAAGCAATTCACACTTACCAATAGCAGATAAGGACACGCGACCCATACTCTCGCCAGAGTTCCCAGAGACCGGGAGCTGCGCCAATGTCCTTCGCTAGAGTGCCAACATAGGTTGAATAATCAATTCCGTTCTTGATTCTTGCACTCTTTTCCAGAAGTAGATGGTAGTGTGGTGGGGGAAGTGGTTTCTCGACCTGTCCCTTCAGCAATGATATCCAAAAGAACGCCTGCATCTCCACTACAGGCGGAATTGCACCTGTAGAGAACCACCTGTCAACATCCAGTAGCAATTCCAGATGGACCCCACGTCACTCACCATATCCAGGCCTCAAGAAGCCAATAAAGCCTACACTTTCGTCGCCAGTCTTCGTGATATCCCTGATATCTCTCTCGCCAAGGCTAGTATACTTACTTTCAGGATCAAAGAAATTGAACTCCTGTTTGAAACCCGTGGCATAGATCACGGTGTCCGGTCTCACGTCCTTTCTTGCTATCCGAATAGCGTCCTTGCGTTTCGACACTGGGAAGACCACTCGGCCACTTGGCAAAACATGTGAGGGAAACGGAGCTAGCTCAACTCCAAAGTTGGTGTTTGGAGGCATGTCTTCTGGAGGGTCGATGTATCGAGAGAAGTAGTCCAGTGTTTTGGGAGGGTTGCGATACGGTCGATTGATATATGGCATAGCCTTGGGCGACTGCAGAGTATATCAGCTATCTCGTTCTCGCATGTAGAAGGAGACTCGAACCTTGTTGGGGAACGCATATGCTCGGCTACGTCGTTTGGGCTCCAATTCGCCAACCTATTTGACCGTCAGCCTGTTTCAGCAGATGCCATATCATAGAGACACACCCATTGATTAACGCCGGCTTGAGTTCCTATAGTAAACCTTCAGCTGAATGGCAATAGAGAAGTCGAAGTAACACGCGTACCAGTCAGGAACCACGACGCCCACTTGAGGACGAAGTCAGAGATACTGGAACATATGGCCTTAGCGCACGAAACTACAAATGGGATCTCATGGTACTAACAACCAACGAATACGCGAAGCTGCGATCCAAGGGTGCTGAGGAACTACGTTAGCTGGGTTGAATAAGATAATGTGCTTCAGGATACGTACGACATATGCTGTGTCCGTGAAGTTGGTACTCAGACAGTCAGTGGGAATCGGATTATTCGACTTGAACTGGAAGCCAAGGATCTCAAAGTCATTCTAAAAGAACATGCAAACATCAGTTATTGATTCGTACACAAGGTTGGATTCGTTGATACCAAGTATTTTGGAAAAGACAAGAACCTGTGTAGATGGTAAGCAAAAGCAAAGCTCCTTAGAGACAAAAAGAATGTTCGGACATACCCTGAACGTGAACACAGAACGACCTCCTTCGCGCCTACTTGGGCCGCTCCATAAGCCAGGTCCATGGCGGTCTCGCCAGATCCAAGGATGAGAAGCTTCCGTCCAGCTAATTGCGATCTCGACTTGTAGTCCTCCGAATGGAAAATAGCTGGCTTGATTCCAGCATTCTCGCTCTCCGGTGTAGTATTATTGAGAATGTTTTCAATTCCTGGAATATCTGGAACGGCTGGCATGGTGAGCAAGCCAGTGCAAATAGCAACATAGGTTGCATGAATCACTGTGGGAGCTACAGACTCTTGTTATTAGAACACGTCTAGCGTGATGAGCCCCAAAGTAAAAGACATACAATCTTGCCATTGGCCAGATCCATCTGTGCGCTTTCTAACGTAGGAGATAAAATGACCTCCTTCTGGAGCTCGCCTGATGTTAACAACTCTTGAGTTGAACTGTATTCGTTCCTCGATGCGAAAGTTTTTCGAGTATGCTCGAAGATAGTCGACATATTGCTAACAAGAGCTCATTTGAGATGTACTCCCTAGTAACTAAGGTGCCCACCTCAAGCGGCAAATGGTCAAGGTCCGACGAGGAAAAGCGGAAATCCGAGAATGCGGTGAGCTGCTTCGAAGACACCAGGTTTGCATCCTATCACGGAACACTTACATACGTCAATCGAGATACTATGAAAAGCATCAAAGCAGAATACAGACCTCATACCAACGGGTTCGAAATGCACCTCCAACGTCGTCGTCTTGTTCCAAAACAATGGGATCAAATGGTAATTCTGTACTGGAGGCTTCGAGCAACGTCTTGCAAGTCACTAGCCCTGCAGGACCAGCGCCCACTATCACAACCTTCATAACGTGAGTTCAATGCCGTTACCACAGGTAGTGGCTCTTGTTATCTTGCTTGCAAGTTTTGCCTCACGTTCATGATTGAAGTACGCTTCGTCCAATCCGCATTTGTCCGCTACCATCCCACCCTCTGCGATGGCATCATCCTTTCGTTTTGCTTGCGCCTCGGAGAACCCATCTTTATTGAGGGAGCTTGCGACATCGACTCTAGGCATTGTGAAAGGACGTTCAAAAACTGCTTACCCGGAGCGCCTAATTGACCATCTTGGTAGCGCTTTATACCAGTCATTCACCAATCAAGCAAGTGTTTCTGGCTGACCTTCAATACCGCTTCTCTGTGGGATGTGCTAGACTTTGTTTCCCATGTACTCGCTATTAATATAGAGAAACAAAATAGAAGGGAAAGCAGGGAAATGCGGTCAAATAGCACTTTCACCGATGCCTACGCGCCACCCGGGCCTAATCGAGACATTCACCCTCGTCCAGCTGCCAGCACATCCCGTCGGAGTCCAGGAGGAAACAGACTGGAAAAGCTACATCAAAAGAAACTCAACTCGTCACAGGTTTTGATAGCTTTTCTGTACTATTTTTTCTAAGAATATAGCAATAGACAACGCTCACACTCGCTTCTTTGGTAGGCCCACGTATCTACAAGACCTCAGCCCGAACTGTTCGAAGAAGTTGTGATCACTCGCATACGAAATCGTACACGTTGATGTTTAAGGATGCATATGTAGATAAGACATATTTTTTCCGTTGTTTGCGCATATCTGCCTTTAATAACCTGAACAGCTTCCATGGCGCTACAATAAGAGTCAATCGAAGCGTTTCCAAAGCACCGTTGGCCAGTGCTTACGCGCGCAAAGACTTGAACGCTGTTTTTCATAAACTGCCTTCTAGTCGAGTGACCAACCTGACGTGTGCAAGCACGTAAAGTCAATTGATGAATCCTGACCAAAACTTTAGGGATTTTCAAGTTACATTCGACAGCTCAACGACGTTTGAGGCTGTCGTCTACTCACGTTTTACTTAGAGCACGGTCTTAATGGTCACGATATCCATTATGGTGATTGGGTATTCATTTTGAGGGGCACAGCTTCTGTTGTCCATGTCCGGAAACGAAACTCAACGACTTGAATATGGGCATCAAGGAAACTCTATAATACTATGCGGGAACAGACCACCGAAACTGAAAATCCATTCCCATCCCTAGTTTATCAAACAGAAGAACGGAACGAATGTACGAGCAAGTCACAATGCATCAAGTGTCAAGTACCAGTCCTTCAGACCAGGACTCGTATTTCCCAACATCTGCCTCAACACCTTTCAACTCAGCTCTGATATCCCGGATGGCGTCGATTCCTAGAGCCAGTCTCATGGGGGGCTCAGATAAGCATGCTAGCTCGTATATTTTCTCCACGCCTTGGGCTGTGTCGGAACCGATTTCTTTGCCGCTCGCGAGGAATGCACGAAAGATAGTTCCAGGGAGAGTAGGATTGGTATACGCAGGATGGATCGGAAAGACAACAGACTTTGCTCCAACGTCGGTACGGAAGAATCCAGGTTGAACCAGAGTGACCTGAATACTCATAAGAGTCGACCTGCAGAGAGTAAAAAGATATTACCTTTATATTCCAAGCCGGATCGAGCTCCTGCGCAAGTGCTTTGGTAATACCTTCCAATGCTGATTATTTCACGATTAAACTGATCAGATGAAAGGATAGATAAACGTGGGATAACTTGCCATGTTTTGTTGCCGAATAATATCCTGCGAAGGGCACGGCTTGAATGCCTACCTTCGAGGAGTTAACAAGCAACCTACCACCCGCAGGTTTGTTCTCCTCCCTGAAAAACCTCACTGCCTCACGACTAACGTTCGTCGCCCCCCAAAAATTCGTATCGAACAAGGCGCGTGCCTCGTCCTCCGGCGTTCCTTCGGCTTCGCCTAGTATACCACGCCCTGCAATGTTGAAGACGACATCAATCCTCCCAAAGGCCTCCTTCGCCTTGGAGAAAACATCCTTGATTTGCCGATTGTTGGTGACGTCGAGGGGAAGGACAAGCAGTTTGCTGCTCGGATATTGGCTCTTTAGGTCGTCCAGTGCCTCGGGCTTCCTCGCCGTTGCAACGACAATGTCTCCATGACCAAGAGCGTTCTCAGTCATTAGCCTGCCAAAACCAGAAGAGGTACCGGTAACTAGAGTCGATGGATGTTATTGAAAAATGTAATGGACCAGATACATAAACAACTCACTGAACCAGATTCGAGGAATAGACATGCTGACTATGTAATAATCCTAGTTTTGCGTGTGGAGAAGCACCAAGGATCTGTTACTTCCACGGCGGTGGTACTTAACAATTCCATTCATTGGGCGCATACATGCGCTTACCCTCCTGGTCCCTTGCTTGATAATCAAGCTCGGAGAATATAGCCTCCCAGTATCGCGAGATGTGTTGCAAGGTTAATCAACCCGAAGAGTGGCAAGTGGCAACATGACCAGAAGGTAAGTCAGTATCACACCCATACAGCCGCTCCAATACCACTTCTGCTCACACCACAACATGCATATCGAGAAATGTGTCGTGGTGCGGTGGTAAGGATGATATTCAGCCCACCGTGTGCCCCGGATATCAAGGGTGTTGAGCCACAAGCTACGTCACAGGAATGCTTCTATCCAGGCAGAATCCTGCTGGAATACAGAGCGCAACAAAAGCAGCAAGTTTCAAGGACCTGGCGTATATGGTTCGGGATGGGAAACAAAGATCATGGGATGTTCTGAGCAGCATGTTCTCCATGTTTGACGTTCGACATAGGCGCACAGGTGAGCTTCTACGAGTCTAGAAGACGACCATGCTACCAAGAAGAGGCCGTTGCACCCAGCACTATCGAAGAGGGGCATACCATGATTACCACCATCCACGGAACTAGCTCAATTCGGCGCTAGTGTATGACATCGGCGAGAATAACTGGAGAATCAATAGATCCACTTTACCGTAAGTCAGCCTGCCTCCAGGCTCTTCAATAAGTTTGACTTTGTATCTCTGGAAAAGACAAGCATTCGTGATGACAAAAGCCTCATAAGACATAGAACATGTTGACTTTGAAAGTCGTTAGCATGAACACGACCAGAAACTTGGAAAGAGCCGGGAATATTTGGACTGCCAACAGGTAAAGGCATGGTAATTCAAATGGAGAATGACACTTCCACAGAGCGCACCCCACACGAGATCACGATTGAGCTCCGCGATGACAAGACGATGGCCTGACCCCTTGCAATAGTCAGCTGGATAGTGAAACATGGATTAGAATATTCAGCGTTCACAATATCACGTATACTACAAACTACGCAGCGGCAAGACAAACAAGGAGAGAGGAAGGAAGAATACCGATGCTCCCTCGCGTCTAGTACACTCGCTTGAACGGAGGAACATGCTTGCACTCGTTCTCATCAAGGGTCCTGTCGATGACGCGACGGTAATTAAGCTCGACTTCAGGCTTGGTGAAATCCTTCTGCCGAGTGAGAGTGTGCTTCATCCATTTCTTGTCATCACGCTAGCAGATATTGATGTTAAAGACCGGTCATGCGCAGAGAGAGGGAGACACTTACATCAGGGAAGTCCTCACGAGCGTGAGCGCCACGAGACTCCTGACGAGCGGCAGCGGCAGTGATAGTCTGGACAGCACATTGGAGGAGGTTGCGGAGCTCAAGAGTCTCAACGAGGTCGCTGTTCCAGATCATACTCCTGTCCTTGATACCAACTTGCTTGTAGGTATCGTAGATCTTGTGGACGTTCTGGACACCCTCATCGAGGGAAACTTGAGTACTGTGAATCGTGAGAACTCAGCATCGGGTTGCAATATGGCAAATGGAAGCATACCGGAAGACAGCGGCATCAGTTTGCATAGCCTTTTGCAAGTCCAGACGAATCTTCGCAGTGCCAATAGGACCATCAGCAGTCCTACGAATGGTACGTCAGCGAAAACCAATTGCACGATGGGACGACACAGAGACCCCACCTGATATTATCGAGGAACTGTATGGTCTCTAATCCAGCCTCATCAGGAATCTTCTTGTGGGGCTTTCCAGGAGTCAAAGTCTCCTGGATGTGGTGCGCACAGGCACGACCGAAGACGACGATATCCAAAAGTGAATTGGCTCCGAGACGGTTCGCGCCGTGGACGGAGACGCATGCGGCCTCACCAGCGGCGTACAGTCCAGGGACGACCTTGTCCTCGCCGTTCTCAACAGTGATGACTTCACCAGTGTACCTGGTAGGAATACCACCCACTGCACAACGTCAGTCCGATGAAATCGGAAGGAAAGACGCGAACTCAACTGTTATAGTGGACGGTGGGCAAGACAGGGATGGGCTCCTTGGTAACATCAACACCAGAGAAGATGGCAGCAGTCTCGGAGATACCAGGGAGTCGTTCGTGCAAGATTTCAGGAGGAAGGTGGCTGAGTTGGAGGTAGATGTGATCTTTCTCAGGACCAACGCCACGACCCTCACGGATCTCGATCGTCATACTACGAGATACAACATCACGAGAAGCCAAATCCTTGGCAGTCGGTGCGTAACGTTCCATGAAACGTTCACCCTCAGAGTTCAAGAGGTATCCGCCCTCACCTCGAGAACCTGGTATGTCGTTAATTGTAAGTGGTGAACATATTCGCGTGGACACATAACGACATACCCTCGGTGATGAGACATCCAGCTCCGTAAATACCAGTTGGGTGGAATTGCACGAATTCCAGATCCTGGAGAGGAAGACCAGCACGGGCAACCATGGCATTACCGTCGCCAGTACATGTATGCGCACTTGTGCAGGAGAAGTAGGCACGGCCGTAACCACCAGTTGCGAGGACGGTCTTGTGTGCCCGGAATCGGTGGAGGGTGCCATCCTCCATGTTCAGCGCAATGACACCAACACACTCACCATCTTGCATGATGAGGTCCAGCGCGAAGTACTCAATGAAGAAGTTTGTGTTGTGTCGGAGAGATTGACCGTAAAGTGTGTGTAAAAGTGCATGTCCGGTACGATCGGCGGCAGCAGCACATCGGTATGCTTGACCGCCCTTTCCGAACTCCAGTGATTGACCACCGAAAGCACGTTGGTAGATTTTGCCTTCCTTTGTCCGTGAGAAGGGAACACCGAAATGCTCGAGCTATGACGTAAACGGTGAGGGGAATGCACTTAGAGGTGAAGAGTAGGATGTAGCATACCTCGATGACAGTTCGAGGTGCTTCTCGGCACATATAATGGATGGCGTCTTGATCACCGAGCCAATCCGAACCTTTCACCTACAGCAAGGGTCAATGAACAAACATGCATATAGGTAGCCGTTACTCACCGTGTCATACATATGCCATCTCCAATCATCTTCAGTCATGTTCTACAAACGCAGAATGTTTACACACGCCCATTACACGACCAGAAACGGACAACATACACCAAGCGCAGCATTGATTCCACCCTAACAAGTATAATATGAACAAGCGCGTAAGGAGTGCATATACCCCTTAAACATACCTGAGCAGCGACAGTGTGACTTCTGGTAGGGAATAATTTGGTGATACATGCGGTGTTAAAACCAGCCTCTGCGAGACCGAATGCTGCTCGTAAACCGGCCCCTCCAGCACCTCTTTAAGGGACATGTTAATAGGGTGTTGGGTATTGAAACTTGAGCCCACGTACATGACGATCGCATCATATTCATGTTCAATCAATGGGTATTTTCCTGATGACCAAGACTATGCAAAGTGTATTCAATGGAACATATTCAAACATACATTCGCCTGGAACATACCGGGACCTCCTCAGCCTTGACAGGATTTGTCGCGACGACCTTCCTCGCGGGCGCTGAAGAATGGAATGGCCTCCTGGCCGATCTGAGGGTCCTGGGCAATGTTTTCCGGAACATCGACACGGAGCTCGCTGCTGCTTGCGACAATGAAGGGGAGGAGGAAAGACGAACAACGACAAGTGACGCTGCAGGCAGGCAAAGGACGGTTGTTGCGTCGGACAGCTCCCCGAATCGTCTAGGCCGAACCCCCTGCCAATCACAACAGTGCGATTTCTCCCGCATAATCACCTGCGCGATTTTGTCCGGTGCTCAAAGTCAACCACTCATGTTTTCGCTATCGAGTCCGTTGTAATACATACAGTACGTAGTACAAGAAATAATTTACAAGATATGCATGGTATACAGTCACACTAGGGTATCGCACCCAAAGGATCGTGCTGCACATTCTGCTTGCGCGGAGCTTGATCGCGCGAAACACCCACTGTTGGTGGAGTTTGCAGCGGCGGCACTGCCATCGGGGTGCGTACGGAACCAAATCGCAGTGTAGTAGACGATTTTGGTGGTATTCGAGGAAGGGTAGCAATAGGGGACGAAGAAAAACTTGACTTTGTGTAATTCCAGGGCGCTACAGGAGTAGCGTTGGCATTTGGGGTCAACGCTGGGGCTGAAGATACCGGCGTCGGAGGTGGCATTTGACGCGGAATTTGCAACGGAGGTTTGGTTGAAAAAGTGGTCGAAGGTCCGCCCGATACCACAGGTGTCGGCGGGAAGTAGTCTCCAGATCCTCGATGCACTGTGGGCCTTGCTCGTGGGTCTGTCACTGGGGGTGCGGCAGCTGGTGCTGGTAGCGGGGGTGATACGGGCAAGCGATGTTGAACTGGCCTTCGGTGCGTAGGAACTTCACCCTGCGAAGGTAAAATATCCTGCTTTCCCTCGACAGCCTTTGCTTTCTTCGCCTTCAACTGCTCCTCACTCGACAAACGTTCCTCATCTAGTTCCGAGGGGCTTACGGTCTCCTTCAACACGTCCCGAACATAGGCCAATGATTCCAATGCCTCCCGCTTCCTACTCTTGATAGACTTCGCCTCTTCCACATCCTTCACATTGCTCTCGTCTAACAGAAGTGTGTCGACGATCCAGGTCACCGAATCACCAAGCCGTTGTTGCAAAGCACGCATTTCAGACACGTCTCGTTCCATCTCGAAACGCGTCCTGGGTTCCCATGGTGGGCGTTCAGAAGGAGGCCGTTCATCCTCGAGGGGGTATGAAGATGACTGTGGAAAACGAGCCAGCGAATTCGCCAAATCCGGCAAATTTCGCTATACGAAAAACATTGAGCCAAAAGTTGCAACACGTAGACACGCAAAAGGCATACCTTCAATTCAGAGACAGCATTCATGACTGTCTTATTGATTCCCAGGCTCTCACCTCTTTCCAACAGGCCTCTTGCAATCATCTCAGGCAACCCCATTGGCGTCGAACCCTGTCTTGTATGCAGTCTATTCGCATTGGCATCTAATTGGGGTGATCTGGACGACGATGAACCGGGTTCTGAGGAAGAAAGTGACTGTCCGCGCTCTGCAAGTTTCGCCCTCCTGCGCATAGGAGGCGGCGGTGGTTCTGGGACTTCTATAGGTATGTTGAGAAGATTCCTGTTCTCATGAACGATGGAAACTCCGGTGGTTGCAGTAGGGGACATTTGAAGTGTGAGAGCTTGCCGAATAAGGAGAGATGAAGAATGAATTGTAGTAGAAGCCGGCTGAGAAGGGTAACGGAGAAGGTATGTGAGCTGACCACTATAGTCGGAGGGTATCACTAGAAAGAGACGAGGTTAACATGTTGATGGTAGAGGGTGAGAATTAAGATCTTACATTGGTTACGAATACGGATGAGCATGGCAACGCAGACCCACTGCGCAAGATCTAGAGTGGGGTCACAAGCGAACAACCCATCCCAAAGAATCATAGCATTACTCATGCTGAACTCTCGTGTAAACAAGAGTCGAAGCCATCGACTTTCCAAAACCCAAATCAATACCATGCCATCCATCAGACATATAAACGTGACTTACATTCCATATATCTGAGGCTCGATCCCAGCACTCTGCATCTTCCGCCACAACTCGGGGTCCACGGCCTTCAAGTACGTCGACTGGATTCGATTGCAAGCCTGCACAATCGGAGCAATGTATGGCTTTATACTGTGATCATTCACCACGTTCAATTGAACGTGTGAGGATAGAGAACTCTTCTCAGAAACCATAGGGTCTTTGCTTTCTCGCCATTCATACCATCGACCTGCGCCGCGCATGACCGCGTCAAACAGAGCCCAAGCGTCTGCCCCTACCCAGAGACGGGAGCAAAACGCTTTGACAGAAGACTCTGTGGAGGTAGAAGGAGAGCTGGAGGTTGAAGGATCCTCGGATAGAATCGAGTCGTAGTCCACGGCATAGTAGAGTGGTGCCAGGAGCTCATGCATGCCTTGTCGATAGCCGATGTCGGGATGAGTTACGGAGTACACGAAGAGAATGTTCGTGAGTTGCGTTTGGACTTCGTTGTCACGGAAGTATCCAATATCTGGAAATCTGGACCGAACGTTGGTATTTGCTCTACAAAAAGTGATATGACCTACGTTCTCTCGACATCTTGCAATATCGTCTTTCGCAATTCCATTGAAGCAAACCATTCCGTCCAAGGGTTCTATAGGAAGTGAATGAATCAGCATGAAACATACTGGAGTGACTGATCTATCAAGCACCTCGTCGTGTAAACTGAGCGGATTGTTTCGATCGAGGTTGCTACTGGTTCGCTCAATTCTTGGAGGTGAATCATTGGTGCCGGGGATAATCAGACCGTCATCATAACTTCCATCTGGTGCACGCATATGTTCCAATAGCAACTTTTTGTATTCTGAACGGGCTCGCCGCAGAGATTGCAATGGGGGAATAGCGACTACATCCGCAATGGACTGCAGAGGCTCATTTGGTATCAAGAAGAGCTTGAGGGAAATCAATCATGAACATCACATAACTCCTAGTATTGAGATGAGAAGTCAAAGGGTGCACCTTCCAAGCGAGACTCCTTCCAACAACCCCAGCAGCATCCTCATCCTCAGTAGCTGAGAACAATCTGCCTCCTAATGCAGCATCCTTGATCTTGGAAAGGCTAACTGAGGAGTTGAATAGGTAGTTATATGCATCCCTAAGCCAGCAATAGCTTGAATCTCATAACCTAATTCTCAAGCTAGGAAGACCGACTGGATCTCCTTCACCGCAGGCCGGGTCCGTTCAGGCATCTCTTCCCAATTCAGATTGACGCTATTGATGATGATATGGAAGGTGGTATCGATTTAGATGCATATAAATGTGTTGAGCAGGTGTTGGTCGAGATTTGTGGAGGAGGAGATCTATAAGCAGAGACTGGAGTGCACGGTAACAACAAGAATACTGCTCTCAGTGAGACGCTCATAATTTCATTTTTAACAAGAAGCAACTAACAGTCAAACGTTCCTTTCTAGTCGATCGTAGTAAGTACATGCATAGCACCTTTCATGCAACAGCCCGTAGACAACGTTTATATAGCAATAATGACAGAAATGCCCAAGACAACAAAGAGATCCGTGATCGAGAAATACAATCAGATAATTGAAATCATGGGAACCTGATACCTAGGGACAAAGATGCATGAACGAGAACGAAAGGGCATGCCGTGGAAAGAGCAATGCATACCTAAAACCACATCGTCACCGAGAAACTCGTATCCTCACTCCTCATTGCATGCCACCACCTAGGAGGGAAGAATAGCAGATCCCCCGGTTCCAACACTGCGAACATCGCCTCTGGAGCGACATACTGTTGGAAAAGAGGAAATTCCTCTTGATAATTTGAGAACACATCCACCCGAGACGTGTTGCCCAGTGAAGGACTGACACCGTTCGACGCTTGAGATGCCGGTGGGGGGATTGGATACATGTTGGGAGACACGGTTGGTGGAGCCAGCCAAACCGACTTCCGGCCTACAACTTGAGCTGAAATCGCTTTGAGCACTTGCTGAACCATGACAGGTCATATAGAGCTCACCAAAGAAATTATAAAATGGGTCCTATGATGTAACGATTCGTAAGCGGAAATAGCGGTAATTGAAGGTAACATCACTCACAATATGTGCCGGTGAAATCGTCCCCTTCGGGCCCAACCAAGCGTTCACGACTAGTTGCTCCCGGTTTCCTGGAGGCACGTACATAGGATAAGTCTCTGGAGGAGGTAGGGGCGCATAGACATAATCTGGAATGATCACGTCCTCCCTCAAGGCAGGGAACTGCGAGAACAAATTATGTTGTGCGAGGTACAAGACTGGCTTTCTCTCTCCATTGGGGCCATCAGGGGTGGTCATGGAAGATAGGAAATCATCCCAGCCCATCATCTCTTGGGTCCAATCGTCTCTTCGATAGTCAGCACCCACCTCCACCGGAACGATTCGGCCAGGACCTCCTAGTGAACGAAGGTATTCCATAGATTTCCATGGATGTTCATTCATGGCCGGCCAATCTTCGATATACGCGGGAATGATAAACGGTCCCTTTGAGTACTTGGAAACGAAAGAGGCAAACGGTGGGGGAGTCTCAAGTCGAGGGACTGTCCTTCTATAGGTCTGCGGAAAGGCGATTTCTGACTTTGGAACTAAATCATGTTCTTGTGCTGAGAAATTTGGAGAGGAGGGTCCAAGCCCAAGCGATATAACTTGTATCAGCGAAATGAGCTCATGAATTAGCTCCAAACGGCCTTGTCCACAAGCACCGGCAACAATAATAGCACGATCCAAGCGCGCAACGCAGGTCAATGCGATGGAGCTAGGGACTTCTGTATGCGGAGGCAGAAATTCTGCTAGGGTCCTCCAGATGCAAGCGTCGGTATACAACCGTCGCCAGCAAAGGACAGGAGTTTTCGACGAGGAGAGTTGCTGGTATGCTCCGTCAATGAGCGCATCTAGCTTTGACAGAGAGCTTCCGTCTGTAGACGCCATCCGATGAAAGATACCATGCACGATGTTTCGAAAGTCATGAATGATCTCCGTGCCGCATGGCAGTAAGTCTGCCCTTGGCGTGATGTAGTCAGCGAACAGTGTCAGAATAAGGGTGGTAGAGATGCAGAATGAATTCCCAGATGACGACGTGCAGTCGCTCTGAGTGCGTCAGAGCGACTGCCTTACACACGTCAAGTCCTCGCACACGGTAGGTTGGTGGAACTGCACGCCAACTTGGTCTGCGCCTTATGCTAGATACCTTGTACGTCCATGTGAGCCACTGAGCAGGACAAGAGGAAGTCGCATGAGCAATTTGGAACCAAAATATGCAGCCATTCGGTACAAATGGCACAAATAGGTGACCAAGTATCAAGCAGTAAAAAGCTCCATGCACTCTCAAACAAATCCCTTCGTCTTGGTCAATCCAGAGTGCTCCTGAGAGAGGGTTTCGGAACCAGTCCAACTTTCGAAAGTCCTAACGAACGTCCCCGGGACGCCTGAGAAGCAAGCTATCGCAACGGAGCGCTCATTCGATCTGGCCTGCGCAGACTCAAGCTGGCCGGTGGACAGTCCAACCTGGGACGGGGCTAACATACATACAACCTGCAGTGCGCGAAAGTAGAAACGCCATCCGATGTTTCACGCACTATACATGTCACCTCAACAATAGAATATACACATACCTTCAGTATTGTAATGCGAGTCATCGTTCAATTCGTGCAGGAGTTCGCTAGCAATGTCATGGGCTCGATCCATCAATTTGGTACTGATGTTAGAATAACGGATGAATCGATTCAGAACTCCGCTGTTTTCTTTCTTCAACAGCGCAAGAATGGCCCCTGCCCCCGGATATGCAACAACAAAGACGTTGACTTGTCGGATTCTGAAGGTAGAGGAACGTTAGAAGTCAGAGGAACTGAAGCCTAGACAAGATTAGAAACCATCAATCGCATCATTCCGGCGTGGGTAATGACACCTCGATCAATGCGATCGGCAAGCTTCTGTCACGCTCAGGGGACTCCGTTCGTTCACTTCGTCACGACCTTCAGACAAAAGTTCTCCTCCAAGGTCAAAATACAGCCTCAAATTGCAGAGTATGGTCGCGGTAGCCACTGGATGAGTCATCTTTTTCACAAATCAACAACATTTTGTATGCTATTCTGGAAGGGCGCTTTGTAGGGCAGGAATGTCACGCGTGACGGCATCATTTTTCTGTCACATGCGGCTCAAGTGATAAAAGGTCCAGTCGTGGCAGAAGGACCCGTGAGAACTTCCCCCCCGTTTCCTGCCAGAAACTACACACGAGGCACACCCGGTCCGGTTTTACCGGACACAACCACCATGACTTCGAGGTGCGTTAGGCTGATTTTGGAAGCCGTCGTATTTGACTCAGGCTTTGTTTCTGATTTTGTTTAGATTAGACCGTCTACTGCTACTACTGGATACTGGCTCCTCTACCTCTGTTCGAACTACTGCTGCCAAACAGCTAGCTCAATTAGCAGCAAAGAGCGTAATCAGCGATGTTTCAATCGTTGAAGAAGATGTCAAGGTACATCGCCACCGCACCGATGTGTGCGACTCGTCGAATTGGTCAGAACTTATGGCCGTAGTCGCTAGAGTATGTATCTACTCTCTCATCTTTCTTTAACTGTACCAAACGTGCTTTGCTTGTAGATCTTACCTTACTTGCACTCCAAGTCTCACGACACGCGTACCGCCGCGTCCGTCGCTTTGTCACAGATATTCACACTTGTTCCCCTATGGGCACCATCCACCGATTACGAGGACAAGACACCCGGAGCCGCCCAATCACTTCCCGCCCCGGAATTCCCCACATTCTCTGTGCGGGAGCTCATGGAGAAGGGCACTTTGCTACTTTCCTCGACAGGATTCGAGTTTACCAGACCATCCCGCATCCTTGCGAATTCTACGGAAGTCAAGAAGGCGCGTAAAGAGGCTATGGGCCGTCTTGGGCTTGATTTCCTCGAAAGTGTTGGCGGTGCTGATGATATGGACATCGACAAAGACCTTGTGGCCGACCAGGATGGGGATATTGAAATGGAGGATGGCGTGAAAACCGAGAACGGTGTTAAGGTTGAGGAGGACGTCAAGCCTATATCTCCTATCGAAGGTGCCAAAATGAAAGACTCCCCAGCGCCTGGACCTTCGAAGTCGCCCACTCCCGCCGCCCCTTCACCAGTCCCTGAGTTGCCAGAGGACACCAATGCTCTATCAGCGCGTGAGCGTAATCGTCTTAAGCGCAAGCGCAAAGGGGGCCATGCTGCCTTCGTTCCTGCCCCCGCCCCTCCTCAAAGCACCAACGTGAAATATGCCACAATGCCATCTGGACCTTCAAACAAGTATGTTTTGCTCTTCCCATCCACAACAACAACTTAATGTTGACTTTCTCGCAGGGCACGCCTAATTGCTACTGATCAAGCAGATGGCGGAAAGCGCTCGGACAGCCCAAAGTCCCCTCTGGAAAGTCCAACTGAAAAGGTCGTCGTCGACCCATCGAAGGGCGGCGCAGTCTCACCGAAAGCGGAGAAACAGACAAAAGCACTTGAAGTACAGCCAGGACATTGGGTTTGGGATGGGCTCGCGAAGATTCTCGAAGTTGACTTGTTCAGTCCCGCCTGGGAAGTAAGACACGGAGCCGCCATGGCTCTAAGGGAATTGCTTAAACACCAAGGGAAATTCGGTGGAATGCAAGGTATGTCCTCTTCAGGATTTGGATACATTTATGTATTGATCATGGGATTAGTCAGTCTACCTTGGGAGGAGAACGAAATAGCACATGAGAAATGGTGCAATGATTTTGCCGTCAAGTTCCTTTGCATCTTTGTATTGGATAGATTTGGCGACTTCGTGTCTGATCAGGTATATATATATTTGTTTTTCTTACACTTTACATTTCACTCATTGGTCATGATAGGTCGTCGCACCTGTTCGAGAGACAGTGTCGCAGACCCTCGCCTCTCTACTCCTCCACATGCCCAGGCGATCCGTCTTACACGTACATTCTATCCTCCTAGAGATGATTCGACAGGACTTCCCACCTCCCGTGAAGAAAGAAGTCCCAACAACGATAGGGCGCAAACCCGAAGTGGGACATGTCTGGGAAGTCAGACACGCTGGACTTCTAGGAATCAAATATGAAGTCGCTGTGAGAAAGGATTTGGTAGAGACTCCTGCTGCGGACGCATCCGATCGGACAGTGCAAGAAGGTCAGGAGGTACTGCGAGGGATAGTGGATGCGGCTGTATTAGGGTACGTGTTCATTCGTATTGTATTCGGACCAGCTGCTCACGCATAACATTTTAGTCTCGGAGACAGTGACGATGACGTCCGATCCGTCGCTGCGACATGTATACTTCCTGTTGCAGCTCATCTGGTCGGGCAGGTGCCGGAAGTATTACCCCGGGTATTGGCCGTACTTTGGAACTGCCTGAGAAATATGAAGGATGACCTGAGCTCGAGTGTTGGTGCAGTGATGGACTTGCTAGGTACCGCCCAACTGATTTTCTTTCACAAGCTGCACGACGTTCTGACTTTTTGTTCTAGGGAAGTTGGTCATGTATGATCAAGTCATCCATATTATTGCGGACGAAACTCAATCGTGAGTGAATGCCTTGGCTTATTTGGATTCTTTACTTATGTTCGAATTTAGTCAAGCGCTCTCAGTACTTGCACCTACGTTGTTCCCCTTCTTCCGTCACACCATTCCAGGCGTTCGTCTTGCTGTCGTGAAGACATTACACTCATTCATGACCGTCCCATCGCTTCCCAGGGATTGGATATCCGAACCATTTCTCCGTCTACTTTTTCAGAACCTTATTGTGGAAGAACGCTCAGATATCCGAGATGCCACTTTGTCGACTTGGCAGATGGTTCTCTCTATCCTCCGTTCCGTAGAGGCTTGGACGGAGTCGGTCTTGACCCAACAGCTGCTGCTGGAGTGGTATGCAGTCTTGATGACACCGTCGGGTATGCCTATAGATATATCAACATTCTACGATCCGATTGCCGTTGCAAACGGAATGGATTCTACCACGGAAAGGCACAATGTGGACAAAAACATGATTGCGCAAGACTTGTCGCTTATCTCAATCGAGGTCGTTCTTCAAGCACGGGTGGCCGCTTCGAAGTCATTGGCCGCCATAATCACATTCTGGCCTCAGACTGTAGGTTTACATACTACGCTCTATGGTGACTTTTCGTGTTGACTTTTGTTTGTAGGGACAAGCATTGGAAGATATGTTCAGGCCCATCCTGATTCACTACATCGATTCCACTAGTATGCTCCAAAAGTTCCTTGCCGCTATCATTTCCGAAGAATGGGCACAAGGTTACGACGCACGCGTGCCATTAGGAAGTCCACTACTCATCGACATCTCTCCGTTGGCCAAAGACATCAGCGACCGAATCTTGGTTTTCCTTCAAGCTGATCCTCCAGCGGCTTATCATGAGATGGCATACACGCTCGCTCGGATTCACGGCGAGTGCTACAACCTTCTGCAGTCGTTCGTGTACGAATGCAAGATCCCTCAAGCGTCGATACCAGCTTTGGGTACCGAGATTGACGTCACAGGTACTCGACCTGGTTGCTTCACCATTTCTACTGCGCAAGCTGCTGTGGGTCAAATGTTCGATAAGCTGAAGGACAGTCTTGGGAGGACGAAGAAACGAGAATTGACTATTATCAAAGAGAAGCGCGCGAAGGTCGCTTTGAGCATCGAACGCTACATCGAGGTGAAAGTCCAGTACGATATTCGGGTTTCCGCCGCTTTTGCGGCTGCCTACGTTGCGTTGAAGGCTACACCTGATAAGGTTAGCCCAATAGTGAAGGGCATCATGAATGGTATCAAGGTGCGTTTGGACTTGATCTGCTCAGTACATAATACCAGCTTCCTTACTTGGACTGCCCCTACAGAGCGAGGAGGATACACACCTTCAGACTCGTTCGGCCGTTGCTGTAGCTGCCTTTGTGGAATTCTGCGTCGACCGTCATCTTGTTCAGCCACCGGACAAGATTGTGAAGAATTTGTGCACGTTCATTTGCCAAGATGTCGAGCAAACTCCTACTTTCGCTTTCTCAAGGAAACACCAGAGTGGTATTCTGTCCTTCTCAAAGTCGCAAGCTTTCATCAACGGCAAGGACGTTGGCGCGTCTGCTAGTGCTGATGATATTGCAAAGGCCAAGTTGTCTCGTCGAGGTGCTGGTTTCGCCTTCATCGAGTTGTCTCATAAATTCGGCCCTCGGATGCTCGAGGTTGTGCCGAAGATGTGGCAATCGATGGCTGGTGGTCTATTGACTGCTTGTGCGGGTGGTACGTTTCACATCACAATCATCCTCCTCCCGGTTGCTAACTAAATTTAACCAGAATCCCCTACTAAGATGGACGGCCTGATCGAGAAGCAGTCTGGTCAGGATATCATCGACTCTCTCAGCGTACTCGAGGCGGTCGTACCCACTTTCCATCAAGACCTATGGCCCAAGTTCCGGGAGCTCTTCCCCATGATCTCACTTGCACTGCGCAGTCGATTTGCGATCATTCGCCAATGTTCCGCACGCTGCTTTGCTGCGATGTGCGACGTGATCACTTTGGACGCGATGAACTTCGTTATCGAAGTCGTGGTGCCCTTCTTGGGCGACACGTCGAATTTGCCGAACCGACAGGGAGCAACCGAGTTGATATATCGTAAGGTTTCTTTATGACTTATAGCTGAGGTCCCTTGCTCACCAGTTATATTTCAGATATCGTGCAGAAACTGGATATCAAGGCTCTCCCATATGTGATCTTCATGATCGTCCCTGTACTAGGGAGGATGAGTGATCCCGATGATGACATCCGGTCTACAGCGACTAATACCTTCGCATCGCTGGTGAAGATGGTTCCGTTGGAAGTAAGTCGCTCTAGACATTCGCGTTGTTACCTTTCTTACATTGGTTCAGGCCGGACTACCCAACCCACCTGGCTTCTCTGAAGACCTTCTAAGGCGACGTGATGAAGAACGGCAGTTTCTGACGCAATTGCTCGACGGAAGCAAGGTACAGGAGTATCACATACCGGTCCTCATCAAAGCGGAACTACGAAAATATCAGCAAGAAGGTGTTAATTGGCTTGCATTCTTGGCCAAATATCAGCTTCATGGTATTTTATGTGACGGTGAGTTTCTATTCGTCAACTGATCGCATTTTATCTCAACTATCTGAGTAGACATGGGATTGGGTAAGACTTTGCAATCAATCTGCATCTTGGCAAGCAAGCATTTCGAGCGTGCTGAGAGGCATAAGCAAACGAAGTCGCCGGATTCCGTTCACCTACCATCGCTCATCGTCTGTCCACCTACGCTCACTGGCCATTGGTACTACGAGATCTTGAAATACACTGAAAATCTGCGTCCGATGCTCTACACAGGTAATTCCAGAGAGCGATGCCGTTTGCTGCCAAAGTTCAAATCGCACGACGTCGTCATCACGTCATACGAGGTAGTACGTAACGATATTAACAGCCTTCAAGATCTCAATTGGCATTACTGCATCCTTGACGAAGGCCATATCATCAAGAATGCCAAGACCAAGCTAACGAAAGCAGTAAAAAGCATACGTGCAAACCATCGCCTGATTCTGTCAGGAACACCCATCCAGAACAATGTCCTAGAGTTATGGAGCTTGTTCGATTTCCTCATGCCGGGCTTCCTCGGTACTGAATCGACATTCAACGAGCGGTTCAGCAAACCTATTCTCTCGAATCGCGATGGTAGAGCGAAGACGGGTGAAGCTGGTAAGTTCACAACCTTGTCAACAGAAGACGTCAACTGAATTTGGTTATCTTCAGCTGCACTTGCCTTGGAGGCTCTACATAAACAGGTCTTGCCTTTCTTGCTCCGTCGTTTGAAGGAAGACGTGCTTCAAGACTTGCCACCGAAGATCATTCAAGACTACTACTGCGAGCTGTCAGAGGTGCAGAAGTACATGTATGATGACTTCTCGAAGTCACGGGCTCGAGTGGAAGCAGAGGATGTTGTTCGTTCCGACAGCGAGGGAAAGTCACCGGCTCATCAGCATGTCTTCCAATCGCTTCAATATCTCCGAAAGCTCTGCAATCATCCAGCCCTAGTACTCAAAGATGATAGGCAAGCTGCCAAAGAGGCCTTCGCCAATGCTGGCCTCAAGCCTGACTCTGATCTGAGTGACATCCATCACGCCCCTAAGCTGCTGGCTCTTCGGTAAGTGATAGCATCTTCATATTGGACCATTTTCTGACGTATGCAAACAGGCAACTTCTCCTTGACTGCGGACTTGGTACCTCTCCTTCAGAGATCACTTCAAAGAGCGACTTCGCCGATGAGACCACGTCCAGTGGAGCGTTCTCCCAACACCGAGTGTTGATCTTCTGTCAGATGAAGCAAATGATCGACATCATCGAAACAGATCTCTTCAAGCAGCATATGCCTTCGATCACATATATGCGACTGGACGGCGCGACAGATGCAAATAAGCGGCATGCTATTGTGCAAACGTTCAACTCAGATCCTAGCATCGATTGTTTGCTCCTCACGACTCATGTCGGCGGTCTGGGCTTGACCTTGACAGGAGCAGATACAGTGATTTTCGTTGAACACGACTGGAATCCGATGAAAGATCTCCAGGCAATGGATCGTGCCCATCGTATTGGTCAGAAGAAGGTTGTGAACGTCTATCGACTCATAACCAAAGGCACGTTAGAGGAGAAGATCATGGGGTAAGTATTCGCTTTTTTCTGGATGCATTAACTACGACCTGACAACGATGTCTTTCACAAGCCTGCAACGATTCAAGCTGAACATCGCGAGCTCGGTTGTCACTCAACAGAACACAGGGTTAGCTTCGATGGACACTGATCTTGTCTTAGACCTCTTCAGGAGGACCAGCGAAGAAGAGGATGCTGCAGCTGAAAAGAAGAAAGCAGAAAAGAAGGCTGGTCCTATAAGCCAGAAGAACGTTCTCAGCGGTTTGGAAGATTTGCCTCCAGAAGACGAATACTCCGCTCTCGAGTTATCGAACTTTATGGGCTCACTCTCAACTTGATTCCTGCAAACACATCCTATCATTGACTTATGTTTATTTCATTCTCCTCGCACTTCGGACGATATCCTAGAAGCACGAATATCAGACTGTACATTGTAGCTGTAACGATACACCATTCCTGTACTACTCGCAATATAATAGTCCGGTTAATACTTACTCGTCGCTGCGATAATAATACTACAGTCTTGGAAGACACTCAGAATAGCAGGTAAGGACCTCCAGGCCTACGTGCACGCCTAGGCAAAGAATGTCTCCAGAAATGTGGAAAATTGAATGCCAGCAGTAACAACAGTACCCCAACGACAACCCCGATCACCGTCCCCGCCAATGCACCGGTACTAAGAGCCTTCCCTTGCGACTGCAACTGGACAGGAGCTGGGCTAGCAGTACCAGTGTCCTGTGACGACGCGTTGCTTGATTTAGTGGGAGATGGGGGAGACGTGATGGATGTAGGTGTAAGGCAGCCCATGTCCGTACTGGCAACGACGAAGAAAGGTGGAGATTGTGCATGCAATCCTGAACCCTGCTCCGTATCAAACGCGAGAACCACATAAGCCCCCGCAGGGACATCAGCACGACTCCATGCCATCCCTTTTGCATTTGACGAAACAGTATTCGTCAAAGTGCGAGAAATCAGCATCGTCTCGTTACTCTGTTGCGAAGCAAGTTGAGAGCTTCGCTCATTCGTAACGGCGATAGTCAGAGCAATATCTTCTGTCCCGTTGTAATTCCAACGGAAAGTGGTACTTCCACAAACTGTGACGTTACTCGGAGGAATAAACTGGAGATCGGGAGAACTTCCATTACCAACAAAGTATTCAGTGTGAGACGGATGATACAGATGAATGTGTAGCACAAACCTCAGTGAGGTGGACGTTGAGCTCGGAGGTGCTGAGTTTGTCTGCGTAGGATTCAGAGATGACACCGAGCCCGATCTGACGGTGTCTTGATTGTCTTCCTCATTGTCACCATTGTTGTTGTCTTCGTCGCTGTCATTATCATTTTCGTCGTCTTCATCTTCATCACCATCACTTGCACTTTTATTGCCATGCTTTGCAAACACAGGAACGACGGAGACAAACGGTATTGATGCAAGGTAGTGGAAAGCGGTCATCTAGGGCAGCGATGCGACGCTCGTCAGGTCTTGAAGCTTGCCAAAAATCGTTGATGATTACACTGACCAGCTTGTGGAGAACGTCAGTGACGGTAAGTGACTGTAAGTGGGGTGGTTTACATCTCACGGCAACGCTGCGCTCCAACGTCTGAAATACTGGGATGCTCTGATGAACGATCCACGCTATACCCATTCAATGGAAAGACCCAGTGGTGCGGGTGTGGTGCAGGAACTGAAAGGCTTTGAAACGGTAAGGACCATCATCTAATCAGGATAATAGCCGAGCCAATAGGCCGGAGAAAAGCGAGACGTGTAGATATACACCTACCAAGCTAATTCAGTCTTTAATACTCCCGAAGACCAGATTCACATAGTGAACAAGTTGGGAGCCTACCGCGTCCAAACCGCGATTTAACTAGCGCAAAGTTCGATGAATATCACAGACATGGCTTTTGGACATCAAACACTGACCTCTTGATACCCATTCGATCTGTGAAGAGGATGCTAAAGTTAACAGCAAGTTTGGCGATGGGGAGAACGGACACGCGGCCGAAGGATTGAGAAGAGTGTAGTGGGAAAGAAAACAACCGGATAACATTGCATACCCATTCTGCATGGGAACGCGCCCACTTTCTAAAAGTCATTCTTAGAGTTTGCACTCAATTACATGTGAAATTCTGCAACGACAAACGTCGGCATATCGGAAGTAGTGGAGTTACGGCGATAGATGACAAGGACACTGAGACTTGGTCTTTCCTCGTAAGCTTGGTACACAGTCGTTGCGGCAGATTGAAGACAAGACTATTACATTCTGAGGAATGTAATAATACACGATACAAGACTGATGATTACAAGAACAGAAAACTTACCTGATGTATTTACGACAACGACGAAGGAGCAGTCGGGATAAATGATTATTGACGTCGAAGAATAGGGGCAGACAGGTTGGACAAGAGCTATCATCATTTGATATTTGCCTAAATCCGCCGTCCATTCAAGATTTCAGAAGGATGTGGTCAGGCTAACAATAGAAGCAGACGATGATGAGTGTAATGAATAGAGGCTACAGCTATCGTTGTACGCACGGTTGCTTCCCTTGTTGATACTGAACCGTCCACGTCGAGTTGCGTAGAAAAAATGAGGAAGGGGAAGGGAGAGGAATTCTGAGCATGCAACAAGGAAACCTGTGAAGACAATACAAAATGTCCCATAGGATGAGAGCGATTGGACGCAAGGTCAAAACAGAGCCAACAAATACAGATGCTGTGAGCTGATGGGTCTGAGCATTGCAAGTGAAGCATACGAGTAACGTTTCAGTGGTCAAAGTATGTCCGGGAATATACTAAAACACGACGTCAGTGTCGAGTATCAGCACAAGTTGGGCTTTTCTACCGCTCGAGACATCGGATCGACGAGTAACGAGGGCATATGACCAGCCTTATGCTGAACGCTATGAAAGGTGGCCCACTGCACAAAACTAAGCCGGCACCATTCACTTAATCTTTTCAACCCCGAACAGCAAGATAGGATGGCATGATGTTTGAATCTATCAGGTCGTCTCCATGGAATCCGGACCAGGAACACGACCGAACCTCTTTGTCTCACATACTCATGTTTATCCAAGCTATGGATAAAGGCATTTCAAGTTTTCTACAGTCTCTACATCCTTTATATGTGTGCCACGAAGGACAGCAACAGACCTGACCATTTTGGTAATACCGACCGACACTGGCTATCGATGCTACCTTGGTGCATACAAGTAGATTGCGTCCTGCGTTATTCACCTCTCAAGAAAGGGTCCGATATTCTGATATTCTGACTGACCATTTAGCCGCAAAATCGATGGTCGCCGCCAAGGGCCTGGCCGCATGTAGGTTTAAAACGCTGCATGGCTCGATCTCTTAAATACACTCGCTGTTGTTAAGAGACCGCCAGCTCACTCCACAATACGCAGAACCTCATCCTACTACCTGTCCTGAATCATACTGAATATGTCTACTCCCCGAGTCTGGTTCAGTAGGTCCCTCGCACTTTCACTTGTGTAGTCAATCAAGTAACAACACCTTTCGGTTCTAGTTACCGGTACCTCTTCTGGCTTTGGCAGGTTAACGACCGAGAAAGTCCTTAGTCATGGAGACATTGTTGTTGCAACAGCAAGGAAGCCTGAGGCACTCGACGACCTAAAGAGCCAATATCCGAGTAGCAAGCTGCTTGTCCTCCCCCTCGACGTCACCGACTACCAGCAAATCAAGGATGCTTTCTCCAAGGCGAAGGATGCGTTTGGCAGAATCGATATTGTCTTCAACAATGCAGGGCGTGGCCTTGTGGGCGAAGTCGAAGGAATCCCGGAAGAAGAAGCCCGCGCGCTGTTTGATACGAACTTCTGGGGAGCGATGAATGTTAGTCGCGAAGCAGTTCGGTTTTTCAGGGAAGAGAACAAGCCTGCGGGCGGCAGATTGCTTGTTAACTCCTCGAGGGTAGGCATTCAAGCCATGCCCCTCATAGGATTTTATTCAGCGACCAAACATGGTAAGTTATTCTACGCTCATCTGTCCTTCCACTTGATCGGTTAAATCATCAAATATTCAGCGTTGGAAGGCATTACCAAGGCACTTGCTCAGGAGCTTGATCCAGCTTGGAATATAAAGGTAACGTCCTTGGTTCCTTGGTCTCTGGAGGTCGTGCCTTATGAGTCTCCAGGTCACTCTAGTCCAACCTGGATTCTTCCGTACCGCCGTAGAAACAAAGTCTGTTCTCTGCCCGATCCATCCCGCCTATAGCGACCCCGCTCTCCCTGGAAATCTCATTCGCGCCTCGATCAAGAGTGATAGGCCATTCGGTTCGGATACTGTGGAAGGCGTGAAAAGGATATACGATGTAGCGGGATTACCGGAGCCACCTTTGAGGCTCCCGATAGGGCTAGACTCGATCGAAGCAATTAGAGCTGAGTTGGCGAGCGTCAAGGCGGATACTGGAAGGCATGAACACTGGTCTGAAGGTCTGGTGTACATCGACGTATGAAGAGCATAACCTGTTTTTGTGCACATTAATGTTTCGCTTTTGCGGTCGCTTGGGATAGAGTTTCATTTCCATTCTCCACTCGTTCACCTTGACGTGTAATAGATTTCGAGTTTAATAGCTGTTACAGGACATGCAATTGCACGCTGGACCGATACAACACGGGAGTAATCTATAGAGGTAGATAAGTCAGTATGAATCAACTTGCGTCATAATCACGTAGAGGGTTATGGTTCAAAACAACATATCCGGGTTCTATGTACTATAGGATTCCTGAAGTCAGTCAGTAGCAGTGGTCAACGCATATAGGAAATGAGCCGAGTATTATTCACACCTTACAGCTAGTCCAATAAGTTTCGGAGTGAAGACTGTGAAGACTGTTGCAGCAGGCTCGAGGCATCGTGGGAAATGATGCACGTGAACGCAACGCGTCCACGACGCGTCGCAGCAGGTCGGAGCACGTGTGTCCCCAGTACTTGTAGCGTGTCGCACTCAAGCCGTTCTACGCGTCTTGCTTCCTCGAATGCTGGCTTCACTTCAAACCCCTATATCTGACACATATGCAGTACTCTCATTTGCAGGACCTGAATCAAGCTCAACTGAGAGGTAAGCACTTGACCATACAGTTGCACGCATATATGAGATAGAACACATTCATTCTACTAGCCGTCGAACATGATCCCAATATTCCACTCCAGATTCTTGCCGGGCCTGGGAGTGGCAAGACAAAGGTTCTAACCACTCGGATAGCTCACCTAATCTCGCAACGTTCGATTGAGCCTTCATCTATCTGTGCAGTGACATTCACCAACAAGGCAGCCAACGAGATGCGAGAAAGACTATCGAAGTTGATTGGAATGGAGACAACCTCACTGATCCGAATGGGCACATTCCACGCCCTATGTGCGATGTTCTTGCGTCGACATGCGAATCTGGTCAAGCTTAATGGAAACTTCACCGTATGCGACTCAGATGAGAGGTGCGGTCATTGGACATTTCATTGTACCATGGCTGATAAACCCCAGCAAGAAGATTGTGTCTAAGCTTCTCAAGGCGCATAGAGTAAAGCTCGCAACAAAGGCTATTACTTTGAGAGAAGAGGCAGTTTTGTCACTCATCTCGAAGGCAAAGTCTAAAGGGCATTCTCCTGATGATGTTCTGGATATGCTTGAAGACCCTTCGAAAAGACGGAAAGCGCAAAAGAAGGCCGATATCGGGTCTATTTCTGCCCTCATCGACCAAACTATCGCCACACTATATCGTGACTACGAACGTACACTTCGAGATAACAATAGCCTGGACTTTGATGACTTGTTGATCTACGGTGTCAGGCTATTTCGAGACCATCGCAAAGTCGGAAAGTGGTGTAAGCATATTCTGGTAGACGAATTGTGCGTTCGCACCGTTATTCAAGGTTGTGGAAATACTCAGTCCCTTTTGCAGCCAGGACACGAACACGATGCAATACGAACTCATGCAGCACATTGCAGCAGCAAATCGTTGCGTCACAATAGTTGGTGACCCCGACCAGTCGAGTATGTCCTTTCATTTGATACAGTGCTTTCACTGATTTGATGACCTTCAGTATATGGCTGGCGTTCGGCGGAAGTAGAGAACCTCCAAAGAATGAGACAAGGTAAGTTCTTCCTTTTCTTCGCCACAATACTATCTCGACCAACAATCGCAAAGACTTCCCCTCAACGATCCAGATTCTTCTCGAACATAATTATCGCTCGACAGGTTCCATCTTAGCAGCAAGTGTTGCAATCGTTGCACAGGGTACAGTTGTTCAACGCCCAGCTCATTGTGTTTTGCGTTACTGACATATTCTCAGACAAATCTCGTATACCCAAGACACTACATACGCAACATGCAATCGGACCCAATCCCACCTTACAAGCGTTCCCTTCAGAATACGAAGAAGCAACATTCATCGCTACGGAGATCAAAAGACTTCTTGCTGCCACAGGTGACATGTTAAAGTGGAGTGATTTTGCCGTCTTGCGTCAGTGATTTCTGCAACTGCCCGCTTCCGCTTCTGATGTCTGTTACAGTCCGATACAATTCCCTGTCCCGTGCCATTGAAAGCGCATTGCAGCAGCAAGGCATTCCGAATCGGGTCCTCGGTGGTCACAAGTTCTTCGAACGTTCAGAGGTAGGGTTTTATTATGATTGAGCTTTTTTCTTCGGTTTTCATCGTCGTTCTACGTCAGGTGAAAGACATACTCGCATACATGCAAGTAATCGACAACCCTCAGTTCATACCCGCATTCTCGCGAGCAGTCAACACTCCTTCAAGAGGAATCGGAGAGAAGGTTTGTTTATTCGTTACTTTTTTCTTTCCGCAAGCTGAAGGAATTCCACCAGACTATATCCGAAATGCTTACGAGAGCCGCTACTCTTAACCTTTCACCCCTCGAAGTGGCGGAGCGCATTTATGACGAGCAGATGCCCGATATCAAGCCTCCAGTCAGACGAAAACTAAAATCTTTCATTGAACCTATCAAAAACCTACGGAAGCTGGCTAATAATGTAAGTTCTTTGGGTTGCATGCCTATGACGGTATATCAATGTGTTTCACGTGTTACAGGGAGAACTGCCATCCAACCTCATACGTACCCTCCTTGACCTGATTCACTACGAAAATCATCTGAAGAAGACACAGCCCGATGCTGACAGTCGATGGGACAATGTCCAAGAGCTAATCAATTTCGCTCGGGAATTCGAAGTTAATGAGTCGAGTAATCTGCAACTCCCTGAGAGTCCTTTGCCTGGAGAACGTGTTGCCGGAGAGAATGATTGGGAAGATCATCCAGACGAATTCGATCATAACGCATTCGACGAGGATGGTATCGCTGAGATCAAGCCCGGTGCGAATAGCAAACTCGCATCCCACAGGTAAAACATTCACCTATACGCTGTATGCCAACACCACTTAATTAAAGCATCTGACAGAGATACGCCTCTGCGGCTGTTCCTCCAAGCGTCAATGTTATCCACAGATGTTCAGACCCAGGATAGTCGTGCCGACAACAACGTTCGTCTACCAGCTCTACTTTGTCAAAATTTATGTTGACTGTTGTTGCAGAAGGTTACAATTACAACCTGTCATGCTGCCAAAGGTCTCGAATGGCCTGTGGTCTTCGTTCCTGCAGGTACGCTGTACGTTTCAACGTTTCGTTTGATTTTTAACACGTTCTTTTGTTTTTAGTCGAGAAAGGGACATTCCCTTCATCACGTGCGGAAGATGTCGAAGAAGAGAGGTAAGTTCTTCCATATTGAAGCCATGGTGTTGCACGAACTCACAGCGATTTCAGACGTTTGCTCTATGTAGCATGTACACGAGCTCAAGGATTACTCTACCTTAGCCATTCAACTGGTCGAATGGTATCTGGCGAGACCAAGCCTCAAGAAATATCTGAATTCATCTGGGTTGTGAAGAGATCCACTCCGGTTCGTGATATCGTGTCACTGCTATACAATGTTTCTAATGGAAATAATTCCGTCCTGACAGGGCCTATTTTCTGCCACGCCACCGAATTTAAGTAGAGAAGACAGAACTCTATTAGCATCCGTCCTGCATCGAGACGCGCCGGACGAAGCTAAAGTCTCTCAGAGACTCGAAGAACAGTTAGTAAACTCCCTGAGATGCCAGTACCTAATTGACATATTTTTGGCAGTTATCGCACAGCCGGTCAAACTTCTTGGAGCTCTCGTCCTGGTGGTTCTACCAACCGCTACAGGCAGCCTCCAAGTACGAGCAACTTCATGCCCAACTCTGACGCAGCACTCACCTCTACTTCATATCAAGGTAATCTTTATTTTGGATCCCGAACTCGTCACCAGCCTCACGCTTTCGTCCTTCAGCGGCGTTTGCATCAGCAAAGTCATATCAATCCGGTACAGATCAAGTATACCCTGTTCCTAGAGCCCCATTGTCGCCGTCCAGAAGTTCCGTCGTCAACGCCGCGCCTAGGCAAATTGTATCCAACAAACCGCACTCGAAAGCTATGAGTTCCAATATTGCTGCATCTTCTACTGCAATACCCTCTACTACTCAGAAGTCGGCTCTACCCAAACAGGGCACTTTGGCGTCGTTTGTGAAACCTTTGTCGTCCAGTTCCAGTTCTTCACTCTTGAAACCGACTTCGAAATCAACGCCGGACCAGTTCCCATCGACGTCATTCTCAGCTGGTTCTAGTTCTTTGTCTGTCCCCACTGCGTCGGCCCCAGGTAAAGTCGCAGGCGTAAAGCGACGGCTAGGAATGGGTCATGGCGCAATAGGGTACTCGAACAAGAAGTACAAACCGCCTACTTGAAATAGTTGATTCTTACGTTTCCGTAGTGTATCGAGGCAATCTGAGCTCCCGAGCACTGACTATTTATTCCCTGCTATATTTTCCGATTGTACTTATACTCGCTTGTAAATATTTTGGTGCAACCTATCGAAGTGAGGCATCAGGCTCTTAGTGCAACAGGTAGGAACCGACCAACTGACGAAGATTCATTGTCGCGCTGTGAAAGTCCAGGCTTGAAGGCAAGCTTCACTTTAAATTCAAAGCAATGTGCTGAAGTTTGCGGCATCTTTGGAGTTTAGATTCCCAGATTGGGCTTACAAGCTGCCTTATCAGGAAACAGACCTGCCTCATTCGGCAGGTACATTGGAAGAACTTGAAATTCGGTACGTTTCCAGTGAGGACAAGGACCCAGTTTTAGTCGATGAAAGACCGTATTCGAACGACACCTTAGTGGAAAATCAAGTTCCATGACTTCAGAAAACCACAACACCTGCTACCTCAGGCCTGAAGCTGGGCGAAGCTACATTCAGGCTTCATCGATTCATAAGGTGTGTCATTCCAACGATTAAAACTATCTCTTACCACGAAATGAACATGTAGCATATGACTTCATGACATGCATATGTGTTATCAGAAATAAGCAAGTACTAGCCACGACTTATCAACATAAGATAATTTACAAACAGACATGCGGGCCGACGCTGCCGTTCCCACCTCTTTCCTCCGACCTCTCAGCTTTTTCTTCAAGCAATGATGTCGACAACAACCTCACTTCATTACTCTCATATCTTATGTTTTACTATTCTTCGAATGCACTCGAATGGAGCTCCTTATAGGAACTACTCACCGTCTAGAGTATTTGACGTCTCCATCGTGTAGAATGGATGAACTAACAGCGAGACTTTGCCTCCGGGTGCCACAGTTATCTTCTGTCCACGGTGGATGAGGCAAATGTGATTCTCCGGCACTCTTTGGGTATATGTCTAAGCCTTTGGGAAGATCTTTACTGTCTGTCTGTCTGTTTGTCTCGGATCCAGCGTTGGCTGTGAAGTCTCTGATTTCGCACCAGTGATCTGCTCACTGTGGGGTGCACATGGGACCGGCTCTGAGATGACATTGAGATTCTGCAGTATTACAGTGAGTTGCGTGGTGCCGATCTTTCTCGCACGGTTCTTTGATACCCACCTTCTCTTCGGAAGCCAGGAACAGTCAATCGTCCCACCATACCCGATACCGATACCTTGCGTCTTGATCGTAAACAAATACATTATTACATATCTCCGAGGTTTATGCATGTGTTCTTCGTGCCTTGCATCAGCGAATACCAGTGTTAAGTGTCCGCATCATTATCAGGCCCTGGCTGACAGATGATCAAAACCTGTAAGCACATAGCAATCTGAGTATCAAGGAATCTCCCGCAAATTGCAGATGTCTCCATAGAGCCTCCAAAGCCGGCTGGCTGAGATCGGCTGTACGAAATCCCTGTATATCTTTGCCGACAAACTCATTCACCTTTACCCGTCCCTCTTCCTCACGACGTGTACGCTATGGAGTCGCCCATTCCTGGTCTCCCACCCATCCCCGGTGTTCCACCTGGCGCCTTGCCCGATATACCTGCCCTTCTTGGGCCTATCGCGATTACAGCATGTATTGCCCTCTTGTATGTTTGAGTACACTTTGAACGTTGCATTCGACATTGATGTGTCCCTCCTCACTAGAATATACGGCGTGACAGTCGTTCAAGCATATGCATACGTGCTGAACTATAAAAAGGATGATACATGGGTGAAGAGCTTGGTATATGGGGTGGCGTTCGTTTACTGCTTCTCACGTCTCGTTCGCAGTATACTCAACCATCATCAGGTTCTTCGAAACGGTACATACCGCTGTCATTCTTGCACTGTACTGGGATACTTTCATTCACTTCCGTGAGGACCTCCTTGCCATTGTGCACATTCCTTGGTAAAAGCGCATTTCCTTATCTTCAGTAGCAACTTACTCATTTTCATGCCAACATTTAGGACTGTCCCGGTAAGTACAGAGCTGCACAGAATGGCCAGTAAATATTTTGACTCACGATCATGCAATTGTAGACCGTATTCTTGATCAATGTAGGTGTTCGGATGCCTTCTGCGCCTGTTGTTGCTAAACCCCTCTCTAGTGCGGTATTACCATACTTGTACAAGGGTGAGCCCGAAGACAAAACATTGTCCGTCTAGGCTAACGCATTCAATTTTGCAGGTTCTACATTCGACGCATATGGATCCGTGAGGAGATTCACATTGATTGCGACTTACAAGGGCTGATCGATCCATTCATTCAGTTAGCAATCGGTCCCTTGCTTTACTTATCCTCCTGGTGCGTCAGCACTTGTATGCGTGGCTCAAAGTTTGTTCATAGTCACTGTAGATCACTATTCTTACGCTTCGAATTGGTAAGTTCACTGATTTCCTACTCAAGCCTTCGACCGTCCTAATAGCATGACAGGATTTGCTATCGGTATGCATTTTAGTCTAGTGCAATACGGTTCCCAAACTCATTTCGCGAATTGATCACTTCAGCAACGTTCGCGTTCTTGTACGTCGTGAACTTCTTTTGATTATAAACCGAAGAGCTCATTGTGACCATTACTGACTGCATCAGCGTAAAGCTCGACACCTGGCAGTCTTTCCGAGACCAGACAGGCCCTTTAGTAAGGCTTACCGGTCCGTTGTATCCTACATCTCTTACCGATTGTCATTCAGGTTACCATCAGCACCGGGCTTGGTCTCGCTGTACTCATGGATATGTGTGTCGCTGGCCTTCTCATCTACTACCTTGTTCGCGGACGTTCAGGTCTTCGCAGGTTCGTGACGTATGTGTCGGATGCACGGTGGAGCTTACTTAGCGGTTGGAATCTAGGACCGATGGGATTATTAGCTTCCTCATCGCTTATTCCGTTAATACAGGTCTTCTCAGCATGTGCGTCTTCGCTTATGCGGTTTGTCTACTGAGTATCAATCTACGTCTTTGCAGGGCTGTTTCAATCGCTATTGTGTTCACGGTACGTCGAACCCGGTCTCTGTCTGTTTATTCTATTCCGACAACGTCCGCAGTTCGCCTTTATGAAAGAAAGTCTAATTTTCGCAGGGCTAAATCTCATTGCTGGCAAATGTGGGTCTTTCATCATATAGCTTCTGAGTGCACAACGAACGACTTACCTCGCATAACAGTATATGCCAATTCGCTACTCGGTACCCTGAATGCACGACAGGTTCTGCGGGCCCAATCTTCTCGCAAGGCGCATATCACTATGCCCGATAGTCATCGAGTGGTTCGTAGCTATTACAGTTTGCCCTACTGTTTCTAGTGTTTGAAATCTCATCCTCCAGATCCTTCCGGGGGAACATTCAAGATCTGTCCAATTCACCTCGAAAGTTAGTTCACTGCCAGATACTGTGGTATGTCCAGCGGAAGGTGTCCAGCATAATCAATTTTAATGTTACTGTCATGTTGCAGGTGAACGTCAAGACCGACGTTGAGTCCAAATACGCCTGAACTGTCATACTTATCACAGTGAAACACCTTCCTTCATGTCGACGGACTATACATGGCTGACTAAGTTATTGCTATTTTCTGTATTGTGGCTGAATCCCACTTCACAGTTGTCATTTCTTTCACATCTTCGGATTCGTTTTCATGTATGCCTAACGATGTGCTTCTTAAACAACGGACTCAGTAATTCAAGTCGTGCATCCTCTTATATCTCTGTCACCTCATGAATATGATTTCGCGAACCATCTGCTCGGATACAATTGCAAGCTGTTCAATATACCGCACCAGTGTCAATGGGAACTATGCCGCCGAGCTAACCGACGAAGGGCAAGGATCGCCAGAATTGTGAAAGAACCTGGGCTCATGACAGGGTTGGTCCCCTCTCGCAGGAACGTGAAGTGATCCGCTATCTTTCCGTGTCTATATTCCCTTTCTCAGATGATCGTAATCATTTGTACAATCATTGTGGCGGCTCATCAGTAGATTTTTCAGATACTCTGAGCGTATGCCGGGCTATGCCGGGATACCCAGAGAGAGCACGATGGTTGTTCAGGTGATACCGAATGAAATGGCGAGTACAATCATACAAGGCACCAACTACGCGTTTGACGCATGCTACATGTGCTTCGTTTCTGGCTTATGAGAGAGTTCTACTCATGGTTTCCGCTCTACAGCCTTGCCAGTATTGCAAGGAACTGCCAAACTGGAAGATCATCGATCAGCTTCCATGCATGGCCCAGACGGTTCGTACGAAACTCCCATTTTGGTCAGAATAACATCATGCAGATCGAGATACCTACACTCGCCATCTTTTTCAAAGGGCATCATGGGGACCTGAATAGATCTCACTGGTCAATAAGCCTTGCCTTATCTCAATTGGGTAGTGCAAGCATCTTATCCATTCGGTGCCGCTTCTTGCTGCTTCTTGGATGATGTCGCCGCCGGTAAAGTTCTGCTCTGCCGGAGCTTGTTGCGCCAAAATTACCACAATTTAGCCACGCACATAAAATGGAGTACGTTCTAAAATGATGAATCGATGACATTTATCGGACTGCCAGGTCTGAAACAAAAAATGGTTGCAAATGACTGTCAACGGAACACACATGAATGCATCAGTGAAATCCAGGTGTACTTGGGGCACTGATGCTTATTTTCATCTGGAGTGTGTCGGTGTCTTCTGGTGATGAGAATGCTATTAGATAAGTACGAAAAAGGTTTGAATGCGCCAAAGTACTTGTCCTGCCGCCACCTGAGTGAGATGAGCCTGATAGGAACGAGTGTTCCTATCACGAACTGTGACATCGGAAGTCGCGGAAGTTACTGTAAGCAGTTTTGTGCTTAGCGATTTTTGGAGGCGATAAATTTTTATGGATCATCCTCAGGTCAAATATGATCTCCTTTTCATCAAATTGACGTGAGGATTTACAGACTGTACAGTCAGTGATAAATAGATTCCGATAGAGGATTAAAGTTTACATCTTCTACCGGTATGTCCAGGCTCCGTATTAACACAATGGAGCACTATAAGTCGTCTGACGCAGCGATAAGCACTTCCGCAGCAGTTGAACGAGGTTTGATGGAGCAATCATAATGCAGGGGACGGCTGGGATAACCAACGTTCGTGAAACAATGAGAGAAAAATCATGAACCAAGATCACATACAATATGAGACCCTCCACCTCCGAAGGGATTACATTTCGGCCGACATCATTCAAAGACGGGCTGATATTGAAGGTGTGCAGTACAGAGGCGATAACCTGATACAACGAGTTCATGGCAAGGTATCGGCCTGGGCATGTCCTGGAAAATGGTGAAAACGATGATGAACGGTAAGTTTCGCGCGCCACCACATTGGGTCACTCCTGCACTAACCTTCGCCCGAACCCGAAGCAAGCGACTTGTGGGTCTCTTATGTTCGCATTCAGCGAGCCATCTGGATTCAGAAATCGCTCCGGCATGAAGGACTCCGGATCAGGATACGCCGATGTGTCATGCAGGATTGACCTATCAAAGTCCGTGACATTCATCAGTTACGAGATTGTCAAGATCGATGACAAAAGGTTCACCATGCATTCTAAGAAATGTATATTCAGTCACACTGCCATGCAACCAGATATGAAAGATAACTTACCCCAATAACGATAGTTCCTTTGGGGATGTGATATCCTCTATACTCGTCATCAGCTGCTGTACAGTGAGTAAAAGCTTCGTGTATCATGCATTAGTTTGTTGAAGTTGGCGTTAGAGATGGTTCAACGTACCAAGCGGCGCAACGGGTTGCCATCGAAGCACTTCCTTAATGACAGCCTCCGTATACGGTAATGAGGCTCGATCATCAACGTCAGGTAGACGGTCTGGCCCGACAACACGGTCAAGCTCTTGTTGGGCTTTCTTTTGCGCTTCTGGATGCATCAGCATGGCCAAGAAGAACCATTTCACATATGCCACCGTCTGTCATAATGTCAGCGCCGCTGAATGTCAGTGTCATTGGATAAAGGCGCACTGTGTCCGACCCCGCTGCGAATCGGAACGCTGTCAGCCGATGTCAAGTATGACAGTGTATTTCAGATTACCTGCAAATGCAGACCCTAAACTATCACGCGCGCATTGTTCAAGTTCACGCCCTTCAGCCGTATCAGGTAGCTTTTCCAATATATCGGTTACTATGCAAGGAAGGGGATGGCCAGACTCCTACGAGCTCATTCCCGTGACAATATGAATAAGATAGAGCTTTGCCAAAACTCACGTAGGCCTGTTTTGCTTTGTTAAATGCATTGTTGCGCGTCCGCTCTGAGAGTGAAATACAAAGTGAGGCCAATTTCTTGAATTGCGCTCCTGGGAACCATTCCGGGACGTATTTAACTGTTGAACGTGCCAATGTATGAATATCTATATTCATAAGAAGTGGAAAGAAATACGAACGAGGAGAGAACATGTCTACAAGCCATCGTCCCGGCTGACCGGCTTCCGCAAACTTGGACATAGCTTGCTCAGCGGTGACAACTTCTTCATGACGCGAGTCCTGGACCTCAATGCCATACATCATTTTCATGATAGTCGCTCCAAAAACACTTGATATCATGAGCATACCACCCAAGCCAAGTTCGTTCTACTTACTACAGAATATGATCATTGAAATGCTCAGGTTCATCTCGGAGTCGTCGCAGAAATGAGCGAAGTTTTTCATCTTGCACGCTTTTGTAGTTGTGCAATGCGTGTGGCCCGAAGTACTGGTGATAGATCTTACGGGTATTGCGCCAACGGTCTCCATAGTTCATGAACGTAGGGATCCAGCCGGCATTGCACCTACAATGATACATCAATTATGCAATGTAGACAAGTAGTTGGGTGTACACATACAGTTCGTGCATCATAACCGAAGTGTACCTATCTGAGTAGATCGCTGCGCGCTTGTCAAAAAGATCGGTCGCAGCTTGGAGTGACGATAACACGACAATTGGTTGCGAAAATACTTTGAGGGATAACACATCACCTTAAATACAATGAGCGACGAAACGAGTCGAAGCTAAAGACGTGGAGATACATACCATAACTCTGCGCCATATTCGTGAGTGTCTTCCATAGTGAAGTCTCGGGAATGTCCAAGAGGTTGCCAATAACTAGTCGACGCGGAGGACCAGGAGGTAAGGCTGCGTGACCTCCAGCTATGTTGAACTCCTTCAGTAGATACCATAAAAGTACAGAGGCACCCAGTGCGAGAGCAGGGTATGCGAAGGACATGATGTCCATCGTGGACGCAGCTGAAGGATATGGTTCTGTGAGATCGCAAAGTAAGCCAGAGAATGCCTACTCACAACAAAGATGTCATGCTGTATGGACCATGTCGTGAGTCAATCACCGCCCAATTGCGGTACATCGGGATGTCTAGATCAAGTGCCTTTACGTTAATTTCTGCGACACAGGAAGGCATCAAGATCTCACATTCTGGACGCAATCACTGCAAAAGAGTTCGTGACAGGTACGACATGCGTCTGATCAACCGCGGTGTCACCAGCGCCCTATCGTACAGAGAGGCAAACATGGAATAAGTAATCCACAAAAGTACCCGGCAGGAATTTTTTTTGGATTGAACTCAAAAGGATACTCGGTGATCAAAAGTCGATCAGGAAGATGAGGGAGCGTCCTGGAGCGTCGAAGTTGCTTTCCTTTTAGGGTAATGAACTCGCCTCGCCCGTACTAGCAACGCACTCGGAAGTTGCGGTACTCCATACCACCAGCATGCTATCTCCGCAGAGTGACACTAAGTTGTGTGCGCCCCAATCTCACTATGGGACTACCTTCAGGCAGTGAGAGGTATGTATAGACTTACAGGTCTATCCGTCGCGAGGTTTCAATGATCTATCATCAAGGGATCTCTGATACGTATTTGCATATAGCCGAACGCAACCGTTTACAGCTACATTCAGAACGATAGGCCCCTCCAAAAAAATCATTCAGTCGCTTGCGCTACGCGAAGCAATGCCGGTTCGACGGCAGACCCGCCTGACGCTCTGGCATTCTGTCACTCCCCGTCACGCCGTATTTCTTCCATGCAAGCCTCGCGGCCACTGTCTAGACACTGCCGTCTTGTACAACGCTTCCGTAGTAGTAGCACCTGAGTAACTCCCATCTGTACCTTTTCATGGTGCTCCCTGGTACTTGCCTGAGGATGAGGCAACACATACCGAAGCAATACAAGGAGATCGCTCGCAGCATGGTCCTTGAGCATAGTCTCAAGTACAAGATGGTCAGTATATATACCGGCATAAGCGTGCATGCAATAAGGTGCTTGGCGAAGAACCACCTCGAAACGGGAGAGGTTGAAAGGCCTCCAATCTGTAGCGGCCGTCTGTGTCTTCTTGACACACTTGAGGTGAACGTAGGTAGCCTGACTCTTGCCATTATCTGACAAACTACAGTACTGTACTACTGCTGCATGCAATTACTCTATGGCCCAAATGGATCGGTCATCGTTGTCGTGGCGCGACTGTGACTAGAAATGTCCAGGAAAGGCCCGACTGGTCTCCGGTCACAAAATGGTCACAAGCTTCGCCTGAGCTCGGCACCTGCTAAGCTGTGTAAATTAGACCTCGGTTACGATGAGTGATTTTTTTGGAGGGGCCTATCGTTCTGAATGTAGCTGTAAGCACGATCTCAAGTGTCTACGGAGGTCATCCCGGAGGCCTGGGAGGAGCAAAAGGCTATGAAATTACACTGGCAGCCAGGTCTCACATTTGAGTAGTATCTCAGCCTTATTTTCCCTCTCGTTCTCCGTCGCTCGTTGGTCCTTTCTCTTGCTCCCAAACGCTATCTACTGCATCCATGATCTCTGGCATACTCATCGACTCGCCCGAATACGAGGAACGGAAGCGAACAACCTTTGCCCCACCAAAGATTTCGTTTTCCGAGATTCAATCGGCAGTTCCAAAGCATCTTTTTGAGAAATCCAGCCTGAAAGCGTTGTCCTATGTGTTCCGCGACGTCTCTTTTGCTTATGCCTTCTACCGAGCTGCTCTATTCATCGATCCTTTTGTGCACGAGCTCGCAGTCCAGCAACGTTTCGGGTTCATCGCATGTAGCCTCATTAGGTGGTCGTTGTGGATCACCTATTGGTGGTTTGAGGGTGTTATCCTAGCAGGCTGGTGGTGTCTAGGTAAATGCATGCTTTACCAAGGCTGTCGAAACGCTGACTCGTAGCCTCAGGTCATGAAGCGGGCCACGGAACACTTTCTCCTTACGAATGGCTTAATACGGTCCTAGGGTACTCCCTTCATAGTGTATTCGCTTCCAGCAATTCTCTTTCTCGCGCGTTACTGATAGAACGCCGTTGCAGTTTCTACTGGTGCCTTATTTTGCGTGGCGTTCTACCCATCATGCACACCATGTACGCCTATGGGGATTTCTGCAGTCTGCGTGATACTCATTTTCACAGAGCAAAGCTAATTCGGTCGAATTCGATGAAAACTACGTTCCTCGAACGCGAACGGACTTCGCCTTACCTGAAGAATCCAAAGCTCGACCACTTGACTATTCCGAAGCGTTCGAGGAGGCCCCGATATATACCCTCTTCCGCATGCTTGCAATGCAGCTTCTCGGGTGGCAAAGCTACCTTCTGCAGAACACTCTGGGGTCGCCAAGGTACCCACCCGGTACAAATGTATGTCATTGGTACTATGAGGAGGACTCGTAGACTGATACACAAAGACTCTTTAGCATTTCGATCCTGATTCGCCTTTGTTCAGACCGACTGAACGCAATTCGATCATCATGTCAAATATTGGTTTGGCTGGAATGTCGACTCTACTCGGATTGTATATTCGTCAAGCAGGTTTCTCGAGCTTCTTCAGATTGTATTTCATTCCATACTTGGTATGCTTCTCGACTTTCGAAATCATTCGAAGCAGAAACCGTCTGACAGACAACGTCTTGACAGCTTGCGAACCATTGGATCGTGATGCTCACCTTCTTGCATCACACTGATCCTACTATTCCCCATTACCGGAATACGCAATGGTCCTGGCTTCGAGGGGCGTTGGCGACTGTGGATCGACCTCTCCTTGGGTTCTTTGGTAGATTTTTCTTGCACAATGTAAGTACTCCCTTAAAGGTATCGTACCATTCAAAGCTTAAACAAATCACTTTAGGTCTCTCATGACCACATTGCGCATCATCTGTTCCCCCGGATTCCTTTCTGTATGTATTCGCATTTGTCAGATTCTGATCAGAGGACCCGATTTCATGACTTCCCTCACAGATAACCAGCCTCAGGTCACAGAAATTGTAAAGAACATCCTCAAAAAGGACTACAACTATGACTCAACGGTATGCACCAAGTTTGAAAATTCGTCGAAGTACGCTAATGTCTGTCATAGAACACTATGCGCGCACTTTATAGGTCGTTCACTCAATGTTGTTTCATCGAGGACGAGGGGGATATCGTATTCTATAAGGACCGCCGGGGCAAACCGCATCGCATCCTAGCAAAGCAATGAATGGCCATGGGGTGTTTCGTATTTCATTCGTTAGATTTCATATTATTACCTGTGCATCAGACTGTCCTCAGGAAAAACACTAAGAATGATGATTGAGTGTATTTGGGATGTAAGTCTGGTGGGGACCATCAATGTATAAGAATTCTGCCCTATGCTGGTTGAGAAGCTAGACTTGAGCTAGACATCCGATGATATCGGTACTGAGTGGAGACGGCTGGGGAACCCAGAGTCGAAGAAAATAATCTAGAGTTCACAAGAAGGCCAAGCTGTGACAGAATTTAGTAATTAGGGGGGCCGAAACTCAAAGACCAGGGGTGTGATCACGATGCTGAGGTCTTGCATCATTCCAAAGCATCAAGAAGCTCTCAGCCCTGCGCATGTAATTCCTAAATTTGAAAACATGGTTCCCATGACAGGGTATCGTAAAATGAAGGAACCAACGCACGTTCAAGAAAGGCAGTCATTCGGAATCATTACTGCTCCATCTCAGCATCGATGATCATGCTTCGATGATGGCTTGGACAGCTTTCGGCCAACGAAAGTCATCGGACAGGCACACACTGTGTGACAAGCAGGGAGAAGCAGCGAGGGTTCGACTGATCAGAGCATGATGGAAGTGGCAGGTCGAGAACTCGTCCAGGAGTTCTGGTATGAGTCTCGACGTTCTATTGCCAAGCTAAACGTTTCCTGGATCACTGGAACGGGCCAGAGACATTCTTGAAGTTCGTATCATCCAATGAATTAACTCTTCAAGCCTTGTCTTGACGCTGGGCACAGCTCCAGCGTTGACCGCTTTGTGGCGGTCGACGTCGTGGCATGATCTGCGCGGGTACCAAGAGAAAGAAGCTAGTCCTGGAAAGGGCATGGTTCTGTTGAAGTAACTCGGCCGTTGCTCAGCCCTATCCCAATACAGCCCATCGCAGGTATCTCGCGGCCAGAACCAGGTGAATCGACCCAACTGAGCTACTATCTCAAAAGAGATGTTATCACAGGCGTGCTGTCGTAAAATTAACAGCAAAGCATGGATCCTTGGCTACCTGAGCAAATATATACAATATAGGGGAAAGAGCGTCTGGATAAGGAGCGTACTGGTTTTGACCAGCGAACAATGTATCTCTCTCCCGAATCTAGATCTCTACGATGCCACCAGAATGTCAGCCTTTGCCTGTGCTGGACGGCGTACTGCACGCCCCCGCTTATCGCGGTAGAACAATATTTCGCCTATCGATAATATACGTGAGTACAGCTATGAGAGCGTAGTGTGTATGATGATCCTCACCTTCATCTTCGACGAACTGGCAGTTATTGTAACTTTCCCAAAGAGCCTTGAAAACAGGTTTGTCGGAATAAGCGTAATGATCTCCGATGAACCGCTTCAAGTACTGCGTAGCCTCAGGTCCATGATCTAGATACGGTACCGTTAGGTTTGTTTAGGAAAATAATCAGAAGAGAGGCTCACAGAAGGGCATTTTCGGGAAGAAATGGTGTATCACATGATAATGAGCAACATCATGGAGGAAGAAACGGCCTTGCCAACCCAGGAAGTTCCTATCAACGGTGGCCGCTGCGCCGCGTTGGAAGTTCCACTCCTTTCCGCGATAATGAGGGAGAAGAACATCCGTATGATGCAGATAGGTGATCATGATGAACCAATGAGTGACCAAAAGCCATGGTATACCATAGAACTTGATTACATTCGCAGCAGTGAACTGAGCACACGCATACTTGACTGCTAAGGTCATGGCGAGAAGGCCGAGATTAGACATGATGACTTGATTCCGCTGATCTTTGCGGAACAGTATGGAGTTTGCTAGAGGAAGGTCGTCAGCTCCGCTTCATGTGTAGAGATGCACAGAGCCATACGATCAAAATGATTGGTCCATTTGGGATATTTCTTCTGGCCAGATACATTGAACACTAAACAGAATTCTATCAGCTGGGCATGATGTCGTGTCTACACAGCGAGAAACTCACGGAGGTAAGCGGGAAACGCCAGGAATTGCTGGCGGAGGAGCATAAACAGGGTATAAACCGGAGTGTCGCCAAAATACTCATCCCAGTCGATGTCTTCGTTCTTTTGCAGGGGTATTCCGAGGTCGCTTCGTGTCTTGGGAACATACACTTCATCCCGTTCCATGGAGGCATGGTTACTATGATGGCGATGATGTGATATCTTCCAGCTGAAATACGGTGTCCAGAGGAACGAATGTATCACCTGCTACGGAGTGAGGATTGGGCCGTGACGTAAATCCAATTCACTCACGAATCCTACTGTATCACAGACCAGGCGCGAAGATGAAAATGCACCATGACCACACTAAAGTGAGCGGTGTGAGTTGCTCACCCGGAAATAAGGGATCCTATTGGAACTCACTTCATGACCAATGACCCAAATTCCAGTGAAGATGAGACCTTGGAACCACCAGCTTTGGTGTTGTTCTGTTCAATGTGATAGGGCACAAGAAATAGAATTTCAGCTCACTATAAGGCCCATGCAGCCCAGCGCGCACATTCAGCGCCCAACGGCGTCAGCATGGCTTGAGCGGCGGGCGAACCAAATGTTTTGTCGATGTAACTTCCCAAGATACCAACAAGAAAAGCCAGCAGGATATCTCGAATCAAGAATTTCAGTCCACGTTTGGTATCTCGAACAAAGAGATGCGCCGGAATAGCATTGCGAATTTCCTGCAATGTCCTACCAATTAAACACGATGAAAGTTATCCTCATCTCGTACCGTCGGAATCACTTACCAAGGCATAGGTGTGAACTCGGGAAGGTCATCTTCACGATACATCTTACAGCACAATATGTACCTGATTACCCTAGTGGGGGGAGCGTCGAAAGAAGGTAGGAGGATAAGCGGTGAGCGATGAGACACTTATATGCTACGGGCAAATCTTGGGTTGATTGAATTTGGTTACTTTGGCTTCGCGTGATTGTGTCCGAGACAGGCAGATTTCTTGCTTGACCGATACAAAAGTAAAAGTCCTCTTGAGTCCGGTGGGCTAGTATATGCTGAATCAGACTATCAGGATAGGTGCCCCAGGTTCTTACTGCTATCTGAATCACAAAAAGCTTCGGCGGACGCCATGATATCGAACGTTATTGAAACCTGAGACGATGGAAAGCGAAAAGCTTCTCAACGCGGTTGGGCGCGGACAATTTGGTGATCCTGGCAGAGTCCGTCATGAGCGCTCCAACGCTACTCGGTGATGGTCGGCCTCTCGGCTGATCATCGACATGTTCACGGTAGTTGCAAAAGCGAGCTCTCTCAGGAAGGCCCAGACTGCTAACACCGTCTTGTTTAATTTTAGACCTACCTGTACAGTACAGTGCCCTGCGATGATAAGTCTGCACCCAGGGGGAATTGTATGCCACTATACCTTTCCTTACACTCGAACAGCTCCAAATTCACACCAATGTTTGGACTCTTCTACGATTGTCCTGAGTATGAAGAACGCAAAGCGAGCCCATTTTCACCACCATCGGTGCGCCCAGTCTTGGTGGAGTGGCTGTTATGAGAGTCTCTAATGCTGCCGACGATCGACAGCTCCTTGCTTCCGAGATTCGTGCTTTGATACCAAAGCATCTATTTCAGAAGTCTTGCTATCTTTCAACCTACTATGTGCTCAGAGACGTCCTCGTTGTCTTGTTGCTCCTTCATGCTTCATTCTATATCGATCTATGTGTCGAACTGCTGGTCACTTCCGAAGTGCTAGGTCGGAGCCTAGGTTATTTTGTACGGTGTTTACTTTGGACTTCATACTGGTGGTGGCAAAGCTTAACATTAGCTGCCTGGTGGTGTTTGGGTGGGATAAAATGCACCTCTAATTGAGTCGTCAAGCCAACGGTCTAACCGGTCGTCTTCAAAACAGGCCATGAAGCAGGGCATGAGTCCCTGTACGTCAATAAATCAGCCAATCATATCGTCGGATTCTGTCTTCATACCGTAAGGTTTCCTTTTCGTAGCAGAACACCGAATAGCATCTAAACGACACCATCTAGACACTCTTGTCCCCATTCTTCGCTTTCCGTGCAAGTCACCGAGGACATCATGTCAGTCTGTGAAACATGTAGATTGCACAACAAGATTTCACGTACTGATTAGAACGAACAGCAAGCGACGAATTCGATTGAACGAGATGAGATCTACGTTCCTCGTACTCGGCAGGAGCTGGGTCTACCCCGGCTCACAAATGATCAGGACATGAGCGTAGCTGAAATGTTTGAGGATACGCCAATATTCACTTTGGGGAAATTGCTTGTCATGCAACTTCTAGGATGGCACCTTTACCTCTTCCGCAATGCTGAAGGCTCTACGAGGTACCCCGCTGGAACCAATGTGAGAGTTTCGACATAATATTCGCGAGCAATCTTAGTACTTAAGTCCATCCGATTCAGCATTTCAATCCTTCTTCGCCCCTATTTAGGCCACGAGATCGCAGAGCAATTGCGATGTCCAACATTGCACTTGTTGCCATGTTCATCGCGTACACCATGCTAGCCACTTCCGTTGGAAAGTTGAACTTCATCAGGATCTTCTTCATCCCCTATGTAGTATGTTTGTGTCTTGGTCAATCTCCTACTGTAAATCTAACAATGTCCTCTCTCAGCTCCTCAACCACTGGATTGTAATGATCACATACCTTCAACACTCGGACCCTACTGTACCTAAGTATCGTGCAGGTGCATGGACGTGGGTTCGTGGTGCGATCGCAACAATTGACAGACCATTCTTGGGTGCTGTTGGCCGTGTGCTCTTACACAATGTAAGTAATCGTCTGCTTTGGAATTATAGCAGAGTCAGTGACATCGTTCCACAGGTTTCGCATGACCATGTTGCTCACCATCTCTTCTCGGATATTCCATTCTGTCAGTTCTCATATGTTTAACTGACTAGGGCAAAATACCTTTGGCTGACATGCATACGACAGACAACTTACCTGAAGTGACCATACTTCTGAGGCATCACCTTCAGGACCAGTACATCTACGATTCAACAGTATGCAGATTCCTTTGCCGAATCCTTTATTCAAATTAAATTCGCTAGCAGAATGTCTTTCGGGCGCTTTGGCGTTCATTCTCTCAGTGTCGTTTCGTCGAGGACGACGGCGACATTGTCTTCTTCAAGAATGGTGCCGGAAAGACTCATCGCATATATGCCGCAGAGTGATTCTAGCCCGTAGGTCTCCTCGATTGTTTGCATATGCAAGCATATCCACAGAAGATACGACGGAATCCCAATCACTCAGCTCTGATGTCGTACTTGGAATGTGTCGGATCGGAAATGAGCATCATCATACGTAAAGAGTTTAGCCACGTACCATGAGGCTCGCAATGACACCAGTACTGAAATTGATGACCATCGTTATTCACGCATAGCTCACAAGTATTAGGGCTCCTCGAGTCTTGAAGTTCAGTCAAGGTTCAATCCACTGCCCTAATAAGACGCTCCATTCCCTGGGACATTTCTAGAGCCTTATCATCACACTACGTCCCGTCTTCCGGCTTGCAAGTCATGGCATCTGACCTAGGCGGTGAAACGGCGAAGTCGGAGGATCAAATCGGGCGAACAGCGGGCTTATGTTATTAGATCGAGCCCATACCCCCGTTGTGATCGTCCCTGTCAGGATAGCCATGGCAAGAGTTCGGATCTCATAACTGTACTCACTGGTATTGGGCTGAGATCCATCAGACCAGTCACTTAGAGCCCTAATATGACATGACATACCTAGCTGCGGAAGATGAGCGCGAATGAGAAATATGCGCGAGCTCATGACAAAATCGAAAAGGATTGGTGACCAAAGGATCTGTTGATACTGGTGCTTGTTGACGCGGAGGCTGAATGCAAAATAATCGAACTGAAACGTGATCGATATCAGAGGTCGTAGTCTCGCCAGACCACATTCGTAAACCGGTATGGGCGAAATAAAGCACCGCATTCGATTCTTGCGAGGGCGATCACCTCGCGTTGCGCGTTAGTATATATGATGAGGAAAGGATCACGGTGCAAAGCACTCACAGACTCGCCGCACACAACTGCCGCCACCACCGCTCTTTGTCACCATGCACCATGCCCTTCTACGCGTGCCAATCCTTATTTTCAACATGTGGCTAGGCTACAAAGGGGGGAAATCGCCGAATCCGCCACCAAAAGTACAGGAGCAAGTGAAGTTTCAGGCGGATGAGAGGACGAAAGACTTTTTCTCGAGGATTGCGTGGTGGTACACTCCTTTTGGGATGGTGTGTATTGAACAGTAACCTTAAAACTACTACTCACCTGTGGTTCTATGCAGGTCTTACTGCAACTCGGGGTGATCATGGATATATACGTGATCGTGTCCACGATATATCCTTCCCTCCAAATACAAAGTATCAACTCGCTGGGATACTTCACGCCTTCCCCCGCCGCGTTTGAGCGCATTAGGGCCTCACCTTCGTTTATATTCGGATTCCTCATGCTTGCCACGGGGACAATCATACGTGTAGCGTGCTATCGCGCTCTAGGAAAGCAATTCACCTACGAACTTTCGGTTCGACGGGATGACAAGCTTATCACGCACGGACCTTACAAGCTCGTTCGCCACCCAAGCTACACGGGTGTTTTGTTCTTCCTTGATGGCGCTCTCATCTGTCAAATGAGTAGTGGTTCGTGGTGGGCGGAAAACGGCTTATGGGACACAACATTCGGGAAGGTGTATGGAATCACATTGCTTATCTTCGCCGCCTCTTGCGAATGGTCCATGATCAGCCGCACGTGGAAAGAGGACCAGGTTATGAAGGAGGTGCACAAGAGCCAGTGGGAGGCATGGGCTAAGCAGACACCACATAGAATGGTACCGGGGATCTTCTGAGCGAGGTCAATGGATAGATCAGTGACGCAATTAAGTTTAGTTGTATCGTATGTTCAACTGTAGTATGTGGTGTTTGCTGGCTTCAGTAAGTCTACAAGCTTAGAAGGCTAGGTAACAATACCTCGGACAACCGTTAGATCCAATTGGTTGTCTTTGCTCGACGGAGTACTGCCGGAATATTGGCGTCTAATGATGTGCATGGCCTAAACGGGAAGTTTATCAAGATTCGGAAATTCGAGAATGTTTTTCTTCTGAACCGAAGCTCCAGCACTTATACTACCATCGACACTCGTGAGGAAATGAACAAACAAGCTTTATAAGTATGCATAAGTTGAACTATAGTACAATCGACCGTGCACGTCAGTCATGAGTAAAGAAAACACCGAATGTCCGCAAGCTGTTTGAAGTAAGGCAGCGACAACACAAAGTACCAACACGGAGCCGAGGCTCAAACTCTCCATGTCCCCCTCTCCTTAACTACAAGTAAGCGTCCCGCAATCACGAATACAGTTCCGGCGAGCATGACCACACCACTGAATACGATTGGTTTCCACCAAGCAAAGTGCGTTCCGAGAAGTTGGCCACTAATAGGTGTGCCCGTCAAACTGGCCCATGATGTGATAAAGAATCCAACACCCATGTAGATGCTGAAACGAAGAAAGTGAGAGAATTCTATATAGAGATTCGTGTGACACGTACCCAATCTTGTTAATATCTGGCGAGAACGCTCCGATAAGTGGGGGAATGAGACTGATAACTAGAGCATAAGTATTAGCATCACGAGAAAACATGCACAAAATGGAGGACTTACATGATCCAGAAGTAAACCCATATAACAGACTAAATACTGCAGCCCCTGCTATGCTTTTTACGCCGAACATCGCGAAGACCAAGATACCATTGACGAAACAGATCGGTATCATAACGTTCAGGTTACCATATCGATCAGCGAGCAAGTTGGGTATCAAGCGTCCCAGAATGGATCCTGCGTTAAGGATCGCAAGCTGCAATAATGATCAGGTCAATTGTCAGATGTTTGAAGCGACCAATTACTTACAGTGTAGAAGGCGAACGTGCGATCCAGGCCATGGATGTCAACGAAAAGCTGGAGGTAGAAGTCTGATCAAAACACAAGTTAGCCCCCATGCACGCAACGATGGACAATGACGATGACATACAGGGGAAATAGAAACCCCAGAAGACCAAGAAGCACCCAACTGCCACAATCATGAATGCCCGATTAGAGAAGACCTCGCCAATGGGTGGTTTCGGTGCATTCTTCTTCGGTGGCAACCTTGTCGTCATGAGGCAGTTTGCGATAACTAGAAGGCCAAGAGTCATGAAGGCAGAGGCACGCACAGTCCAAGTAAAACCGGTTGAGCCATGAAAGAGCTGATTATGCATGATAGGATGTACAATCCCTCCAACTGACGCTCCAGTCATGACGATACCCATGGCAAGAGCTCGACGTTCTTTCCAATGGTGGGCTTGTACTGAGAGAGACGGCAGAAAAATGAGGCCGCTACCGAGACCGACTCCAACGCCTTGCGAGAGGAATATTTGATAGAACTTTGAAGTATCAGCGAGAGAAAGCATAAATAGACTGTTGCCACATTATTCAATACGATTCGCCTCCCTCTTTCCTGGTAATAAATACGTACGAAAAGACGAATAGCAGACCGCCCGCGATTTGGAGATGGTGAAAATATCCAGCATCGAAGAGTTTACCGGCGGGTAGACCCATGGCGAATGCCATGAAGAGTTGAAACGATCCAATCCATGCTATGTTTGTCGCCGTCGAGGCCCCCGCAAGAGTGTACAGGTCTTCAAATACACCAAATGACTGCGCATAACCGACGGTGCAGAATGCAATAATCCACCTGTAGACGGTCAAACGATTATAACACTGCGATAACAATATTGATTGGGGACACACCCTCCGGCAACAGATGCCCAAGCCCGTGCGCCTCCATCAGGTACAACGACAGCAGGCACCTGCAATTCCTGAATTGGAATGGATTTCTCGGAGGTGGCGGAAGAGCTCATCACGAGCTCAGTTGTTGAGGTGTCGACGTCCATGGTACCTCGAGATTGTTATAATAAAAAGTATCGGCTTTCAAACGAGTGGAAGATGGGATATGGCAATAAGAATCCCTAAAGATACAAAAGGTACAATATGCAAGGCAGCCTGAAGGCAAAAGCCGGGGTCAAAGCAAGAAGCCGGTCAGACAAGCTCTGTCGGACGCGATGATGGTAAGAAAGGAATGTCTCCTGAGCACCGTGCATCTATGGCTTCCATTCCTCTGCGCCACACAGGTCCTTCCGTGGGGTAAGCACCAGTCACGAACCCTAAGACAGCATCACATCTCATTGTGACACCTGTGCCAGTGTCCTGCCGTCGCGGGAGGGGGTATCGACGGTCTTTCTGCGGTACAAAGCTCGATGACAAATTCAACCTTCCGAGCCGGCTCACCGAGGTGCCCTGCGGGGAGAAGGAGGTTCTGCCAAAAGTTACTGGTGGCACCTCCATTCCAAATTCCAATGGCATCTATTGTGTTTGATCTTCGTGAGATATTGGGCGAGTCGAAGAGCGCCGAATGGACTTACCCACATGATATCCTTCTGACAGGAATTTTGTTGAGATTTCACCGCAGTTCAGAAAGTTCATCAGGTAATACAATGACAAGACAACGACGATTAGCCGAACCTTAACCTGACGAAGTGGGCGCTCAGCGCTCGCGCAAAACTCAAAGTAGCGTACAGCTTCAAAGCTTCAGCCTTCGAATATGCCATGTTCGAACGTTATAAGCCAGCCAATCGAGTGATGGAGCAGATTGCGGCTTGGAAGCATTGTCGATCATCAAGAATCAAGGACCCTGGTGGGATCGCCTAACGAACAACTCAAACAGGCTTCTACCGGCGGCGACATTGCAGTGGCAGTCTCAGATCCCACAACTACAATAGTCCCTATACGACTATGAAAGTGATCAAAGGCATGGCTCAGACTTCATGAAGAAGTTAAAAGAAACAATACATGTATTCAGTACAAACGAATGGAAGGGGTTGCGAATGGAACCTACACAGTCCTGGGGCGACTAACAGTTGTATACTGGGGGGCAGACCAGATGAACTCAAACTGTACGTTTGAGAGGAGTAGATCAATTGTATTATCTTGGAAGACAGAATTAAACCCGTGCGGAGTTGAAAGAGCTCTTCCCCGGAGTTGGCGAGTCATGCACGACAGTTGGAGAGCTCATAATGGACTACAGCAGAAAAAAAGTGAGTCGGCAAAAGAAAGACAGCTTACCCGTTATGTAGCACTTACCTCATGAGCATCAACCGTAGTAGCCTTTCCGCCTACTTTGTAACCACTGTGATCAACCTATCGTCGGCGGAGGAGACGACGAGAAAAGGAAGCAATGAGGGATCAGCCAACGACAATAAGAAGCAGCGACTTGGAGCATTACGTACCATGTCCGTTCCTCGGAAAGTCGTGAGTTCTGATTCGTTCGTGCTGGTGTATCCAGTGGTTGTGTACCCAGTAGTAGGGAATGCACCTGTTTGAGCGCCATGTCTCGCGTTCAACCTAAGCCAGGTCCGAAATGAGCGAAGCCGATCAGAGAGATGAAAGAGTAACTCACGTTCCCAAAAAAGATATGGAATACACTGCGAAAAAATATTAGCGATAATACTATGCCTCCGAACTTGGTTCACTCACGCTTGCTGCGAAGCATTAGCAGCCCACCGAAAAGGAGGCTTTGCTTTAAAGACAAGAACTGAGAACAGCGTCAATACCATTCCTAACTTTGAACGGTGAGACTCACCGTGACAAGAACAAGCAGGGATGCGATCCTAATGTCAAGGAGGATAAGGGCCCAACATAAAGATTTAAGACTTAAGGCTTACGTCGTGAGTGCACCTGTGTTGACTGTGTACGCGATGAGACCACGGACAACGCTCTCTGCACTAAAATGCACCAGCGGTTTCAGTCCCACCGATGCCGAACGTATATCGACAGGTAGTACTCACCTGATCCATGCCGCTTCACTACGGAACAAGTAGAAGATAAGGAGCAAAGCAATGACTAAGTCGGTCACAAGCGAAAGCGCAAGTCCACATGTTACTGCGAACTAAGCCCCAACAATCCTGAGATCAATATACAGGACATGATGATTACAACGTACCATTGGTCCTGTATGTCCTCGAATGTCGGCAAATGTCGTTGATGTCATGCTTTTGGTTATGAAGTTGAGGAACGTAACGGACACGTACAATGCTGAGCACTCACATGATGATACTTGAAGCTGAGAGATATTCAGTTCTTCGCCCATCATAATTTGCAAAAAGAAACTCACCAAAACCGAATGCTGTGTGTCGCAATGAAGAATGAGCATGAGAGGAGCTTGTGAGGCGATGTACTCACCGACTCGTCCAACCAGAAGTACTGCCTTCACGTCAAGTTATCTCAGTAAGTCGCTAGGAAATATTGGACATAGAGACATACCGGTGCAATTGTGGAGATGACGGACCCATCGCTGACTGTATAATAACGTTAGACAGACTTACTTCCAAGTCAACAGAAGTCCTCACGAATCCAGATACGGTACACATAGAATCTATAAGATTTGACATTTAAATACGGGGCACAAGGTCAACAGCGACAGAACTCACCCCTGAACGAGGGCGCAAATGAAGGTCTGACCACGCTGTTAGTGAAGAGTAAGCAGTAGACGCAATTACACATACCTCAAGCAGGACGCTTGGCTGGTCAAAGGTAAGTCAATGTAACGATAACACGAATACTGTTACGTACCCCAGTGCTCCTGAAATTATGCATCACAATGAGATCTGGAGAACGAATCATTTGAGAGTACCAGAAGGATTGCACACACCATACAATGTTGCTTGCCTCGGCAAGGTTCAAGAAATTCAGGACCGTATAGAAGTACAACTGATGCAAGAGAAATGCAGTATGTAGCGTTTCAAGGAAGCTATCTGCAGCGTTGAAAAGGACAAAATTGGATTGGTCGAGAAAGTTCATACCATACAGCAACGACGACAGCTTTGAGTGCTGCTCGATCGCTTTTGGAATGCAGCATGTAGACATAGGCTTGCGCTACCATCATGCCATATAACCTATCAATGCCTCAGAGTTTAGGCAACGTGAGCGTTCAATATAGCAAAAACTTACAATACAGCGAGGCATTGTGTCATGGAGAAACCGCCCAGCACGCTGGCTGGCGAAGGGCCGCCAGTAGGTATAGGAAACCCAGGAAGAGAGGCCATTATGCAAGGCTGGACGTGAAGTTACAGGTGCAAAAGCGCAGCCCGTATTCTTTAGAGGGCCTTTGATCGTGATGTTTCAGCATTGCTCCGACTACGGAGTTATAAGGACAGCGTGTCCACGGACGTCGGGAAGCTCGAAAGCGAGGATCACACATTGTTCTAAGTTGGGATCAGGGATGATGGGGAATGGGTGCTTGTGCGCGCCTTTTCGGATCTGGTGGCAATACACCTGATAATTTAAGTAAGAAAGGCCTTCTTCTCTCACACAATCTGCTTCAACCCTACGCCATCAAAAGATCAGACAGTATTTCAACTCGTTGAACATTCAGGACAGCTCTCCTATCGTGATTTGTACCTTGATTGAATCATTGAGAATGCTGTATTCGCTACTGACCTCGCGATGCCGCTGTAATATTATTTACCACTACTGCAAGCTGAGAGGGACCTCAATCCATAACTTGAATACACGCACTTATCGTGCATCAAAGACCTCGGCCATGCGTTGAGACTGTAAGATTGACCTAGTTCAGGTTGGTCTGCGTAGTACCTGGCCGAGTGGTCATGGAAGGTAGGCTGTGCTTTGAAGCCGGAGAATGAAGTCTTCTCGACATTTTACTCTGGTTCATAAGCAGAGAGACACTACGCGGGAGAAACGACATCGCGGATACCTGGTATAGGCCTGATCAGACCAGCTGTGTCGCTTGAATGTGTCCACTCACCTTTCTTGAGGTTGTGAGGATGGAGGCGGTGCGCAAACAACGAAAGACTAAGGAATTTCAAGCAGGTACGTAGGGTGAAGATTGCGCATTTGTACATGGCGTAACAACTGTGAACTTCGCGAGTTATAGAGACCGAACATGGATATGTTCAGTATCTGTTCATTCTAAATCAATAAGCCCCATTGCTCGAAGATACAATCAGGCATGCAACAACAAAAGCACAACATTTCATCATTGGAGGGTAAAGATGTGCATACGAGAGCCTACTGGCTCACCCTCGGCATCCTACAAAAGATTCTTCAGTGGAACGCAGCGCAGAAAATTAAACAAGCCGTACCTCTACAAGATCCGTAACAGCTATCCCATCATCCATCAGCATAACTTCCTCCATCTTTTCGACCTTCCAAATAGGAATAGTAACCGTATACCTTCGACAGGGGAGCGATGTGCTGACCGGGCACACAAAGACTGGTAGCTCGTGAACTCTCGCTTCAAGGATTGTCTCTACCTTGTCTTCGTTACCCAAGGACAACGTCTTGTTGATAGATGCAGGGTTGAAGTCATAAACAACGATCTGGTCATCGTTCGAGAGGAATGCATACTTCGAGCCGCAAGGAGGATAAACGTCCTGCATCCTGTCCAGGCCATCAAGCCATCTTGTAATCTGCGGCCCCCATTCCTCCCACGTCCAAGTCTCCTGACGGTAAGGGATAGCAAGAAGGTCCTTTGCTCGTACAACAAAGTTCACCGGCAAAATAGTGTCATCCGGTTCAAACACCGTAAGAGACAATACAGCTATACCATCTTCAGATCGGGAGCGAAACATTGGCTTTGCAACAGAGGATGAATCGACGACATTGTGATGAGGGCGACATTCGATCATCAGGAAGGGGGTGGAATGTGATGGGCTCATGTCAGGATATGCAAGAAAAGTTGGACGCTGGGAGTCTGGTTCCGCCAAGTTCTTAATCATTATACCCACACGCGTAAGATCCCCGTGCGTCACCGCGATATGATACTCGTCGAGAAATGCGAAGGAGCGAATGCGTGGCTCCGCTACAAACTGCCAGTATAACGAATCGTTATTCACCTAGTCGTAGGTACACCGCTGTCAGATGAATAGACGCACCATGCGAGACTGGCCGGTCTGCCAATTCCAAACACCGAAATGAATATGGTGAATGATATCCTCTCCATCGAGATATTCATCGACATAAGCAGCCACATGACAACCGCATATGCGAATCCGATAATTTCGTTCGTCGGTGTCCAGGAAAACGACGTGAAGGAACAGTTCACTTTTAGCGGCAAGAGGATGTAGTTTACCAGTCAGCAAGGAGACCGCATGTAGTTGTACTACATCACTATGACGTCCTGAGTACTTTGTGGACATTGTCAACTAAGAAACATGACACACCTTTGGTGCTTGAGTTCCAACAAGACAAGAAGGTCTTGTGTCGGATCCGCATAGTAGTCCACAATCTCGAAGTCGAATCTTAGAGACCATTTGTGTGGAGATACTCCGCGAAAAGGACCCGGAGCTAGGTGAAACTCGATCGAGTGCGGGTCATGTGTGGTCATGAAAACATTCTCGCAGACGTCGAAAGAATCGCCGATATTCACACACAGGTGCTGTGCTGCCCCCAGTGAGACCCTGGACCAGGTGTCTTCATACCGTCGGAGCATTCTCAGCTTCTCCCGTGGGTTTGTTTTGTTGATCGACACGTCCTCCATGCCTGCGAACGCCAACTCCAGCGGGTACTGTAGCCTCGCAGAGTGCTTGAAGACATCATGGATGAAGCGAGATGTCTAAAGAATGCTTCAAGATATGCACATGAGGGCTAAGCGAATATGGAGCCTGCCTGAGAAAAGCGTACAGAATCTGCAAAAGGCAGTTCATGAAAGATGATCTCGATGAGTTCACTGGGCAGCCCTGTAAGTGTAGGCTTCATTTTCGAGCTTGGAACCGGTCAGATTGACTCCACAGGTAATAAACAAGCGATGTTTTTACATAGACGCATCCAAGAAGTTGCAAGTCCAAAGCAATGGCTGTAACGACTCACTGGTGCGGCGCTCCTTTTGCACAATGAAATCTCGATAGGCGCACGTGCACGTGGGCAGACGCGAAGAGCACAATTAACGCGTCGACGCGTTAGCGCCCAGGTCTCTCCTCGCCTTTGTTCGCGTTGTTGTCGTCCTGCTATTGTTCTCCCCATATATAAGAGCCATGTCTCCGCAGACTGAACCCCTTTTATTTTTTCTCTCTATACTTCTTGCTACCTTGGGCTCTCTGTCTTCTCAACGGCCAACTTTCTACGTTCTCGCTGCGCTACCTTCCAGACAACACTAACACCTTCGCACTATTCTCGACCAACTTCCACTCAACACTACTCAAACGTAATCAGTATATGATGCATATATTTGCTTCTGTAGTACTCTATTTGGGGCTTCTTCAGACAGTCTTTGCTGCTGACCATCCCGTTATCGTCGGTGGAACTCTCAAGTACACCCCGCCCTTCGTTGTAAGTGATACATGTTTTAGGATTCTGAAAAAAATGATTTGAACACCTCACCGCAGAATGCTGCAGTAGGTGACACGGTCACCTTTACCTTCAAGCAGAAGAACCATACCGTCACGCAGTCGACTCTCCAGAATCCATGCCAGCCTATGCAAGACGGATTTGATTCAGGATTGTGAGTAAAGCACTAGTGTCTAACGATATGATGTCTGTTCTTTAACGTGAAACTCTCTGTAGCATTCCTGTAGCTGATGATAATGTGAATGGGCCATTCCAAGATGCTCAGTTCGTCGTCATGGACACGAACCCTGTATGGGTGTACTGTCGTCAGGCGAACCATTGTCAACAGGGGATGGTCTTCGCTATCAATCCTGGTGACAAGTTCGATGCTTTCCAAGCTGCAGCTACAGGAAATACCGCCACCAGTTCATCTGTCTCTTCTTCTGCGGAAGTGACTTCTTCCCCTGCACCTCCTTCCCCTCCTCCCGCTTCAGCCACGTCGCCCTCTATCTCTACTGTTACAGCGACTGTGACTGTGTCTGGCACCCAACAAGTCACCACCTACGGTTCTTTCCCTGGTTCAGCAGCCCCCACTGCAGTTGTATCTAGCGATCACTCAGTGATTGTTGGCGGTCCTAACAGACTCGTCTTTGATCCTCCGAATATCACCGCTCAAATTGGAGACACCATTACGTTCCACTTCCAGCAGAAGAACCATACAGCCACTCAAAGCACCTTTGCAAATCCGTGCAAGAGTTTAACGGAGACCAGTATGAATGGGCAGACGGGTTTCGACTCCGGATTGTAAGCATTCTCCTTCAGTTGTCCCACAGATAAGCTGACCCCTCTGTTCAGTATGCCTGTGGCTGATGGAACTACAAATTTCCCGACCTTTACAATCAAGATCAACGACGTACGCCTTACTTGCTAGTTACTTTGCCGAGCTCGCATTAATGCCCTACTTTATAGACCGCACCCATTTGGGCATTCTGCAAACAAACAGCACCTGTGAACCATTGTGCGCAAGGCATGGTCTTTGCGGCGAACGCAATCGAGTCTGGTCCCAATAACTTCGAAGCCTTCCAAGCGAAGGCGAAGCAATCTGCTCCAGGAGATGCCAATTCTACCTTGCCCGCGAATGCTGCTGGAAGATTGCAGGTCAATCACAACGCTGGCGTTGTGATAACAGTGCTTGGTTTGTTCTTGGGTCTGCTCTGAAACCTCAGTTTTGAAATGACGGACATTTGTCATGTTATTGTAACGATATCTCGGATTGAATGATTGGAACTGTAGCAATTAGTTTATAGACTGCTTCTTTACACATAACACCCGTCGTTAGTAGTATACCCTCTCTCTCTCCTACCATAGCCGGTCTATAATGTGAACCCAATTCAGCATACTTATCGCCAATCGACAACTCACCTGGAACAATGAACGAGTAAGAAGGTTTGTCTCTGTTTGACCGCCAAAGCGGCGTGGGAATTCCAGAGTAAGTATAAAGCGGACAAGCGATCGAAGCAAGTGCCGGGTAAAAATGTTCATTCGTTCGATCCTCACTCTTGCCACCATCACTCCCTTCCAATCCTCTGATTTTGAGCAGGCAACACACCCATTGCAGGGCTAACGGGTAAGTCTCTCTTGGAAGTCGTTACGGGATACGGCTTGCGACAAGACGAAATGCACTGGGCTCTGACTGTACTCAGATGTTACGCACTACGCTCTACGAGCGGCGGCCTAGAAAACCGTTAACTGACACTCTCCTTCACATTCGTTTTATGATTCTTCTGTGAAGCTTTGTACTAACTCTATCTGTGAGCCTGTAGAATCCGTCGTTATGTCGATCGAAACGGAACAGCAAAGCGAGATCAATATGGACGACCTTGCAAAAAGTCTCGATGAGATTCGTTTGAGTATGAGCTCCGCTAGGGAAGCCATTAGATCCCTGCAAGAGAAGTTAGCCTATCTATTATCTCCTATCTTGTATGATCGCTGACAAGTTGATGTCGCAGAGTCGACAGAGGCGAACTCGACACAAGAGAGGGAATATCACTTCTCTCCGTCAAGAGCAACGTCATGTTGCAATATCTTCAAAACCTGGTCCTCCTTAGTGCCCACCGTGCCTTAGGACACTCACTTGCCGACCGCACTCCTCCCTCTGAACCCTTCATCGACCAGAAGAGAGGTGCTCGAGGTTCCGACGCTGGTGATAGAGTCGATTCCATGATCGAAAGTCGGCTGGCGTTGGAGAAGGTCAAACTTATGGAAGGCAAGATGAAGTATCAGATCGACAAGCTCGTCCGCGCTGCACAAGAGCCTGTGAAAAGTACCCAAGACGGTTCGATCGGTATGTTCCCTTCGCTGTTACGATCCCGACAGAAAGCTGACTAGCATTTGCATAGATCCTCTTGCATTCCGCCCTAACCCTGCAGCACTTATGGATCAAGAGTCTGAAGGCGGAGGCGAAGGGTCTGATCACTCAGATGAAGGTACCCAAGCTCGAGACGGTATCTACCGTCCACCCAAACTCGCTCCGATGCCTTACAATGAGCCTACCCGTGGAAAGGACAAGAAACGTCGTGGACCACTCCCCACCGCTCTCTCCTCCCTTGCGCAGATGGATCTCAGCATGCCGCACATGGAGTCTACCTCCGGTCTGGGATCAACACCAGCGCTGATGTCCGGTCGAGCGAAAGAACTACAACGAATGACGGAGTTCGAAGAGGAGAATTTCACGCGTTTGGTTATGAAAAAGAAAGATGCCAAGAAGAGGGCACAAGACGAAGCGGATATCGCGCTTGGTGGAATTGGTGGTGCTTCTACACGTCGCGGACGTGGTGGAGGTCTTGATGATGAGTTTGGCGATATCTTGAGGTCGGTTGGACGGAGTCGAAGTGGTGTGGTTGGTGATGGGTATGAGGAGTTGAGGCAAAAGAGTAAGAAAGCTAGTGTGTTGGTGCGATCGAGGGAGAGGGATCATGATGATGTGCCTGAAGGAGGGGAGGATGGACCTAGGCAGAGGAAGAGGAGTAGATTCGAGAAAGCTGTTAAGTCTTCCAAGAAGAGGCTTAGGAAATGATTGGTGTCATTCGTCTGACCGTGTTTCTACATGACACTAATCATTCAATATGACGGAATTGATAAGTTGTGTCCACTGAATGTCTGATGGTCTTCAACGTCGAGCCTTTTATAACATTGTAAGTGAATGATAGTGAACAATAACCCGTGAAGGCAACACTATCGAGTATCCCAAAGTTCCACAAAGATACATAACCAAAAATGTCAGCAGGCATAGGATAGCGATAAGCAAAGGAACGTAAGTAAGTATATGATGTCAATCGACGTGTCGTGAGTAGGTTAAAGCTGATGTTGTGCCAATGTCAGTATGCAGAATATCAACTTGGAATGGACGATATGACTTACTCTAAACAAGAAACCAAGCTAAACGATGTCGGAAAGTATCAGTAGATGTGCGAGAGCGAGAAGAGGTTCATGAATAAAACTTACATCCTCCGGGGTCAAGCGTCCCATAGCCTGAAGTACACAGGTCAGACATGAATGGAGCCTCAAGTTGCAGAATGTTACATACAGAATCATCGGCCGACAGAGTAGCATCCACCATGGCCGCTTTCTTCTCTTGTAACTGGACGATACGACTCTCGATGCTGTCTTCAACAACAAGTTTTACAGCTTGGACGGGGCGATGTTGACCCAAACGGTGAATACGATCCATGGCCTCTGAAAGTGAACGTCAGCCTGACGATCGCGTTTGATGTGAAGGGTACTTACGGTATTCGACAGCGGGGTTCCACCAGCTATCCATGAGGTATACACGGGAAGCCTCTGTCAGGTTCAGTGCGACGCCTCCGGCTTTCAGACTGACGAGAAACACGGTAACGTGAACGTTGTTCACTTTGGAGTCGCAAACGAGTCAGAAACATGCGTCTAGAACTTGATATTTGTTACTTACTGAAATGTTTGATAGTAGCGTCGCGAGCTTGAGGGCTCATGGTTCCCTCCAAACGGCATATCTAACAAACATATGCTGATGAGCAACCGATTTCCTCTTTTCACCGAAGATGGAGAGGGATGCTCACAGTGAACCCAGCCCGCTGCAACCGGTATGCAATCAGATCTAAAAAGTTTACGAACTGACTGAAGACAATGCTCTTTGTTGTCGCATCCTGTTTTCGTAAATTGCTCAGTTCTTCTATCAGCGCCTCTATCTTCGACGACGACCGCCATTTGTCCAAGTCAAGCCGTCCGAGGATACCTTGACGAACTTTGACGTTTTCTTCTAACTCTAGTGCAGGTGCCTCTAAGTCGATGGTTAATGGGACATGGCAGACAGGGCATGCCGGCTGGCCATGGCGGTCAAAGTCAGGAGACCAATATCGAACACGAAGCAGACTAGAAGCTCACCACGTCCTCAACAGAAGCTTCAAGGTATTGTTTGATACACTCCCGATCGAAAATGTGGCGGCATCTGGATTGAATAGCATCCTCGGCAATGTCGTTGCACAAACGACAGACCGTCGCCTCTCCGACGTTCTCTTGAAGGAAAGTGGAAGCATTCGTCTTGCTTCGAAGGACTAAGTCAGGGTGGCATGCCATTTGACGCATGCGGGTGAGCCTGTTGAAAATCAGAAGAAGTACAACAGGGTAAAAAATGTGGTACACACAAACTGAAGATGTTTGAGTAGTCTAAGGAGAATCTGTGTGTAAGCGCCAAGTCATCACGACGTAAATGAAGGAAACTTACTATTGAGCACAGTACCTGAGTCGACGTAGGTACTGAACTGGCGCTTCGCGTCAGAAAAGAGAGATTGATACAACTCCTTCTCTTCGGGGCTGAAATAATCCCTACGAATGACGACGGTGCGCGGTGGTAATCCAAGGTCGTCTGCTCGTTGGATCTGGAGAGCGACGTTCGGAATCATAACTAAACGCAAAATACCAAAATGAACTTGAAAGTACCTTCGTACGACGAAGCATCATTCTGTCTAGCAAGATCTTGAGCTTCTTGAAAGCTATAGCGCCAGGACCGACCATTCCGTTCTTCTGGATAGGTGTAAGAATTTCGGTATTCCAAAAACAGGTCTATAGTCCAAGGAGTTAGTTATGGGACTTTATTATGATACTATTCATACGTACATGTTTCATAGGGCTATGTCCACAGTCTACAATTCAAAGACGGGTAAGTGATGAGTGTGCGATTAATAAATGCTGCTTACCGTCGCAACTTCGCTTGTCACTGAACTTCCAGTGCAAGCTCTTACAGTCGCACTGCTTGCCTACGGTTACTTGAGTCAGCTTTCACGAAAGAAGCATACCGCCATGTACTCACAGAAGTAGTAAGAGAACGGATCTCCACCAAGGAACCGAATCATACTATATAATTCACCGACACGATTCTGTAAAGGTGTTCCAGACAAACACCATCGGTACCTAGCTTGGAGCTCGAAGGTCGCTTTCGCGGTATTGGTTGCACGCTCCTTGATGTTGTGGGCTTCGTCCAGCTAGGTGACTAGTTGTTAGGATAACATTCGTCATTGTGAGGTGGAGACGTACGATAATGCGGTTCCATTTGATCTGATGAGGGACTGACTTCTCCTTGACCATCATACCCTTGCGTTTGAAGCCACTCTGCTGCTTTCGGAAGCAACTCTCGAGAACCGCATAAGTAGTCAAAACCTGTATAACGGATCAACTAACTTTCCTTCATGATTATCGCCTTGTAAGACGTACCACGTCATACTTCTTCAATTCCTTCACGTCCGATTCCCTAGAAGCACCGTGCCAGACGAGAACTTTCATGCCTTCCGAGTGTGCCTCGATTTCGTTCTTCCATTGCATGACGGCAACGGTAGGTCTGAAACGAACTATTTGAGTACACAGAACACGTTGCAGTTGGAAAGTGACTTACGCTACGACAAGGTTGGGCTTAGCACCTTTGTCGTTGCACAGTAAGGCTATCATCTGAATGGTCTTGCCCATACTAGGATAGCCGTCAGCAGAACGTCAGAGAACACGTTGATGGGAACATACCCCATCTCATCCTACAAGTCGGCTGATTGAGCATGTATGCTTGAAGACGGAAGGAACAGACACGTACGGCAAGAAGTCCACCACTCCAGATGCCCTTCTCTTGGTTCTTCATCCAGTACAGGCTCTCCTCCTGGAAAGGCAAAAGCGTTGCTTTCAAGTTCGAAGGGGGAGCGGCTTTCTGAGGAACAGGTATCGGGATCGCCCTCTCGACGTCACCCCACACATCGACCAGTTCAGCGTGATGCTTGTGTAACGCGATGGTTGACTTCTCCGCCTAGACTCGTAGATTAAGCATACAAGTACATCAGTCGGAAACGCCGCAGTACGTACCAAAGTAAGTCTTCGGCCTAGCTTCTTACTCAGTTCAGCTTCTTCTTTCTTGTTAGCTTTTCTCAGCGCACGAAGCTCTTTCATAGTCATCCTCTTTGGGCGACTGGTATCAGCCACTTTGGTGGCTTTCTTTCCTTTGGCCTTACCCTTTCCTTTTGCATTTGCCAAGGGAACATCTTCGTCAGAACTGGAAATAGCTTCCTCTTCATCGTCCAACACGACGTAGTCGCCATCAAGATCCTCTTCGTTGATTTTGCCCAGACGACGTTCTGCGGCGGCAGCACGTAAGGCAGCAGCTTTATTCCTTGGAGCTGGGGTCTTGCTTGCACCTGCGTTTGCACTGGATACGCCTGCAGCCACTTCACGCTCGGTGCGGGCGGTGGCAAGAGATTCCTGAATGACAACATCGAGCATGAGGTCATCATCGTCGATACCGGCCTCTTCAATACCGCTCAGAATCTTGGCGCGGACAAACTTCTCAGTTTGCACAACAAGGATTTCTTCTTCAGAGTCTTCGATGACTTCGTCGGACTCAGGCTCGGACACCTCAAACTCAGAGCCGCTATCGTCAGATTCTTCCAATTCGGCATTCTCGTCGAACTCAAGCTCGTCGTCTTTAACGAGCTCCTCATCGAGAATGTCCGACGTAGGAACGGAAGTTGCTCTGGCTTTGCCTTTGCCTTTATTGGCCTTGACAACAGTGAGTTCCAGGACTCCTAACGCTAGTGATTGTAGATATCTCACTTTCTGAACTTTCTGAGCGCCCTTTCCGGCTGGTGAGGGCAAGTCTACGTAGACTTCACGCGCCACAGCTCGTCGCTTCCGCGAAGAGGAGATTACAATCTTGCCGCCCTCTTCGCTGTCGCTCTCAAGGACGCGTTTTCTTTCATTCTGAGCCGCCTTGGACCTCATTGCTCTCCCGATCTTGCTGAGGGACTTATTCGTAGCCTCCTCTGGGTCCGGAGTTGTAACAGTAGAGTCCTGGACAGAGTTGGGGGCGCTAAATATGGGGGAGCTTGTTGCAGACGTGTTGGCGGTCGTTGTCGACGCTGCTGCCGCACTACGAGTACTCCGTCTTGCCCCAGACATGTTGAGGGGTATTGTCGTTGGGAAAAGCAGATCGGCGGCACGGTCAGTTTCACTCAGGACAAAGAGAGAAAGAGGCGTGGGAAGAAATAAATTAGTCGCGACGCGACTTGGACGCGCCGAACAGGAGTCAAACTGCTATACACGGCATTCCCGCCTACCTGATAGCCGCGTGCGCCACACCGCACAACAGCTATCCCTACAACGGTGATACTGGCAGAGACGTTGAGCACCAGTGTTCCAGAAAGCTTAAGGTGTGTATCCGATTCCTTGGTCTTGTATTGTGAGTCCAACGGAAGAATCCATGGAACTATTTCATTAGTCGTTCTAGGTGGACCATGGGGCACAACAATGCCGGTCTTGCATCCACTGATGCCAGCCAAAATGTGATTTCTGCGAAGAGGGAGTTCGCTCTGTCCTCACCGATATCTAGGGTCGTGGACTGATGTTATGAGGTTGGTGTCTTGATCACAGGGTTTTATGATCGGCAAACGCTGAATCGCGGCAAATGTACCTTTCCAAGATCGAAATTATGATTGTGTCCTCTCCTGGATGCATAAAAACCAGTCCATCGGAAGCCTTTTCATTTTCCCTTCATTATGCCCAAGGTAACTTCGCATGTCTCTCGGTTATTACTGGCCGTTCGTTGCCCAAAGGCAGCGAACGAGTCATGTACATGGTCCATCTTATCAAACATTCTTTGACAGGCCACGTACACGTTCAAGGTGAACGAAGAGGATGAAAGCGATAAACAGATCGCTATACGAGGACGCCAGCGAGCTGTCATAGCGTGTACTTTCTGTCGAAGTGAGTAGCTACAATATTTGTGCACCACATGTTGTACTAATATCACGATATCGTAGAACGAAAGATCAGATGTGTCAGTAGGCTTGGCCAGTCGTGCTTGAATTGTGAAAGGCGGGGCCAGCCGTGCACGTATTTGCCTATGTACGCCGAGTTCTAATTGACTCGCTTAATCCGTACTCACCTGGACTACACATAGGCATGATCCCTCAGAGCAAGGGAATCAGAGCAAAGAGCAAACAGAGTAAAGCGAATGCACGAACACAAGAACTTGTAGAACAATTGAGTTTCGATAGGTAACATTTGGATTCACCTCGACATCGGACGACAAGCCTGGATCAAGCAAGCATCGGCACTGTATCATACACATCTATACCCTTAGACACTACTTCTTCAATGCGACCTTTCTCGATTGTATCCAGAGAGTATCATGCATCTCATTAATGTCCTGAAGAGTATCATCTCAGCTGTTAAGATGAATAGCTTTACTGTCATTTCATTATTCGGGTGTCCTTTGGGCGGCCCGCTTGTCGGCAATGTAAATCACCTTTGTCACCGTTGCAGACGTCGTTGCACGACTTCAAGCTTGTCTATGTCCTTCATGTCAGCTGTGTCGGCCCATCTTTCTCTTTCACCAAAACATTACTTGGATTTGCTTACCGCGCGGTGGAAATTAGGCTGAATACCCTGTGGCGGTTATCCGCACCCTCGTCATTCTCGCATCTGCTAACCCACCGAACACCCTAGATGACGACCAAATACCACTCTATACCTCCAGACAGTACGGGAGCATCAGCTTTGGCTCAGTTTCCTCCAGACATATCGTTGGAATCGCCCGTGCTAGGTTCAGTGATAACCCTGCCGGAGGATCCGTTGATATCCTATGCAGTTTATACCCTAACGCCCCCAGCACTTGGAACATCTTCCGACCCATTCTGTGTCGTTGAACAAGCCCGGAAGAGACTGGTCCGAGACAACCACTCTCGTTCGCTGGTTGACTCGCTGCTGCCGAGCGTGCATGTCCGTAAGGAGCAAGCTGTGTTATACGTGTTTGCCTTGGGGTCCACACATGGGACAAGGGACATTGCTTCAAGGTTGAAGGAACTGGTTCTGGATGGGTTGACAGGTACGTCCAATACGTTTTGATGTTGCGATTTCTATGTTAACCTATCATTATGTTGTAGTTACCGAGTCTTTTACATTTACACCCTCTGGGCTCTATCCTTGTTCAACTACTTGTGCCTCTCTATCTGGGCCATGTTCAACCTGCTTGAGTCAGGATGTACTCTCGTCGCTATCCTCGCCTCAGGCCAATTCAGGCTTCAAATCATCCGCAGCAACACTTCTTCCTCGACATCCTCTACGCCGTCCGTTTACACAGTTCATCGAAGCCATTCGTGACCGTCTCATCGACGATGTTTCCCGGGCGTCCGCGAAGCCAAGCTCATCGGGATGTCCTAGGCTTGCGGTACGCCTGAGGGATGGATTTCTTCTCTTTCCTATACATCCTACCAGCGAGTGGGGCACGGGTTGGGAACATTTCTCAACCGAACGGCCGCTTATGTATTGCCATCTTGATATAAACCTATCGCGAAAGTCCTCCACCTCCGCCCGCCTCCTTATTCACCCCATTCTCCAACCGACATATCACCTACCGTTGGGCAGAACGCTGCCCATGCCTGCTGGAACTCCGATTCTCCTTCTCCCATACGGCACACCAGCGTACTATTTGAACATATATAACGGGCCCACCAATGCTTTGATAATTCAATTTGATGAGGCATTGGCAGGTTTGGGAACAGGAGAGTGGAAGGATATGTACCAGAATCGTACTTCTTCATCACATCAAAGCCTGCATACACCCCGGTTTGTCATTGCATGGCTTGCAGTACAGAACAAACAAGGCGAGGAGAAGGGTCTGCCTATCATCTGGCCCGCTAGCTTATGTCTTTCATATATTCCCCATGCTCCATCTTTACATTCTCGTTCGACCCTACGCCACCTTCCCGAACTCCCTTCTCAGTTGCAAGCCTCGCCGCCACCACCTGCGCCGTATGTCCCTCTCAGTCTACTGCAGAAAGACATGAAGCAAACCGAAAGGTCTTCTTCCGTTGCCGCAATGTCATCGACAGGTAACGCGCCTCGATCCTCAATTCCTGCGTCTCCGAGTATAGGTCGCCGAACTTCCTCACCTATGCCTAAGAGGATCGCGCCTCTACCTCCAGAACGTTCTTACCACCTATCATATTCTCCAACAACTGATTCCCTGCGTGCGTTCAAAGCCTTGACGTTATCGTCTACTGCTGGAGACTTACCGACTGTAGCCTCAGAAGTCAGTGGCTACGTTGAGGCAGTGGCTCGTGAACGAGAAAGGGAGCGGGAACGCATGAAGAAGGAAAAGGAAAAGGAGTTCAAGATGTCAGGCGCAACACCCAGTAAGGTGCAAAGTATTATTCCCATTCCAATACCCACAGCCCGATCTCCTACTCCTGTTGTGAACCCGTATCCTGCTTCCGCTCTCGATGGAAACCGGATGCACTCCCATACACCGCAAGCTCAGACCGCCAGTGAATCGCCAACCGAACTTTTACCTGCAGCTGACATCTTTGGTGATCTCCCGTCTCAGGATACCTCCATGCCAATGGATGTGGATTTTGATGTGAGCGTTGCAGACGTTCCTCCGCCTGTCGCTCCACAGCCTATCCCTGTTACCGACCCCATCTCAAATAATTTCGATCCGTACAATACTTTTGATTCGGGATGGCCCCAACCTCAGAATGACTTCCTCAACATGAATATGAATATGGACTATGGTATGGGTTTCAACATGAACATAGGATCCATGGGTAACGGCGCGACTGCGGCTGGTCCGGCTACCACCAACTTCGGGCTCGACGATGATTTCGATGCTTTCACAGATGATGACTTCAAATTTTTCGACAATCCTTCTGCCACAAACGCTGAACCGCCAACATCGGCGATTGATGGCGCGTTGTCCATGTTCTCTGGATTTACGCCTGGTGCAAGCTCGTTACAAGTGGGGTTCTCGCCTCCTGTCATTAGTGAGAGTACGAGTTTCTCGTACATGGCACCTATATCGACTACGCTGAACCAGTCGCAGCCTTCGCCTTGGATACCTAGCTCATTCCGGGATGTGTTGTCCCCTACTGAGGCTCCTCAGACGCTTCCCCATATGCCGTCACCGGTGAAGACACCCATTTCACAATCAGTTCCTTCAACTCCAGCAGTCCAACTCTCCGATCAGTATGTGCCCTTGCTTGCAAATCGTCGAAAGTCGGGTCAGTTTGTTTCTGGGTCGGAGGTCTTCGAGCCAATTCCGTTCGCCACGAGCCATTCGGCGGCAGACAACAAGTATGTCACTGGAAAGTTCGCACTTCCAAGTCCGCCAGATGAAGAAGATCGGACGGAGGAGATAGTCAGCCGTCGTTCGTCTGTGTCTGCACCTGTGTCTGGGTGGAAGGTGCGCTATAAAAACATCACAGACCCTGGAGTTGGAATCGTGCGCAAGTTGATTGGGTCGAAGCGTAAGGCCCCGGCGCAGGGTGGTAGACAAAGCAAATTGTCGACCTCTTGGGAGAGGGAACACGAGGAGTGGACCAGCAGCTCTCCAACTGCCGTTGACGCTGACGAGACCAAGACTGATTCTGACATGGATGATGAGCCTTGGGGTGAAGATGACGAGACTGCTCATTCAATTTCTCGTCCAATCACGCCGCCACCTCCATACGTACCTTTGGGACCGACACTGCTGCAAACTTACTTCCATCATTCCCGTTTGTTACCTCTTAGCAGACCCTTGCTACCTCAATCGGTACCTGACTCTACCACCAACAATACGTCGGCACCATTATCTGTACCCACACCCGTCTCACCTGCTGCGGTGTTTGGGGCTGCATCTGAGAAGACCAAGTCTTTGGAAGCAGCTGTTCAAATCCTTGTCAAGGAAGTTACGGAGAATCGGCTATTGGCGCACGCCTGGAACGCATGCGCTATGGCGCGGCTTCAAACCGTGAAGCTGCCTTCGGACGTGTGGCAGGTGGATGTGAGGCGGACAGTAGAGTTATGTGCCGACGTAAAGGAAACGAGATCACCCGTTGACCTGCAGTGTCTCTTTTCTGGCTTTGCCAACAGTGGATCTACCTCAGCCACTATCCAATCGCTTAAGCCTCCAATACTTTCTCTGGCAAAGTCAGAGTCAGTTATACAGGTTCTTCCAACTGCTCTGTTGTTCTGGGAGAAGTTGGGACTCTGTCCTCGTGCTGGCGAGAAGAATGTGACTGCTTTTGTTTTCTTCGACAGTAGGGGTGTTGTCAACGAAAGGCAGGCGGCCGATTGGCTTGCCAAGGTATCTGCAGCATATAAGGTGAGTCGCATGCGTGACTGATACGAGTTGTTAGCTGACAATGTTACAGGCGCGGCGTCTAGGTACGCATACGCCCGGAGAAGCTCAAGCTTGCTCCGCAGAAGGTGTTGTGCCTGTACAGTTCGAGTCGTTTCGTAAGATGCTTGGTGAGTTTTCAGATAGTTCATCATAAAGCAAACATTGATCTTCACTCCTCATAGTGGCTTTCATCGAGAGCCTCCCTCATCCGGATGAGCATCTGGTCTTCTATGTCGCAGCTCCTCCTGCTATACTCAATCTCACATCGCCGGTGTTGCGCCAAGTGCTTTCTGCAGTGAAGCGCGGCCTGAAGTCCCACTTGGGACCACGAATTGTTTTCCATTTCGTTCCAGAAGATCTCATTCTGGATGGAATTGGCACATTCAATCAGTCAAGTCTCGATTCTTTGGTTGATGCTGTGTACAACAGGATCCTGCGACCAGTTGACAGAGTATTATCCCAAACTCTGTTCGCAGATGCGGAGAATGTGAGGTCGTACTTCCAAGATCCAATGTTTACCATCGCAAGACCTCCCCAACAGAATGTGAAATTCATTCGGGAATCCCACACAAGCTCTTTGGACGTTCTTGAAAGGCATTCTATGCTCCACGTCGGATATCAAGTCACTCCTGATGGCAAATGGCTTCTGGCTGCTTGCATTGATCAGCGGGGAGAAGCTCATGACCTCAAGGCTTGGCTCGCACCTGACGATGCTGACGAGCACTTTGCGATCTCGAACGTCTGGTCGTTTGCTCTTGCATTTGCTACAAAAGCGAGTTTGGAGTGGAGGATCGTGGTCTCTAAGTTTGGACCTGTATTGGAGAAGGAGTTAGATGGTAAGTACATCCATTCTCCATTAGGGTTGATTCGTTCTTTAACGCAATCCCATGTAGCTTGGATTGACCACCTCGACTCCGCTATCCCTAACGCAAACGATTTGCCACCCATGCAGGTATTCGTCCTATCTGCTGAAGATGCCATTTGGACGTTCCTTGCTCGTGATGATGACCTGCTCGATACCCGACCTACTTCACCGAATCGTTCAGGAAAGCATCCACCAGGGACCATCTTGCGCGACGTCTCTTCAACCACGTTTGCACTGTTCGCATCAGAACATCCTCCGCCTTACCGCCGACCATCTCTTGCTTCTTTTCCTCAGCAGCCGTATATCGCGGAAGCTGAAGCTGCAGCTGACGACACTGAAGACCACTTCATGACATGCTCACTTGCCTCGAGCACTCTGCTTCACGTTCCCGCTGCTACAGATTACGCCAACATCTCCATGCTTCATCTACATCTCTTTCACATCGCACATTCTTCCAATTCATCCTACAACCTGGGCCACGACGATACTATGCGGGATATTACACGGAACTTTTATGAGCTTTCTGAACTGGCGAAGGCTCGATGGGGTACGGAGAAACCGACTTTGCCATTTCATCTTGCTACGTTGGAAACCATGAAGATGGTCTTGGACCGTGGAGACGCTATAATGGAATAATCTTAGCTTTCTTTTTCACATCATGTTCAACACATTTCCTGCTTTGTCATTGCTATCGTTCATGATACCATATATCCACCTCAACTCATGTAGTATTACTGTACCTATATGCTAGCGATAAGTCCCATGGATCTAGAACATATTCGGAGTTACTTCAAGATATGTTACGGTTCTGAGACCAGAGAAATCCTAGAATGAAAAGCAATACAATACATCTATGGATACAACGGAAGAGAAGTCAAGGAATGGACTATACACAGCGGTCGATGGTATCCTAGGACATGCTTAATCCATGTCTGTCTGGTCCCGCTGCCGGTATTTGATGCCTCTGCTCTCCAACTCTGCTTCCACGTCGTCTGGTACTCGTCCCTTGACCCGCGTAGCGTACATTCCGCGAACATATTTCGCTAGAATCAAAAAGTTTAGTAACAGGTGTAAATATGAGGCACAAGGACCGAACTCACAAGTTCTTTGCCACCTCGCCACCCAACTGTGTTCCGGGTCGATCACAGCAATGATACCCTCGAAGTATGTCGTTGTGCACACGCTGATTCGATCAGGGTAGCCCTTCATCTGCTTATACTGTGAGCAACGTAGACATACGAATCAGAAATATGAACTTGCCTGCATGATTTCTTCGCAATTGGGGCATCCATATTTACGAAAGTCAGCGGGCGTTTGGATTATGGAGCACAGAAGGCATGCTCGCAGTTGCTTTGCACGAGGTTGTGATGGAATGGATGCTTGAGCTTGAGACATGGTTACAAGACTTGAGATGAAGAAAGAAAGTAGAAGTGCTACGACAAAAGGAGGTGCCCAATGGGGGAGAAATATGAGGTGGAGGGTTGTTAGCAAGACAGAGCAGGCGTCAAAGCCGTTGGATAACATGCACAAATACAAGTTTCCATTTCGAGAACATACTATCCTAAAAAGTCAATTCCTTCTGAGTTTTTCTAAGCGGAACATTATAGCGATCTTTGTGTTTTTCACATTGCATCGTGAACTCGAAAGAACACAAACATTTCTGAGACTAACCCTACATACGGTCAATATCTCTTATGTCTTAGAAGCACCTCGACGGACCAAAGTCTTGCCGGCGCAGACATCTCTGCCTGAACAGATCATTCTTCCTAAAGTTGGTACACACTTTTCGTAACTCGACCAGATATATTCGATAACGCTGATTAAACAAGAAAGCGGAGAGGGCGAAGATTAAATCCCTATGCAAGATAAATACACGTTCTGTGAATCAGTGGGGATAGTGGACTTGTTAGAGGTATTTAATGCAGGAATAGAGTGGTCCACGAACAAGGAATGGAACCGGAGGAAGAGCTATGGCGCATTCAGCAGTACGCCTCTATGAAGTCCCCCCACCTCATCACTATTTCTATGATGAGCGCCAGAACCATATCAACATATTGCCCGCTTCTGGGACGCCTGAACGAGAATATCTCCTTGTGTACCGTTTTGCCTGTACAACTGTCAATATCGGAACAGTCACATTCAGGATGGATTTACAAGTACATGGCTCCTTCTCTTTCCTTGCCTCCTCGAAAACAGAGTCCTTGTCTGAGTCTTCGAGGTACCAACCATTCTGACACCAGTCCGCAAGCTCAATGTGAATAAGTCGTTCCAGTTTGTCGTAATACTTGATGTTCGTATCATCCCGAGGATATATGTAAACTAGCGGTTGCACTGCGTCAGTTCCACACTGATTGCGCCACTGTTTCTGTCGTAATTCGACGTCCTTCGCTTTCCCTAACTTGTAATGTAAGATATCTCCGTGTTGCCCTTTAACTTCAACAATCATAGTGAGAATTCATGTTAGAGGGGCTTAAGGCGTGCACATGAGGGATTGTGTCTCACCATAATATGGAAATACGTAAATTTTTCCTGCGCTATCGGAAATGGAAGGCTGCTGTGCCATCTTGAGTTGGAGCTTGGTTTTAGTAGGTTCTGATAGCTGCGGAGTAATAAATTCTAGCAAGAGAAGCATAAAGTTGTAGGCAGTCAGCGATGTAGGACTCGGAGACTATGACCTATGACATACGTAGGGGTACGGGCTTGCCGTTGGAGAGATAATCTGGAATGCGTTTCGCCGGATCGTTGTGTAAGTGACAAAATATGATTTGTGCGAGTACGTTCGGGTCGTCACTATCTTGTGTTGAATCAAGCAACCTGATTGATACCATATTCTTGCATCGCTCTTTCGTTGAAGGGGCCTCTGAGCTACATTGCACAGAACGTTGAGGTAACGAGCCAGATGACTTGCGCCTACATGGGTGGATTGGAGGAGGCAAATTCGGTCCTGCAGTTGAGGCACTGTAAAGCTTCGGTGGGGCAGATCCTGGCACATGGAGTCGAATAGCAGGTCGTTTCGGAGTGGATGGTACATCTTGCTCGCGCTCTGATGGTTTCAGATCCGACCCCGGAGTCCCTGGTCTCGAGAGGTCAGCAACCGTGACTGCGATGACATTGTGACCGCGTGTTTCTTGTTTCAATGGGCGACTTCGCGGAAGCCGAGTACGCTTTGGCTGAATATCAGCATCTAAACCTCCGGAAGGAGGACAAGCATTGGATCGCTGTTGATCTGGGGATCCCTTCGACTCGGAGTCTAGAGACACGGCATCAAACAGTCGAGCCAATTCATCGTCTATGGACTCCCGAGATGGAACCGGGGTCGTCTCAGGCGTCTCGTCCTGAAAGGGTGAGCTGAGGAAACTGAAGAAGTTGCGGGGGAACATTGGGGAAAGTTAGCAAAAGACAACATAAGTGTATGGCGTCCATTATATGCTCTGCGAAGAACAAAGAAACCAATCAGTGGCTCGAGTAGCGCAAAAGAGCATAAAGGATGAATCATAAACATGAGGCACAGGAACTACTTTCTTGAATCACATTGCCTCCGGAAGGGTTGAACCCGATCTTACCTGCAGAACGCAGTCGGATGCATATGTCATGGCAGAACCACCTTCGCAACATCGAGCACAGTAGCATACAGCGTGTTATCCAGGTATTATACAAACTATAAATGAGGGTAGTTTAAGCACACGTAAAGCGAAAAAGCAACATGCAATGAATAACGATACGACACACCTGTCCAATCATTATCAAGTCCGTGAGAGATATTCATTTACAAATAAACCCCATCTGTCTACCACTTCCTTGACCATCTGATATTCCTTCTCTTTGTGAATGCCACTTCTCGCCTTTCGAAACGAGAATATCTCTTGATGCAGTTTCTTACCTTATCAACGTTCTTGTCATTGCAAACAACATGATGTCAGGCCGAAAGGAAACTCACAGTCAATACATCTTGTTCTCGGTTGAGTGGCAAGTTTATGTACGTGGTCCTTATCCCTCATCTCCAAATACGGTGCGTTGAGAGACAAATCAGCGAGTTCCAAGTGAATGAGCCTCTCCAGTCGATGGCAGAACTTGGCTGGGTCACCTTGGCGCATCATACCTGTCAACATGATTTGGTCTTCAGGTGCCGGGAAAATATAGCGAACGATGTGCCGTTGAGAACGACACGAATTTTCCCACTGTCCAACGCGCTTGATCGGGGTGTATGATCGTCCGACCTTGAACTCAAGAATGTCTGCATGAAGCTTGTTGGGGTCTGAAGATATCATGTTGAGCGCACATGCGGCGCGAGAGAGGCCAGACGGAGCTTTTACCTTGGACTTCGTAAATGTAAATATAGCCTTCTCGGTCGGCATCTGTGAGCTTCTCTACCATTGCAGTCTTCAACTGAACTTGTGTCTGCGACTCAAGTGAGTCGGGTATGAAATCTATTGATACATCAATTTAGTCAAGCTTCACAATGGACATGTCTGGCTCTCTGGAGATTGGACTCACTCTCGAATGGCGCCTCTACGTTGTTGCCCAGGTATCCTGCGCTCTTCTTAATCTGGTCAGTATGGATGTGACAGTAACGTTTCATAGTTTCTTGTTCTTCTGGGTCCAACGTTCCCAGCGCAGCGGAGTCTTTGACCATGTTCTTGCACTGCGCGCCGGTCTTCGTCACGCCACCGCACCGAACGGCACCGGACTTCCCATTCAGCGACGCTGGCAGAGACGAAGTTGATGAGTTACGTCGACGTCGACGTATTGGTGTTGCGTCCGACTTTGTAGAAGGAGCGGGTTTCGAGGGAACGGTCGCGGGAGAGGAAGGTAGAACATTAGGACGTTGGGGTGTCGACGGAGGGGGACGGGTTTTTGAAGGTGTGGATAGTCCATTATCTTGGTATCTTGGTATCTCCGGGTCTGAATGTGGTCTAGTTGGTAACGGGGGAGCATGCAAGTAACTGGAAGGCTGTGTAGTAGTCGGGGTATTAACAAGGCCTGGGTATCGCTGGGCTTGTATTCCTTGCATGGCATACTGCAAGGTCATGGAAATCTCTTGGCTCCTCGAGTTCTCGCGGTGTGGTATGGGCATCGCAGGTGGTCTCGGAAGTGAGCCTGGGTATTGTGCAGGTACGGGAAACGCGGCGGAAGAATCAGCAGGCACGAGAGAGGGATTCGGTCGCACTCCATAGTGTGCGCCACTGTTTAACGTCGCAGCAACTGCAGGATGGAACCCTCCTGGGAACTGTGAATCGGAGTACCTCTGGTGCACCCTCGGTGCTGGTATCGGTGTTTCTGTTACATGTACAGCACCAAACCGTTTACCTAGACTGTTAACTTGCTCTTCAATGGTAGGGTTCTTCTTCTTGGACTCCTTCTCCTTGGAGGACCGAAAGAGGCTGGTGAGTGAAGGCATGGGGATCGCTCAGCGCAGCATGTGTCTGAGGTTCCTTTGATATAGGCAGCTGTGGCCTTATCATTACAAAAGGGCGCTGTTAACACGCGTAACATGCCACATAAGAAAAGGAAATATACTTCTCACTGCGAGTCATACAGTCCCTTCTGGGATCTGTGGCATTGCATGCATGCAGGAAGAGGAAGACAATGATATTTCCAACTGAAGGTATGACGGGATTTGCCGAACGTAACTTGGATTACTACCACTTCCTTGTCTTCTCTTCAGTCTACTTCTACCTTCAACGACAACCATGGAGGACCCTGAGCTCGCTGCGATTCGTGCTGCTAGAATGAATCAACTTAAACAGCAGGGAACCCAAGGTGCCGCTCCTCCGAGTGGCGGCGGAGAGGAGGAAGCGAAACGCGCTGCAGAAGAGCAGATGCGGAGAGATCTTCTGGCTACTGTCCTCGATTCTGCAGCAAGAGAGCGATGTATGTCGTGATATGGTCTACGATGGATATCTCTGCCACTTATGTATTATATGTCTCTCGTTATTGCATGTTGCGCCTTATGGTTTGTCAACCTCGCTAGTGTCACGAATCGCTCTTGTCAGTCCTGAACGATCGCGGCAAATCGAGGGAATTCTCCTGAGAATGGCACAAACGGGCCAACTGCGCGGTCGAGTAACCGAGGAGCAGCTGATCGGCTTGCTAGAGCAGGTATGTTCATGATATCGTTGAGAAAGTGCACATTGCTCAGCTGCGCTTCCCAGGCTGATGAAGCGTCGTCGAGAAATGCACCAAAGAAGGGAACAATTGTCGTACGCATTCTATTATATGTCGTCGGATGATTTAGTGAACCTCTAACATGTTTGCGTAGTTCCAACGGAGAAAAGGTGGTTTTGATGACGATGACTTTGACATCTAGTCCTTTACATCTATCTGCTTTCGCTATCTCGCTTTCTGTTGCAATGTTTATATCCCCTTAGCTCCCCTCCTGCTAGATCTGAAGATCGAGGATCTTCTTCGCGTCACTGAAACAATTAATCATCTTCGCCATTACTGTTTCTCTGAAGCAGCAGAAGGGAGTGACTAGGCTCAGCAATGGCAAACCGTTGCTCTCTATGGTGTATAGAATCTACTCGAATAATCTATAATGCAGGTATTGCTCTTTGATGACCGTCATCTGTCTGCTGGGCGTATTATCACACTCTATTCTGTTCTGACCTTCTGACCCACTGCAGAGACGGCGTAGGGAACATACGGTTTGGACCCGATGTGTTCTGTTCAAGTTAGCTTGATTCTAGCGGCGCCGTGTGACGGTCAGAGGAACTTCATGCGCAAGGCGTATCTTTGACCACAACACCGTGGCAGCCTTTTGTGCTTCGTTGACTATTTGCTCGTGAACTATTTGAATTTTTGCGAGCTGCTTTAAGGTCTTGTGAGCGAGCACAAGGCGTGAATGAGTTGCAAATGTGCCTCGAACTCGTTTAAGGCATGCGTGGGCGTCCATTTCACAATTGAGGATGTTTGTGCATGTTTGGCTTGCCACCTGAGTAAAACATGCTGAAGGAGGTCGTCTCTTCAATTGTCGCGTTTCTCTGTCCGCTCAACATACCTCGTTCGTCGTCGTCGCCGTTACCCCCTATTTTCTCTACTTTTACCCTAGCATCTATCCGATATCCTGCACAATGTCGTCTAGAGTTCATCCACACTCTCCGTTGCCAGCACCAGCGCTACATGCATCTATAGTTTCCAACCAGTCAAAGTCGCATGTCCTCGCAGGCGTGCAAGACGCGTATTGGAGTGATGACGAGGCGGTGAGTAATATGAGATCCCCGATGTTGCTATGAACGTGCTCTGACATCGCACAAATCATATAGGAGGATGCCGAATGCCCTCTCTGTCTCGAAGAAATGGATATTTCCGATCTCAACTTCAAACCATGTCCTTGCGGTTATCAGGTCAGCATATATCCTCATCTGATATCGTGTTCTCCATGCTAATACATGAGTTAGATCTGTCGCTTCTGTTGGCACCACATCAAGGAAAATCTCAATGGTCGTTGCCCTGCTTGTAGACGAGAGTACACAGATGAGACTGTCCAATTCAAGCCCATCAACAAGGAGGAGTGAGTCTACTTTCATTAGCTTCTTATGCCGTCTCTCATGTCCTTCCTCACCTTCTCCACCCTGTTTGTTTCGTCTTCCGCTTAGTCATAAGCGCCTCACGCAACAGAAGAAACAGAGAGAGCGAGAGCGCAAAGAGCTCGAAGCTCTTAACAGACGTCATCTGGCGAACGTCCGCGTCGTGCAACGCAACGTCGTTTATGTGGTTGGATTGGGTCCACGCTTCGCAAAGGAAGAGGTGTGTTTACCAGGTCACCTTCATACCGATTGCTTGATGCTAAATGATTCCACTGGACTAGCTTATTCCGACCTTGCGTTCTAACGAATATTTTGGTCAGTATGGCAAGATATCCAAGATACTCATTGTGAAGCGCACTCAGCCGGGGGGACGTGCTCCTGTGGTAGGATTGTATATTACCTACCATAGACGGGAAGATGCTGCCCGTTGTATCTCAGCGGTCGACGGTGCTCCTTCCCCGGGTGGTGGTCAGGAGATCATGAGAGCCAGTTATGGTACAACGAAGTACTGTATGGCTTTTCTCCGAGGGGTCACCTGTACGGATCATAGCTGTATGAACCTGCACGAATGGGGTGATGAAAGCGACTGTTTCACAAAGGAAGATCTCACTACTCTGTGCGTATTTTTTTTGTGCCTATGACTGTATGCAACCGACTGACGTTGATCCTGTAGCAAACACACCATGAAGGATACTGAGACCAGAACGAGAATCACAACCGTTCGGAAAGGTGACGAAAGTGAAGGTCTTCCACGGGCAGCATCTTGGGCGAATAAACCACGGGAGACTCTCGCTAGTACCGCTTTGCACAACAACACCAATACGGCTCATACGTTACCACCAGGTGTTGCACGGCAAGCAAGGCGCCTTCCTGCAGGGACCAGTAGTCGCCAGCAACGACCAGGTTCTACAACAGGCACAGCGGCGGAGGCGAGGACCATTACCACTCGGAAAGGTGCTAGGGAGACAACATCTGCTACGAAGCCACCTTCAGTAGCATCTTCTTCAAGGCCTACGACGCCTGGTTTTCCATCAGCATCAACTCGCCCTCTGACACCTGCTAGCGCCAAGCCAAGCAGACCGAAGGAAGTGCCTGTTCCCTCAGCTCAAGTTCCACGATCTCCAGCATCTTCAGCTGCTCTCGAGTCGGATGTTGGATCAGGTCTTCAAGAATCACCTTCGATTTCCCAACCAAGTCCCGCGCCAATCGCACAAGAAGCTGCTACAGCATCCGCACCAAGAGCTCCCCCGGGTATTCCTGCTGTGCCTCCAGGTTTGACACCTCCAGGTTTGCCTGCTTCGCCAGCGTTATCGGCGCCGCCACCAGGCCTTACGCCACCCCCTGGTCTTCTTCCTCCATCGCGACAAGCCACTTTACCTCAACTTGCAGGGCAAGGGCCATATCAAATATCAACTCAAGCCCAGGCGTTGTTAGAAGATGTCAGGGCCCGCCGAGAGTCTGCGTTCCTTTCCACTACCGCACAGAGTCCGTTCCCAGACTTTGATCGTATGCTCCAGAATTTGTCGGAGGATAGCGGCTTCAGTTTCAATCTCGACCCCAAGCTGGCTGGCAGTGACGTAGATGCATCCTTGACCTTGCCTGATATCGAGGCGGAGGCGAACACCCCCTTCGCTGGATCATTTATGGACGCCTTCCCGGGAATCAGACAATCTGGACAATCGCCTTCACTGGCGTTCATGTCTCCTCCTGGGTTAGGTTATCCGCCGCCTCGTTATACCCCTCTTGCTTCGCCGGTTGTGGAACGCCAATCGACTGGTTCGAGTTATACTGGTTCCTTCAACCCATTCGCGGAATCGACAGACGAACCTCCCGCAAGACGATACTCACCGTTGGACGAGGATCGCAAGATGTCCCGGTTCGGTTTCGCCCGAGGAAGACAGGGATCGTCTTCGTCTCCTTTGGCCATTGCCTCACCTCTCAATCATACCGAGAGCGTCTCCCAGACTTCGTTCTACTCTGCAGCAACGGATCTTCCATCCTCCGCGAGTCAGACACAGGCACAATGGGCGTATGCTAACCGTCATCCTCAAGCTGGTTATATGCACTCAAATGCTGCGTCGGCCATGAGCTCGCCGTTAGTTCCTCAAGCACAGGCGCAAGCTCCTCCAATGTACCAAAGCCATCCACAGGCGCCGCAGACGTCGCGGTTCCAGCCTTTCGATGCCAGCGTCAGTGAAGCTCAGCTGCGGGATTTAATTAACCAGAGTCGAGTCAATTCGGCTTCTCGCACAGGTCCAAATGGTGGGGTATTTGTATTCGTCTGAGTGTGTATCTTGGTATTGACTGCGTATCTGTTCTGTTCTGTATTATACTCGAAATTGTCTCCTTGTACCGATTATTCAGACTCCCAAGCATACAAGTACGCTTCTGCTCAACCATTCAACGACCCAGCGATTATGTCGGCGAGATTGGCTTCACCCTTGATGTCCCAACCTCAAGTCCACGATAACGGCTTCGTCAACTCGCCGTCAATGGATCACTTGGCGTATGGCCCACCACCGGGTTTAACGTATCCACCAGGTCTCGTGACGAGCCCCGGAGTGCAACAAGGTCAGGCTGGCGGAAGAGGTTATGACATCTCGCAAACGAGTGGATCAGCGCATGGTGAGTTTCTGTTTCCATTCCATCAGGGGAAGCTGTCCCAGGTCAGAGTACCGAGCGCCGTGCTTTCAGTGCGGAAACTGTATAATCGGCCATGACCATGACATGAAAAAAGAACGGCGGAATGGCCTGCGGTCCTCTCTTCATCTCTCTATGTTCACTCGTCTCTCCCTATCCCCTCATTCGAAACGTTACTCCGCTATGAATCTCCTCCTGCTCCCCGGTAAGCTCTGATTGCTGACGCTGCCCCCTTTCACATGTTCTCTTTTCGTCGTCGTCCCCCATTGCACCGTCTTGCCTGGTTCTTCCCACACTTCACATATGAAGTGTCCACGTCCACTTCAGCTATCCCTTCGCCTGCATTATCGTCTTCAGACTTTCCTGCTTTACGGGAGGCCACTTTTACCTCCTCCACGAATATCGAAAAGCAGTCTGACGAACCTACCGCTACTTTTGCTGCTGACAGTACGACTCCGACATCGGCCTTAGACAGCAAGGAGCAAGCTAAGGCGGAGCGCAATGCCGCGAAGAGGGCTGCCGCTGCTGAACGTGCCGCCGAACGTCAACGAATCGCGCAAGAGCGGGCTGTTGCAAGGGCTGCCGAAAAAGAACGTGTTGCACAGGAGAAGGCGCTGGAGAAAGAGAAGGCTGCAGCGTTGAAGGCAGAGCGGGAGAAGACTGAACGTGAACAAGCTGCAAGGGACAAAGAGTCTCGTGAAAAGTCAGAGAAGGACAGGGTTGAGAAGGAGCGCTTGGACAAGGAAAGAGCTGAGAAGGAGAAGGCTGGTCAGGCGAAGAAGGAGCAGGCGCAAGCTCGCGCTGCGGCGAAAGCTGCGAAACAGGGGGGTGCTGATGCACTTTCTTCTACTTCTACGCCTGTCGGAAAGGGCCGCAAGAATCAGAAGCCATCGACAGCTCCTCCACCTTCAGCTCCTGAACCTGAAGTCCAAGCTCCTATTCTTGCGAAGTTGCCAAAGAAGAATAAGCCGATCACGAAACCCATTAAGATTCCCAAGGAGGAACCCGCTGGAGATCGTTCCGTTCTCGCCTCTGCAGCTACATCCGATGCACCCCAACTTCCTGAAGCAGGTTCAATGGAGACCCGTTCCAACTCCAACTCCTCACGAGCCCAATCCGTGGATGTCCAGCCTCAGAATGAACCTATTGGCCTCGAGGAGTTGCTCGCGGATATTGATATGCAAGTTCCTTGGATGAACCTTCCTCGACATGTCATCTTCGACTCTTCCAAGATCAATCCTGCTGCAAAGATGCCTCTTGAGTATGGACCGCTGGTGCACGCTCTATCCGCTCTCTCTGTCGGTGGTGGATCATTCGCCAATAATATGCCATCTGGATCGATCGACAACGCTGTATCCTCCTTCCAACAACTGTTGGAGACTTTGACGCAGACGATCTCTGATTTGCTTCGCCTCCTACCCCGTGCGACCTGGGACGACAGTTCCTCATTCGACGGCGTGTTGCGTGACATGCTCAAAGGTGACGACTTCCTGGACGACGGCGGTGATGATCAGAACAACCAAGGCAAAGAAGACGAGGTTGCTGCTCTTACTATGGCGTTGGAACGCCGTGCTCGTTGGATGGAAGTGCAGCTTTCCAAGTTGGAAGAGCTCCATCGTGACATCAATACTGCCGCCGTTCGTGCCGTTCTGTCATTTAATGACAATGGCTGGGATCGTCGTGGATTCACTCAGAAGCAAGGTAACTCTTTGGCGCGCTTCGATCAATTAGGTATGGTAGAGGAAGATGGGAAGCTGAGGTCCATGGCTGGAGACGAGTTGGAGAAGAAGTTAATTGTGGCTAAGGAAGCGGCTGCGTTCGCGGAGGCTGAATTGAAGGAGGCGATGGAACGGGTGCAGGAGGCTCGACCGCTCGCTGAAGATGAATGGTAAACAGCGTAGTAGAGTCAAAAGTACATTGTAATGAATGAATATTTTTTTTTATCACCGTCGTCGTCTAGTGATGTCGTCATCTACCGAAGGTCGACGTCGTCTCTTATATTCGTTAATGCAGGTGATGAACCCTGTGAATGTTGAACAACGACGTTGAGCATGAATTGTAAGAAGTGCAGGAGTATTCCCTTCTCAGACTTTCTGTTGAGACTTCTGGATCAAATTGCGATTGATCGAGTGTCATTAATTGTTACTGGCAACGGGAATATACATCTTCTTCACTACAACGTCGTGCACACGGCTATTATACTTTTACAGTCTCAGCATCGTACTTACATCTAATTATCCTTTTCCACGGAGTATGAGCGCTGTTAAAAGACGCAGAGTTAGTTCTGCTCCGCGGGTTGTCACGAAGGCTGAGGAGATTGAAGCCGAGACTGTACAAGTTGGCCTCGATACAGAGTCATTGCAGAATTTCTTAATCTCATTGGAAGCTACATGGCCCAATACTCGACGGTAATCTATTTATCATGAAGCGAGAACGTTGATACTATCTACTGATACTACCTCCCTTGTGTATTCAGATTCGAGCGACGCGCTCCGTTTCCTCAGTCGCGGTCAGACACGCTTTCAGCCATCGAGAATGACGTCCAACAGGTCACTGGGATTATGGGTGACTTCACAGACGCGTGTCAACGTGCCCTATCGTTGCTCCGTTCGCAGCACAACAGTGAGGTCGACATCAATGCGATCCTGCCAGAGGATGTGCTCTGTCACATTTTCGAGACAGCCGCAGAGAATGGTTACGATCATGTCTCTGTGCTTGCTATTTCACACACTTGTGCAAGATGGCGAGACATTTGCTTTAGGAATCCATCCATATACCACTGCATTGATATTTCGACTATTCCGGTCAAGATTGGCGAGCTTTTCATCAGCACCAACCTCAACCTCCCCCTTTGTCTGCGCTTTATGAAAGCTGCCCCCGTTGCCTCGCTCCTGGCCAGGCAGACCTTTTGTGCCTCGAGCTTGGCTCGTGCAAAGGAGTTCTGCCTTACAACGAGCCCCTCTTGGGTACCGCTGGGGCGACGTAGTCCTTTACTCACGACTGTCATGCTAGTGAATGCGCAAGCAGTCGATGGGGATGGTCTGATTACGAGCTCGTTCTTATCACAGCCCAAATTGTCTCAGTTTACCATGATTGGAATGCGTTACCCGTGGAACTCAGGCGCATATGCGAGGCTCTCCAAACTTTGCCTTATCATTTCGGGACTCAACACGGGGTTCCATGACGATGATCTGGATGTCCTTCAGCTCTTCCAGAAGTCACCGAATATGGTCGAGTGCACCATTCTAGTGAGCAAGCCTGTCTCAATTCAAGGTCGTCGTCCGCAGAAACCCAAGGAACTCATTTCCATGCCTGGCCTTCGCACACTCTATCTCAAGCTTCTTTCTTCAGACCTCGACTACATCCTGTCTTCCATTTCCACTCCCCCGACAATGAAAGCCACACTCACTGCGATGCATGATTCCAGAGATCACTCACCACTTGCATGGATTCCGCTAGACCCTAGATGTCTTCCATGTTTCCATGTGATGGATGCGCTGTGCCTGAATAGACGGGACTTCCGTATCCTCGCATTCAAAAACGTGCCAGATGGATGGTGTCGCGAACCCGAACCGACCGTAACGATTGCGGCCGAATGGTATGCTCCGCCTCAACCATATGTGTTATGTCCTATTCTCGGGGTCACTAGGATCCTACATTCAATGTCCTCCCTGAAAGCTTTGGATGTCCAAGAAATGGATAGCTGGTGTTATGGGTCGTCTGAAACGAGTCTCGACCACCTTGTTAAAGATGTGTTCTCGTTGCTCAATGCGGCGCCTACGTTGAACCTTCTAACCTTGGATAAATGCCCCGAGGAGGTATTGGAATTACTTGCTACTCAAAAGGCGCATTCGTCTGCTCGCTTTTGTGTGGGCTTGCACAGGCTGAGCTGCTCTCGAGCTCGCATCAATAAGGATGTAATTCTACGTCTGTGTCAAACCTTCTCAAAACAAATCCAAGCTCTTCGATTCCTGCGTTGTCGTTTCGAGTCAAAAGATGTGGAAGCTGAACTTTTGGCTTGCCTGGGACAGATCGGGGTCTCTGATATTCAATCTGATCTTGCCGAATTCGAGTGTGAGTTGATTCAATTCGCTCTTTGTTTAGTCTAACGATTTGTTCGCTCTAGGATGAATGGGCGTGATGATATATCTTCTGGGAGAGTATTAACGTTTATGTCACGACGATGATAAGGCCAGCAATAATATTCCAGGCTCAGGCTACTGCCAATCCTAGGTATGGTAAACAACCCCCCTACACACTTGGAACGAGGCAGAACGATGTGAGGGACATTATCACCTGGGGTACAGTCGGTACACAGCGTGTGTTTTCTACGTCTTCGTTCCAAAATTCTCTTTGTATCAGGAACAGGGAAGTGGTTGTCGTCGTCTTTGACTGCTTTTGAAGGGGCGTTGTGTACGTTACAAAATCTCATCGATGGTAATAGAAAATATTCACGTTAGGAAGATCTGGAGCTCCGAGGATGTGCCAGCTTTGAGCGAGCCTTTATCTTCGCCGGTTTGGATATCAATTCTCTCAGGCCGGATGCTGCTATCCGAACCGAATTTGGACTGATGGTAAGCCTTTTCAAATGTTCAGCAATTCGACAGGCCAGTTGCATTCACTGACTTTGGTTGACTGTATCTCGTGAACTCGTTCTAGTTCCCAAAGCGACAGAAATTCTACGAAGAGAATTGAAAGACGATTATCTCTACGATTCAAGGGTGGGTTGTAACTTCCTGTTTTGAGATACTCCAGCTCATTTTTCAGAACGTATTCTGGGCACTATATCGATCATTCTGAGATTGCTGCTTCGTGGAAGATGAAGGTGACATTGTTTTCTACAAAGATCGAGTTGGCAAGATGGCGCGACGAGGTGCTACAGAATGAGACCACTGCATTGGTCGGTTGAATCTTCAACATATACCTCCCCTATTATGACTCTATCGAACAATGAAAGCTCTGCTTCATTCAGGTTGAAATATGTTTCACCTCGGGCGAAGGCGTCAGAGTAAGTACCAATATAAGTAGGACGAATATCTAAAAGTGACCTTCACTTGCCATTGAAGTTCTGTGCCCATTCGAGTGAGTTCATGATCTTCGCTCGCGCTATGAGACCCAAAGCGGTTACCGTTCAGCGAGAAAATGGGGATTAAACGTCAAATGGTGACTCAACCACTGAATGATGTCTGGGTGCGTTTCGATCACCCACTGATCGAACCACGTTCACTTTATGCGCAGCCATCCTCAAACCTAAGCGCCTATTTGCAACGTCCTCGCTCATCATGCTGGTCAACGTCCTCTGGCTGGCCGCCACTTTATCCACCGTCTTTGCATACTCAAATACACATCCTATAATTGCATGGTCATCTCATCGGTTTGCTAGTTTACTTCCCAATCTTACTCACAATGAAGCTCATAATTTCGCTTGTTGTTATTAGTGCACCATCATTAGAGGCCACGTCCTCGAGCGACGTACTTGAAAGGATTCTCCTCTCTGATGATATCTGTAACCATGATGCAGTAGTCCTGTTTGACCATCCCGGAGTGAGCGCTCTGCACATTCATTGTACACATCAGCCTAACCAACCATGCCATACTTAGCTTCACGCGTCCGACCTACGTTTGCTATCGCCAAACTCAGCAATCACCACAACTCTCAACGCTGCACCTTCCTCGCTCCAGCTACCTTATGTCGTCAGCAATCTCGGCAATCCCTTCCCCGACCTCGCAGAAGTGATTTCGAAAAGATGTGGATCCAAGCTCGTACATACCAACCTAGGGGGCTTGAGCGAAGGCGTAGCGCAGAATGGGGAGAAGCATGTCATTTGTGTTAGTATGCCACCGATTTCAGATGGGGATTTTGGCCGGAGGAAGCATCTCATGAGCGAATATGGTACGTAAAGACAACTTCTCGCGTTCTCGAGTTGCTTTTGATTGTACATGCCTACGCAGAGAGCCAACTATCCTCAGATCTCGAAGCTCTGTCCTTCATCTCACCCCACCATCTCGTTGTATATGCAGGCCGACCTCACTTTTCTACCTTCCGCGCGCGCCAAGACCCTTCAGACCCCCAAGCTCCGCCGCACAACGGAACCGCATTTCCAGACGGCGGTGTTCTCAAACGATATCAGCTCCTTACCCCCGGGCTTATCCTGTCTTTGCTTGTCGCTTTCTTCGTGTTGGTTCCAGTGATTCTGGGAGGAATTCACGCGTTGGCAAGTATCAAGAACCCAATTCGAGTAGATAATACGAAGTTCAGTGCTGTTGAGAAGAAGAATCAGTAGGTCATGGGCACTGGATTAGGACAGTTTGTAGGAAAGGCATATCTTTCGATATGTACGCATGAGGTATTATTCAATGCTTGTGTCGTTAGACATGAGCGATGATATCCAAACCCTTATATATGAGGCGCTATATTGAAAACATCGTCATTCTTCGTCTACAACTATCACAGTCGGATCTGGAGCGGGAGAAGATAAAGCGGTTAGAGATGACGACCCTGGAACTTCCTCCACTTCGTTCAATGACATTGGTGAATCAGACTGCGGAAGTTTCGTTGGTGGTTTCTTCGGACGTGCGGCCTCAACAAGCTGGTTGAATGCCGCTTTGTTTGCTTTCTACAGATGAGATTGCAGTGGTCAGTATTTTCGAGCGTGGGTACAAGAAGGCAATGATTACTTGATAGGCATTCAAGTCCGTTACAGCTTGTCTCTTCGTTTGCCGTTCAGTTTCCCACTTCTTCAGTTCTCGTCGTAGGTCTTCCAGTGTCAAGCGATCTGTTGGAGTGCGGTCCAAATTGGCATTGTATAGTAGGGCCCATCTCTCATGCCGTTTGATGAGTGTGTCCTTGTCGCCGTTATTCGGCAAGTCGTGATCTGCTAGCATCTCTCTCAGCCGTTTCTCCTTAAGCGTATGATATGCGACCTTGGGTATTGGTGAGGCATCATCATCGACTTTGGCCTTTGTTCTAGCAGAGAAACAAGTTGAACGTCCCAAACCAATCATCAATACCAACGATTTCGGCTCACTTTAATTTCCCCTTTCCCTTGTTCCCGCTCGAGGTAGACCCTTCCCCTGCACTGAATAACTTCCGCCAATCTTGTTTCTGTTTCCCTTTACTGCCAGAGGACGAGGAGCCAGTTTCGAAATCCGAAGTTGATTTGCAACCCTGATCAAGATGTTGGTTTATTATAGAGTAGGATACCTGTCTTTGACAGACGGGGCACGGGACGACCTGAGGTGCTATAGAGAATGGCTCAATAAGGGAATGCTGTTGTAAGATCGTACAACATACTTGAAGAGCCTGAAGCGGGTGTAGGGGAAAGTCCACTCCTTTGAGCATTCTTACTGGAAGTTGGTTTGGGGATTTCCACCACTTCGTCATCCGGGGTGGAGCTGCGTTTTCGTTTCTTTGGACTCCGAAATTCAATACCTTCATCGACTAATGGAGGTGTTACTGGCGCTTTGCGTCTCTCCTCTTCTCGGCAAAGCTGTAATATGTACGGTCTACGAAGGGCTACTCTGTGAGGCTTGATACACAGAACGAAGGCTTTGGTATATACCTCGCAATATTCCAAGCCTTGACGGCATCCTCTACGGTCTGCGCCTTTCTCAGGTAGAATTCGCTTGTCGACTGCCGACAGAGTGGACATTCTGCTTTCACGGCAAGCTGAGTTCGTATGCACTGGTAAACAGATTTAATAACAAAGAAGTTTCATGATAAACTGACACGTACCAATGAGCAAAAACAATGTCCACAACTTACGGTCAATGGTGCTTGGAATAACTCCCCACAAATGCTGCAACGAAGAGCCTCGTCAAGCTCTCGAAGGCCAGGAGCAACATCCGTCGAGGGGAAGTCCGTTGGATCTGGCACATTGTCCACTTCGAATATTGTAGTTGAATTGGACATTTCCGAGGTCGACTCAACGCACAATAGTTGTTGATGAAGGCGGAAGCAAAGCTGCGTGTCGATACGGCGTCTCGCGACGCGACGCGTCTACACAGTCATGTGCAACGTGACCGTCACGTCCAGCGTGACTGCCTAGTGCTCCGGCGATCCAAGTTGCCATAGACTATGACATTCTAACTTCCTATGGTACATTATGACTCCCCAGTTCTAAGTATATAACTTAACAACATGGATGCTATATCTCTCATTACCAATTAAAAACACAGCAATCTAATGACATATGGTGTTCGCAACACACCTTTGTAATTCCTCACCCACTGTATCATACCGAAGCAGAATTTGGTAAGCATTGGATTGTTTATCCACTAATAGGGAACATGAGCTGGGTTTAGACCATCATGAGACAGGTTAGTTTTACCCTACTGATGGAGTGTTATTGTAATAGTAATTGAACTTAGTATGAGAGGAACTGTTCATTCAGATATTTGGTATTTGTGCCTGTTCGATCGGGCAATGGCATGAAGCTATCATCTGCTGAATTATGGCTGAATGCCTCTAAGCCAGAATCTGTGCTAGAAATGATGATGTTGGTCCCACACATATAAGTTGTATTGAAATAGAGCTTTGCTTGTGAATCAAATCAGGCAGATTGGACTGCTTAGGCAGAAATGCTTGGCACTGGGTTTCTACAACATTTTTAGCACATCTAAAAGTGTAGTAATATTCATATACAATGTCCATGTTTTCAAGACTGTTTACACATCTTAAAATTCTCTTCAAAGTTTGAATTTTAAGATGTGTAAACAGTCTTGAAAACATGGACATTGTATATGAATATTACTACACTTTTAGATGTGCTAAAAATGTTGTAGAAACCCAGTGTAGGTGGTTTTTCTGCAAATTGAAATGATCATATGCATGGGGGTAAATTCTTTGCAGATGACTTGAATGGGAATGGGGTACTGTAAGCAGTAGAGTAGCCTTGTTGCTATGATCTACTGAGGTTAAGCCCTTGTTCTATAGATTTGTTCAACTTTGTTGAACACTTCTTTCTTTTCTTTCTATGCCTCTCACTTCAGGGCAGGTCCAATTGGATGGGTTCTGGTGCAGGCATGCAAAGGAAAGAGGGTAACGCATGAATAGACAACAATACTATAAGTTTGTGTCATATTTCTGTTTCTCAAAGCTTAGTAAAGATAGATATATATGGCATACATATACTTAATATTACATCCATGGCCATAGGACTCTGAAAGCACTGTATCTCATCCAATCTGTGAAGTTAACCAGAGTGCCACCCAGTTAGTACCACAGTAGAGGATCACACTGTTGGTCAGAAAACAGGTTTTCTGCAGAGAAGGTTTCAGGTAAGACATTATACCAGGGCTTCTCCATTGTTTGTTTAGGGTGGGGGTTGGATTTACCTTGTAGTCTGACTAGCAAGTTAACCTAACTAGTTTATACTGCAAGGATGTACAAGGTCAAAGTTCAGTAAATTCTAAGCTAAGTTGCTTAAGAATTTACAAGGGTAAGGTGTGATAAAAGGATTTGATTGGAACTGGATATGATAGTAACACACGATACAAGACCTTAAACACTAGATTGTAGTGCAAAGTCTGGGGATACACTAGATTGTAGTGCAAGAATGGAAGATGAAGAATGGTAATGACTTGTTTGGAGTAAAACTTGGTGTTTGATTGCTGGGAACTGTAACTTGGTACTTGAAACTAGAACTTGGAACTCTGTAACTGTATCTGGAACTGGAACTAGAACTGGATTTGGAACTGGAACTGAGGGCTCTACATGTCCTCAAGGGGGTATATTTATACACAAAGCACAAAAAGGCTGTGCACTACTTGAAACAAACTGAGAATATTGTGAAATGTACTGAGATGGAAGTAAAACAAATGAACTGAAGTTGAAACATAGAAGCTTACCTGATAAAACATGAATTTGACACTAGAACTCTTGCTAAAACTTTTATTCTCTGTCCTAGAACAACCTGTTCACTTCTAGGCCTTTTCTAGAAGTTTCTAGAAAGTTCTATGCTTATTAACTATGCTCGGCACTTACTGATCCAGTGTAAACTGAACTCGGCACTTACTGACTAAGTGTTTTGAGATCATGTAATCAATCTTGGTTATATATCACATGTTCTTCAATGTATTTAGGACTTGTCAGTATCTAGATCAGCTAGTAGGCTTATATATGCTTGCACTATCTTGTTTGAGCCTTCTATCTTATCTAGATGCACAGTTAAGGAGATTTCTGATGACTAAGCAGTCTTGATCATTGTTAGGTCTTGATGTGGCACTCTTAAACCTTGTACCTGTCTCATAGAAGCTGCACAGGGTTGGTCTTAAAGAATAAATACTGATATGTGCAAGTACTATTTGGTGGGTCTTTTAATTTGTCTTTGACCAGCCTGATGTACTAAACTGCTTTAGATCCTTAAAGCAATCTGTGTACTTGCTTGTACTGTCCTTCATTCTCCAAGGGGTGAAGAAGTGATGTGGAAAAACCTTCAATTTTGCCATAAAACAGATTCAGTATATATGAGGACACCAATCTATTTTATTTGCACTCATCATTGCTTCTGTTGTTAGAGTACCTCAATGGAGGATCTGCCAGCCACTTTCTTCAATAAGGAGTTTATAGTGCCAGTTATTTGCATCTTTGGATTTATAGTGGTAGTCACCATTGTGTCTCTTGGACTAAAGTTCAAGTGGCGCCATGAAGGTTGACCCAGTAGTGGTATAACAGAAACTGTCTGAGTCTCAGCGATGTTTTCTTCTCTGTATGCTGTAGAATCCATACACTCACTTATCTTGTCACTCATTTATACCCTTGTTTGTTATTGCAATTATACCACTCTTTTCTTGGGATATGTATACTTAGAATATGAAAGATTCATCTATATACCAGGTATGTCTGGTACATATGAAGTGAATACAATCTAATCTAAGTGCTCATGGAGATTGCTGAAACCAAAATCCAATCAAATGTTCACTTTCAATGTGGCACTGTTAGACAATGACATTTGACCCTTGAAACTACATGTCTTCAGTGGAAAGTGTATTAGTTTCAGGACTGCCTTAATATCAGGTAAGTGTCTCTGTGTTTTGATGAGTTAATAACTCTTATCCTTGTGTTTGTAGGCATCTGAAACAGCCTCATGCCTCCTGCTGAACTTGCCACTTTACTGCCTTCAATTGCCACTTTACTGCCTCCACTTGCAATGGAGTCTTCATCAGCAGTTTCCACTTCTTTGGAAGCTCAAAGACCTTCAAGAGCTACGGTGATAGGTGCCTCCTGCTTTGTTGGAGTCATAGTTTTGATTATGGCTGCTGGTCTTCTACGGTTCACATTCTTTCCCTTGCAGCGCTATTCTAGAGATGCGAATAGAACTCCTCCTATTCATGTCAACTATTTGTCACCTTCATCACTTCATTTTGAACAAGCTTCTTCTCTATCTGCTCATTCATCACCTTTCACTCATTTATCATCACCTTCTGCTGAGTTGTCACTTTCACATGTCCAATCTTCATCAGCCTCAGGTTATTCTACAGCATCATTACCTGCTGTCATTCATCCTCATCAATTATCTTCTTCTTCTATCGCTTCTCAATATGTGGTGTCAGTTTGACTTGGATTGTAGTAAATCATTGTATACTATCATGTGCTGCATATCTTTTATCCTCACTTGTTTAGTCATTTAATTGTCTATATCTCTGTCATTTTCCTCACTCATATATTCATTCAGTTTAATGATCATTACTCGAGTGTATGTCCATGTGCCAAACACTTTTGGTGCATGACAATGCAGAAATCCTGGGTGCTGTGGTTTTTCTTTTTTCCAAGTCTTTTTCATGCCGGTATTCACCCAGGCGGAAAAGACTGTGTCGAGGCTGGGGATAATAATTGGGAGGTGCCGGCACACTGTTGTTCATGACAGGACTGTTTGTATTTCTGAAAACAAAAATTGCAGAGGACATGCCTTGAGACAGATGGATGTCTCCATTAACAGAGGATGCCACTTCTGAGTGTCTAGCCACACCTAGTGTGAAACAGGTGTTTGGACACCCTGGAACAGCCGCTGCCTACTTTATGAAAGAGGGCACAAAGCGAAAGAGAAAAGTATACCTGAGGCAAAGAAGATACACATATAGGGCATGGTCACAGCAGGAAAAATGCAGAAGGATCATGCACCCTACTTGGAGGAGTAGGCACAGAATTCTTTTTTTGCTTCTGGGAATTTTGCTTTCAGCTTTGGATACTCAGGCATGGTTCACCCCTCAGAGCCATGTCTATTTTCATGCAACAGCAGATCCATGCAGTTTCTGGGTTTGTTGTAAAGAGAGGGAAAGGGAGCCTCCCAGAGGCCTTCCTTGTTCTCCCCCAGAAGGGGTAGAGAACAGGTAAGGAGAAGGGGAGGTTCTATAGAAAGAAAGACAAGAAGAAGCAGTCAGGTGTGGCCGCCGGCTGATAGAGGTGGCCTTTGGCCACCAAAAAGACTCCTTAGTGACAAATTGTATAGAGTCATTAGAACAGGTTTCAACCTTTGAGTAAAAGTTTAGGGCAGGGCTTTCATATTTTAGATAGATAATTATGTGAGTGTTTAGAGCAGGCTTCATATTATAATACTGCAAGAGTTAGAGTAAGTTTAGGGCAGGCCTTTTTATTTTCTAGGATACTTGAATGCTAACAGTAGATAGGTCTAGGTAGACAGCAGTGTCAGACTTTTATACATTTCTCTTCTCATTCTATATCAAGTTTCTAGGCACAGTGAATTATTTCATATTTCACATCTCAGCCTTCATTTATGTTTTGCCCAGAGTCATTTCTTTCCTGGGTTAGATTCTCCTGGTTTCTTGACTGAAGTTAGCCTCCATTCATCTGAAGTGACTTCCTGTCAGCCTCCAGCTCCATGCATTCCTTGAATATCATATTTCAACTCCTGCCAGCCTCCAGGCAATTCTGACCAATGTCATTCTCCTGCATCTCCACATGTTAGCCTCCCTCTAACCAGCCATCCATCTGGCCTATGTTAACCCCCATATATTTTCCAGATCAGTGTCAGCCTCCAGTCATCCAATCTATATTCTGCCAGCCATTCCATATTTTATTTCAGAGTTTCCATGAATTGCCTCTTTCCCA